CACGTCCCGTCCGCGCCGCGCCTATACACGTACGCCGACCCCGAGTCCGGTCCGTCGAGTCCGGCGTCGCCATATGCGCCCACCACGACGTACTCCCCCGACGCCGCCACCGCAGACCCGAAGCGATCGGCCACCGCAGCGTCGCTGGCGGTGAGCTTCTGCTCGCTCGTACTGAGGACGCGTCGCCCGCGAGGTCTCGCACCCCACGCTGGCGGCGGCACTCCTGCAGGGGGCGGACAGTGAGCGGTGCATCAGCCCGACGTCAACGGCGATCACGAGTACGCGCGACGCCACTGCTGCTGCATGCCACTTCCATGGAGGCTAGGATCGAGCAGTGTGACTGCTTCGTTTCCGACGCAGTGCAGCTTCGTGGCAGGGCAAGCGCCGCGTTTCGGGCAGCGGAACGCCGAACGGGCCGGCGCTGGGCGCCTGTTCCTGACGGGACCAACGCAGCGCCGGAAAGGAGCGATCGCGCGTTCGGGCCGCGGCCGGCAGTCGCGCCCACCGGGGCAGTGGAGCGGCGGGCAGCCGCTGTGCGCAGGCGGGCTGTGCCCGTGCCCGCGCGCGCCGGGGTCGCACTCATCGTGGCGCACGCGACAACGAGCCGTTGCGACGGGCCAGGGCGTCCCGGTCCGCGTGCGCACCTCCCGCCGCAAGCGCGTGAGCAGCCCCGCACAAGATCGCCAGGATCGCCGCGAGGAGCACGAAGCGCGCGCGCCGCAGCATCGAAACTCCGCCCAGAGGAACCCTGTCGCTCATCAACGCGGAAACGCCGCTCGTGAGCGACGGAATGCCCGCGATCGCGCCGCGCCGCCAGTGGGAATTCCTGGCCACAGACTCGTGACCTAAGGGCACCTTCCCTCCGATGCCGGGAGACCGCCGAGGACGAGAGGATGCCATCGTGTGACGCGAACGGACCTCGATGGAAGCTCCCTCGGCCGTGCAGAGTGCGTGCTGCGCCGTCGGGGCGCACACCTTGTCGTGGCCGTACGCGGAGGCCACTCCAATATAGTGCCCGAAAACTCCCCCATCCCCCTGACCTGGCTGCTCGCCGTCTGCCGGGTTCGCCGTTCGCGATGGCTACTATGCGTCTCGGGCCGCCTGTCTCGCCTATTTGCTCCCCTCTGCGCCGCCGGCGTCGCCCGCGCGCCCCTCCTCTCCTAGCTCGCCGGGCCGATGTCGCTCGCGGGCCTCCCGCGCTTCGCGGATGGCGGTCTCCGCTCGTTCCTCCGACGCCGCTTGGGCCTGCGTGTCGATTTCGTGGCCCTTGGCTCTGGCGCCGCCCCGAATTTCGCGCCCGTTTCGCGTTTTGCTCGGCTCGGCTCTGCCGACGTCAGGTCGCCGCACGCGTCGAATGGCGCCGACTGCAACCTCGAGCTCGCGATACTTGGCCGGGTTTCCCAGGAATCCTTCGCCGTTGGTCCGGCGGTCCCGCGTGGGCGCCGCGGTTGCGGTTGACTTTGTGGGTGTGCCTGAGGCGCTGTGGCGTGCTGCTCGCTGTTTGCGAGCGCCGGCTGAGAGGCTCTCAGTGCTGTGGATCGTGTGGTGTGCCGATGTGCTGCCTGAAGAGGACGATGTTGCCCTGCCGGGCTCGCGCGCGGCCCGTGGGTGTTGGCGGTGGGACAGGTTTGCTCGTCTTCCTGTGAGGCGCGGAGCTGACTGCCACCACTGGGCGTGCGAAGAAGTGCATGATCCTGTGTGCGCCCACGTCTGCAACGCGGCGATGCTCTGGCGATGTACTCCGTGACAGTGTGGCCTGGTGGAGTGCGGGATGTCTCGTTATTCGGTGTCGCGTGTTCGGCGGCGTTGGCAGGACCACCGTCGTCGTCGGCGGGTCGTTAGCTGCGCTGGCGAGACGAGGCGAGTCGCTGGTCGCTGGTGCCAGACATGTTTCGGCCACATTTCACATTGATTCCATTTGCTGGCGCATTCGCTGCAAGGCCTCGCGAATGGCCTCCAGCGCTCGGTGGCCGGGCCGGCTGGCCTCGATGGCTCTCCTGTACGCTTTGCGGTCCCAGTAGACCATGCGCAGCTGCTTTGCCTCCGCGCCCAAACAGTGCGACGTACGAGGGGGCCCGGGGCGAACGCCGTGCTCATGTGCAGGAACACCGCCCGCGGCGCCGCGATCGTGTTGCCCTGCTTTATGTGCACCGTCGTTGCGTACGCAGCGTGCAGCGGACATTGGCTGCGCGAGCACACTTTCATTCTCCTGTGCATGAACTGTCATGAACACGTGCTAGATGCTGCTGGTCATGTAGTCGAACTTCACCCGTTCTCCGGTGCCCGTTGGTCGTGCGAGTGTGACCTCGACGCCCACGTCTCCTGTGACCTCGTTGCGCACAAAGCGCTTCACGGTGCCAACGGACCTCGCCCTTGCCGGCCTGGCCCTGTCCACCGAGACTTTCTTCACACCGAACCGCCACGGTCCGCCAAGAGCACTCGTATAAGCTGAGTACAGTGACGGGCCGCACGTCGGCCCGTTGTCTCGCGGAGGCCACACAGGATACAGTCCAGAATCACTCCCCCCCATCCTGACTTGGCTCGGTGCTGCCTCGCCCCTCCTGTGATCGCGATGCTTTGTTGCCGCTCCGGGCTGCCTGTTCCGCTGATTCGCCGCCCTCCGCGCCGCCGGCGCGGCCCGCGGGCCCCTCTCTGCCTGGCTGGCCGGGCCGATGCCGCTCGCGGGCGTCGCCCGCTCCTCGGATGGCGGCCCTCGCGCGTTCCTTCGGCGCCTCCCGGGCCTGCGTGTCGATTTCGTGGCCCCTGGCGCTGGCCCCGCCCCGACTTTCGCGCCGGTTTCGCGTTTTGCTCGGCTCGGCTCTGCCGACGTCAGGTCGCCGCACGCGTCGAATGGCGCCGACTGCAACCTCGAACTCGCGGCACTTGGCCGGTTTTCCCTGGAATCCGTCGCCGTTGGTCCGGCGTGGGCGTCGCGGTTGCGGTTGACTTTGTGGGTGTGCCTGAGGCGCTGTGTCGTGCTGCTCGCTGTTTGCGAGCGCCGGCTGAGAGGCTCTCAGTGTTGTGGATTGCGTGGTGTGCCGATGGGCTGCCTGAGGAGGACGGTGTTGCCCTTCCGGGTTCGCGCGTGGCCTGTGGGTGTTGTCGGTACCGACAGGGACAGGTTTGCTCGTCTTCCTGTGAGGCGCGGAGCTGACTGCCACTACTGGGCGTGCGAAGAAGTGCATGATCCTGTGTGCGCCCACGTCTGCAACGCGGCGATGTACTCCGTGACAGTGGCCTGGTGTGGGAAGTCTCGTAGCTCGGTGTCGCGCATTCGGCGGCGTTGGCAGGACCACCGTCGTCGTCGGCGGGTCGTTAGCTGCGCTGGCGAGACGAGGCGAGTCGCTGGTCGCTGGTGCCAGACATGTTTCGGCCACATTTCACATTGATTCCATTTGCTGGCGCGTTCGCTGCAAGGCCTCGCGAATGGCCTCCAGCGCTCGGTGGCCGGGCCGGCTGGCTTCGATGGCTCTCCTGTACGCTTCGCGGTGCCAGTCGACAATGCGCTGCTTTGACCTCTGCGCCCGCGACAGTGCGACGTAGAGGTGGCCCGAGGCGAACGCCGTGCTCATGTGCAGGAAAACCGCCCGCAGCGCCGCGATCGTGTTGCCCTACTCTTTGTGCACCGTCGTGGCGTACGCAGCGTGCTGCGGAAATTGGCTGCGCGAGCACACTTTCATTCTGCTGTGCATGAACTGTCATGAACACGTGCTGGATGCTGCTGGTCATGTAGTCGAACTCCTCTCATTCTCCGGTGCCCGTTGGTCGTGCGAGTGTGATCTCGGCGCCTACGACGTCTCCTGTGACCTCGTTGCGTACAAAGCGCTGCACGGTGCCAACGGACCTCGCCATAGCCACCGAAATCCAGCAGCCAACCGCACCACCTCACCCTAATTGTATTCTCGTTGGACCTCAGTCCAATGCTCGGGCCGAGGCTCGGCCCGTTGTCTCGGCCGCTGTCCGGCGCGCGCGGCACCCCCCCCCACGCCGTCTGACCGGGAATCCGACCCCGCGCGCCCCTCCGGCGGGGCGCCACACGCGCCGCGCGCATGCGCACCCCCGCGTCACCGTTCGCCCCGTCTCGCCCCCCCCGCCGGCCCCGTGCCGTCGCTTGCATCGCTGGCCGCACACGACGCCTCGGTGGGGGCGCGGTGGAGCGGAGCACGCGTGAGCGCGGCCCTGGCGCCGGAGCTACACCTGACTCTCAGTTACCGCCGGGCTGAGCGTCCCCCCTCCGTCATTCCCCGCGTCGCGACGCTGCCTACAAACCACTGCCCAACTCGGCGTGCCGGAAGCGCGCGCAGGGTTTCGGCGGGGCTGTCGCGGGCTTCGGAGGCCTCACAATGGCACCCAGGGCCCTCTCGCGGGGTCTCCTCGTGTCCGCCGTGAGGTGCCGCGGCGGCGCGCGCGCCCTGTGATCGTCAAGCACACGCTCGACGCCGTGTCCGCCAGCGGCGCGGGCGACCACGCAACCCACGTGCTGACGCTGCCGTGGCGCATGGCACGCGCTTGCGTCGCCCCTGAGGGATCGCAACGTCGACGGCGGGTCCGTCGCGCGTCGCCACCTGCGTTGCTGGCACTGCTGCCCCGCGCGTCCACGTCGCGACGCCATTCGCGGTGGTTGCCCGCCTCAGCGCTCCTCAACGGTTGTCTGGCGGTTTGCGGCGCGTGTTGCGCCGGTCACGCGGCGGTCCCTGCGCGCGCGTGAGTCGGTCCTGCTGAGCTGGACTGTCCAGGAGAGGTGGCGCTGAGCGGCGCCGTTGCGGCCGCCGCGAGGGGGCGCGCGCACTTTCCCGGTGCATCTCGCCTCGAATCGTTGCAGCGAGCGCTCGACAGCGTAGTTGCGCGCACAGCGAGCTCGACAGCAACGGTGTTGTTAGCAGCCGCATTGCTGGCCCGCACGAGCGCGATCTGTCCGGAAGAACGTCGCGTAGCCGGGCATCTCGGACCAATAGGTAGAGACACTTCGTCCTAGGGAAGTCGCGCGCGTAGTCGGCACGATGGCAGCGCAGGGGACGGTCGGGGCCCCTGCTGGGGCAGTGGCAGGCAAGGCGGGCTCCAAGGAGGCGCCGAAGACGATGGACTCCGCGGCGGTGTCTCGGAGGTACGTAGAACACGCCGCACTCGCGGTCGCACCGTCGTTCGCGCGGCCCGCGCGGGCGGGGACGGCGCTGGAGTGCAGCGCAGGTCCCATCCACGGGCCTGCGCGCGCGCGCGGGCCGCGAGACGGGCCTGCCCGCCTGACTGAACCACACTTGTGCGACTCGATCAGCGCGCGCGCGTCGCGGCGCGTCGAGCGCGGCCGCAACGTGAGCACGCGCGCATTCCTCCTTGGCAACGTTGCAGGTTGCAACAGGAGCTCATGCAGCTGATGGTGAGCGGCCCGCGCCCCGCCGTGCCCCCACCGATCGATTTCGCGCCCCGCGGCGCGCCCGCGCCGTCGCGTGCGCGGCCGCGCGGCCCCGCAGCCCGAGCGTCAATGCCCACACCTTAGCCCGGGAATGCCGCGCGCGCAGATGTCTGGGGAGAAGGGTTTGTCGGCGTTTCCGTGCGGGGATAACATCATGGACTGGACGGGCACCATCGAGGGCGCGGAGGGCACCCCGTACGCCGGCCAGAAGTACAAGCTCGAACTGCAGTTCAGTGCCGAGTACCCCTTCAAGCCGCCGAACGTGCGGTTCGCGACGCCCTGCTACCACCCGAACGTCGACTGGGCCTCCGGAACCATCTGCCTCGACATCCTCCGCGACCAGAGCACGGGCGGCCAGTGGAGCGCAGCGTACAGGTGCGCACCCCACCTAGGGATCTCCCGCGCCGCGGGCGCCGCCTGGTGTGGCACCTGCGCCGCGCCGCCCTGCGCGAGCTCCCGCGTCCTCACCGGAGCGGCGCTGGCAGCCTCGAATGTCCCTCCGCGGCGCCGCGGCCTGCGTGTCGAGGCCCCGAGGCCCTCTTCGGCACCCGGTGCGCCGCGTCGCCGGCGTTCCCGGCCCCGGTTCGGCCCTGCACGCGCGCAACTGGCTCTGACGGCTGCCCGCGCGCCCGCGTCCGGACCGCAGCGTGAAGACGGTGCTGGTGTCGATCCAGTCTCTGCTGGGGGACCCCAACCCGGCGAGCCCGCTCAACGCCGAGGCGGCGCGCTTGTGGGACAACGTCGAGGATTACACGCGCGTGGTCGCCGGGAAGTACGCGCGGGCCGCCGACAAGTGAGCGCGGCGGGGCGCCCCTACAACACCACCCATGCACACTCAGCGGCTGTGCATGCACGACCCCCCAGCAGCACTAGTGAAGCCAGCGTAGGAGCGGGCAGCCCGCGCGACGCAGCAGCACGGCGAGACGCCCTGTGAGCCGTTCGGTCCGCGCGTCGCGCTGAGGCTCACACGGCGTTGGCCGAAACCAGGTTCGGGCCCGAGGCGTCCCGCGAGCGCCGGTGGACGTCGAGCGTGGACCCGCGCGCGACCTCGACTTGGCCCTGCAGCGGGATGCTGAACACCGCGGTCTCCGAGCGCACCTCCATGATGCGGTTGAACGTCGTGGGACCCCCCGGGGGGACATCCTCCTTGACGCCGAACTCCACGTCGATCACCGCCTCCATCCCCGCGGCCAGCGGGCCGGGGTTGTACGTGCGCTTGAACGGCGGCGCGAGGGCCGCGACTGCAAAACACACACACACTCGCGCAACAAGCCGGCATGGGGTCAGTGGCCTGCGCATCGACGCGCGGGCAGCGGGGCGTGCGGGGCGCGAGCGGGGCGGGCGCGCACCGTTGAAGCGCGCGATCTCCGCGGACACGTTGCGGATGCGGACTTTCAGCTTCCTGGAGGTGCCTGGCCGCACGACGCCAAAGTCCAGCTGCTCGGGGGTGACGAGGAACTCCTTCGTGAAGCGCTTGCGCGCGAGCAAGAGCTGCCCCGCGGCGGTGCGGGACATCCGCAGCGCGCCCTCCTCCTGGGCCAGGTGCTGGTGGTTGATGCGCGCCGTCGCCGCGTTGCGCCGCATGTAGGGCGGCAGGTCGACCTCCGTGCGCAGCTCGCCCGTCACTGCGCGCGCGAGACCGAGGGGTGCGACGAGGGGTTGCAGCGCACCGACGAGGAACGCGCTGAAGCGGGCGGCAAGTTGCGGGGGCGGGCTGTGCATGCGCATGTGCGGGGGCGGCGGGGACGTGTGTCTCACCCGTGAACTTGCGGGACTTGGGGTTCGCGGTGTCCTCGTACGCGCCCATGAAGCTGCCCGCCTCGACGTCGACGCCCGGCCCGGGGGGCGACCGCGAGTACCGCCCCGCGGGGTCGTACAGCGACGCCTCGTTCGGGGTCCGCTCCGACCCGCGCTGCGACCACGTGCTCATCTGGCCGACCCCCGGCACGCCCTGCACCAGCCCGCCGCCGACGCGGCGCTCGTCGGGGGTCTCCGGGGGCGGCCCCATGAGGTCGGCGTCGCCCAGGATGCCTGTGTGCGAGGTCTTCGGCTCCTTCGCCGCACCCTTGTTGCGCATCTTCTTGACCTTGATGCTGCGCTCCGCGTGCTGCCGCTCGTTCACCTCGATGCGCTGCTCGAGGAAGTCCACCGTCTGGTACGCCGGCGGCATGGTCCCGTAGTGCTCCCGCAGGTCGGAGAACTGCGACGTGTCGTGCGTGGCGGTCACGCGGCTCTGGCGGCGCGACTTCGCCGCCACCGCGGCGCTCTTCATCATCATCTTCGACCCCAGCGCGTCGAGCCCCTCCGGCGCGCGGAAGTACTCCAGCACCTGCCCGCTGCGCACCTCGCGCTCCGCCCCCGGGTGCTTCTCCGGCACGGGCGGCCACGGACGGCGCTTCTTCGCGTACAGGATCGCAGGCTCGTACTCGTCGCCGTGCCGCACGTACTCCGGGCCCTCCTCGCCCTTCTCCTCCTCCTGCTCGGGCTGCTTGGTCAGCGCGGTCGCCGCCGACTCCGTCTGCGACAGCACCTTGGCGACCTGCGCGGAGATCTCGCGCTCGAGCTCGATGTCGCTGTTCGGGCGCGTGTCCGCCGCGAGGTGCTGGTGCGATCCGCGCTGGCGCTCCTCGTTGACGTCGGCCGCGTACGAGAGCAGCGCGCGCCGCAGGATGGCGTGCTGGCGCTCCGAGAAGTGCGGGATCGTGACGATGCAGCGCTGGAGGACGATCGGCGGGACGTCGGGCTCGGGCAGGCGCAGGCGGTCCACGATCCCGCGCGGGACGACCACCGACGAGAACGGCGGCGGGTACTCCGCACGCGACACCGCGCGCAGCGCGGGCGCCGCGCGGGGCGGCTGCGCCCACGAACACGTCACCGTCGTCGCGACCGGCAGCCGCGGGAGCCCCCGCGGCCCGATCTTGACCTGCGTCAGGAACTGGTACGCGCGCAGGTCGGCGCTCTCGCTCCCCGTGGACGCCGCGCTCTCCATCTCGACCACGCGGCACGCCGCGTGCGCGCTCCGCCGCGCCAGCAGCGTCTCGAACGCCTGCTGCAGCCAGATCTCGAACCCGCTCCCGTCCGGCCGCACCACGAAGAGCCGCGGCAGCACGCTGGGCGCGATGGGCTCGGCCTCTATCTCGAGGTCGTCGTCGTCCGAGCCGTCGCTCTCGCGGCCTGCGCCGGACACCGCGCTGAACCCGGACGCCTGGCTCATCATCCCGAACTGCGACGGGGCGCGGCTCGCGGCGTACTCGGAGACCATGTCGTCCACGTCGTCGCCCTCGTCGTCGTCGCCGGCGCCGGCGCCGGCCGACGGCCGCCGGCTGCGGACGGGAGAGCCCGTGCTGACCGCGTCCATCTCGGCCTCGTCGTCCGTCGGCGCTATCGGCGCGTCGGGGTAGGTGACGATCCCCGGCGGGCGCAGCGTGGCCAGCAGGCCCGTCTCCGGCGCCGCGACGTTGCTGCGCGCGACGTGCCCGTGCTTCATGTCCACGACGTACGTGCCGCCGCAGCCCTCCCCGCACGCCACCTGCTTCGCCCAGCTCGGCCGGTCCGGCACCACGAACGGCGGCTCCTTGAACGGCTCCAGCTCTGGGACCTCCGGCTCAGCCGCGCCCTTCTTCTTCTTCGACGCCTCCGCGGCCGCGGCCGCGACGAGCTCCGCGTGCTCCGCCTTCTTCTTCTCGTACTCGGCGCGCGCCGCCTCGACCACCGCGGCGTGTCCCTTGCGCGCCTTGGCCGCCACCTCGTCCTGCTCGTCCGCGGCGTCGAGGATGGCCTCCATCAGGGCCTCGATCTCGACCTCGTGGCCCGGGGGCGACAGCGCGACGACCTCGCCGATGATGATGATCCGCCCCGCGCCCTCGACGTCGGCGACGATGGTGTTGGTGCTGGCGTGCCACCCGAGCGCCACACCCGGCGACGGCGACACCGAGACGCCCTCGTCGTTGCCCAGCACGCGCGGCATCGCCTCGCCCTCGACCATCCACGGCCGCATCGACGGCCCCGCAGGCGTGGCGGGCTCCTCGCCCTCGGCCGGCTCGGGGCGCGGCGGCGCGGGCAGCGTCACGATGCGCGTCTCGTCCGGGAGCATCACGAGCGTCTGTCCGGACGGGAAGTCCACGCTCAGGACGTGGTCCGCGCGCGTGACGGTCGTCGCGCGCGTGTCCGGGTCCGACGCCTCGACCGCGTGCAGCGACGGATACGCCACCGGCTTGGGCAGGGCGGCAAACTTGGCACGTGCCTCCTCCTCCGCGGCCTTCTGCGCGTCGTCGGTCTCGGTGTCCTTGCCCTCGCCGGCCGTGACGATCACCGCGGACGGCTTGCGGTCCAGGTGCTCGCTGCCGCCCGCCGCGCCGGAGACGGCCTCGGCGGCCGCGCGCGCCAGGAGGATGGCCTGCTCCTCCTCGGTGAGGTCCGGGGAGACCCAGCGCTCGCCGCGGCGGCTGCAGCCGAGCCAGCCGAGCTTCGGGGGGGCGGCCGCGGCCGCGGCGTCGTCCGCGTCGGCCTTGGACTCGGCTTTGGACTCCCCCGCTGCCACGTCCTTCGAGTCCCCCCCCTGCTCGGCGTCGCCGCCGCCGTCCTCCTTCGTTGCGCCCGCGGGCGGCGGAGACACCCCCGTGGGGTACACGCACCGCTCCGAGGTCTCGCCCGTGGTGTGCGTGATGACCTGGCGCCCGCTCGCAAACGTCTGCGACACCGCGCCCCACGGCAGCACCTTCAAGTGCACCTCGCGCGCCGCCGAGTTGTCCAGGAGCGGCGACGGGTCCCCCCCGGGGATCTGCCCGCCGGGGATGTCGACGCCCGTCAGCGCGAGCGCCTCGGCGCGCGGGTTGGGTGCGTTGCTGTCCAGGGCGTCCGCGCGCTCCACCGTGACGACGCCGCTGCTCGACAGCGACGTCACGACGCCGGAGAGGTCCGTGCACTGCAGGTGCAGCACGCCGTCCTCGCCGCGGACCACCGCGACCGCCACGTCCGTCGCCGTCGCCGTGTTGAACACAGTGCGCCCCGCGCTGTCCGACTGGAGCCGCACCGCGGGCCCGCGCGGCAGCTGCACGCGCACGCACGACGCCGACGACTCCACGAGGCACCCGTCCTCCGGGAAGGCCAGCTGCGCGCTCCGCTTGATCTTCGCGACTCCGTCGGGGATGTCGTAGACCTTGCTGGGCAGCTTCGCGTCGCCCCCGGCGGCGGCCCTGCGCTGCAGGGCGCAGAAGTCCGGGAACGACAGCCGCGTCGGCGTCTCGATGTCGACCTCGACCGTCGGCGACCCCGCGAAGCACGCCACCAGCACCGCGTCGAGCGCCGGCGAGTACACGACCCGCTGGTCGGGCAGCTCCTCGATGGCCTGCTGGAGCGCGCCGGGGAGCGTGCGCGCCGTGAGCGGCTCGAGGTGGTGCGCCGCGAGGATGCTGTCGCCGTGCGCGGTCGCCACGCCCTCGGGCAGCGCGTCCACACCCTTCTGCAGCAGCGCCGCCAGCTCCGCGCGGGACGCCGGGACCTTCTCGCCGAGCAGCGCGGCCTTGAGGAACTGCGCGCGCTCGGACAGCGCGACCTCGTCCAGCTCCGACGCCGCCGGCATCGCCCGCCGCCCGAACCCAGGCAGCTGACACAGGCCAAGCATGTGCTTCTCCACGGCCTCGACGTCCAGGTGGCCCTCGGGGGTCATCATGCTGCGCCAGCCGCCGTCCGTCACGACCTGGAGGTCCAGCGACACGCTGTCGTCCGCGTTCACGTCCACGCCGAGCAGCGTCGACCGGTTGGGGTCGGCGGCGGCGCCCACCAGAGGCGCCAGCGGCTTGGGGCCGCCGTCCGGGCCGACGCGGTACCCGACGTGCGCGCCGCAGGCGCGCAGCGCGACGCGGTCGAGCTCGCCGACGATGTTCGAGGCGCCGTCCGCGGCCGCGCGCTTCGCGCCGCCCTTGGCGGGGTGGAACCCCTGGGCCACGAGGCCGTGCTCCTTCGCGGCGGGGATGCTGTCGGCGGCGGGGAGCGCGGAGAGGGAGTCGAAGAGGTTCGAGAGCGACGCGGACACGAAGCTGATCGCGTCGGCCTGCTTGCCGCGCTCCGCGATGGGCCCGTCGGCGGCGCCGGTGGCCACGGCGGCGTGCGCGGCCTGCTCGACCATGCAGTGGACCATCACGGCGACGCTCGCGTTCTCCGGCGGCACCGTCGACATGAGCCGGTCGTAGATCCCGCGGTCGAGGTCCTCCGCCGGCATGGCGGGCACCGGCAGCACCGACGCCTCCGCCAGCCACGCGGTGTACTGCACCCACTCGCTCCGCAGCGCGCCGAGCGCCCCGGCGACCTCCAGCGCGCCCGCGGGCGGCGCGGGCGCCTCCGCGTCGTCCTCGCCCTCGGTGCGGCTCTTCCGCAGCCCCACGGCCTCCCCCGCCGCCACCGCCGCCGCGCCCCCGAGCTCGACGCGCCGAACCTCCATCTCCCGGACAGGGTCGCCCCACGCCGCGGCCGCCACCTCCCTCTCCAGCGCCGCCACCACCGCCTCCACGCTCTCCGGCGCGGGCTCCGCCGCGGCGTCCTTGTCCTCGGCGGCCGCGCCCACCACCACCAGCGCGCGGAACGGCACGCCCGCCCGCAGCACCTCCGTGAGCCGCTCCGCCGTCAGCTTCGCCCACGGCAGCAAGTACAGCCGGCTCGCCGTCACGGGCCGCCGCACCGCCGCTTGCGCCTCCTCGAGCTTGGCCTGCGCGCGCTCCAGCGCCACCTGGGCCTCCTCCGCCTCCGCGCCCACCTCGGTCATCGCGCCCATCGACGGGCCGCCCATCAGGTGGCTCGCGCCGCTCATCCGCCGCCCCGCGTCCTCCGCGTCCGCCTCCGCGTCGTCCCCCTCGTCGCCGTCGTCGTCGGCGAGGATGCGGGTGGAGTTCTGCTCCGTGAGGCGGCGGCCCGAGGACGGGCGGGAGTCCCCGAGGACCTCGGAGCCGGCCTCTTCCTGCCGGGCCTCCTCGAGCACCTGCGGGGGGGGCGCGGCGCTGCGTGAGCGTGGGGTGTGGGGGTTGGGCGCGGGGGTTGGGTGCGGGTTGGGCGGGCGCGGGGCGTGCCTGCTTCGCGCTGGCGAAGTCCTCCTCGGCAAACTTGAGCTGGTCGTGCGCCATCTTGAGGGCGCCGCGGAGGTCGCCCTCGCGGTCCGCGTTCGCGCGGTGGTGGAAGAGCTCGGCGAGCAGCGCGGGGGAGAGGCCCGAGAGGTCCACGGGGCCGTCGTCCGCGGCGCCCTTCTTGCCCTTGGCCTTCTTCTTGTCCACTGCGGCGCGGCGGGGTGCGGTGCGGGCGCGTTCGGACCGCGGCGTCCGCGCCCGCCCCGGAAACAGGTCCAAGCGCAGGTGACGCGACGCAGTGCGCCGACGACCGGCGCCGAGACGGCCGGCCGCGACGGCCGCTGAGATCCACATGAACAGAAAGCACAGACAGGTGGCCGAACGCCGCTGAGCGGGCTGTTCCGGCGACGCACGCCGCACCTGCTCCTCCTTTCTCGGCCAGATCAGCCGTGACGCGCTCCATGAGCGCTTCGTTGGACTCCGCCGCGGCCATGAGGTCCGCTTCGGTGACGACCGAGAGCTGCAGGTCCAGCTTCTGCGAAGATATCGGCGCGGGCGCTCGCACTCAGCTCAGCGCCATGCACAGCCCGCAGCGCGCGCACGCGCCCCCGCGAACGGCCACAGCGCGCCGCAGCCCCCGCGACGCTCGCGTGCGACGCGCCGGGCGCGTTCCCGCCCCTGCGCACCCCCGCCAGCCCGCGCGGGCGCGGAGCGGCCTCGAAGACGCACCAACATGCGGGGGGGGCTGCGCGCGCGCACAGACGCGCGCCGGCGCCGTACGCGCACGCATTCGAGCGGTGCGACGATGTGCCTCGTTGTGGCGGGGGCCGCGCACCTGCACGTACGCCACGATGCCTGAGGCGTCGGCGCCCTCCCCGTCCCCGGCAAAGAGAGCGACGCCCACCGGGGACCATTCCGAGCCCTCGGGCACGCCTGGCGGCGTCGCCGCGGGTGCTTTCTGCGCGTCGGGAGGGAGGCGGTGCGGCGGAGAGTGAGCGGGGCGCGCCGTGGAGGCCGGGCGTTGCGAGCATGCCCCTCGACGCAGATGGGCGTGCGCGCGGGGGCGGTGGCGGGGCCTGCGAGGCCTGCCGGCGTGCGCTGAGCGACCAGGCGGCCTGGGGCGTCCGGGCGGGATCGCGGACAGCCGCGGGCGGGCGCACCTGCGTGGCCGGGTCTGCCATCACACCATGCTCTGCCGCGCCCCTACGGCGAGCTGGACCGGCAGATCTTCGCGCGGGCAACTGGGAGCCCGGGTATGTGAGCTCCGGGCAGCGGCGGGCCGCAATGCCTCGGTGAGCGCACATCGCGCGCGGAACGGCCGGTCGGACAGCCCCGGGGCAGCTCTGCCAGTGGCGTGGCTCCGGGCCGCAGCACGGGGGGCCTGCGCGGCCGTGATTGGCAGCGGTCGCTACCTGCCGTCGCATGTGTGTATTGCGTGATCGTCTGAGGACCGTGGTCGCGCCTGTTCGGCCTGTGTGGGAGTCGAGCAGTGTCAAGAACAGAACTGGGCGCCGCTGCTCTGAGTGAGGGCGCTGGAGCCGTCACCCGAGACAGGTGCGAGGGGGGCACATAGGGGACTGATGCTCCGGGCGATCGCCGCGCTGCCTGTCCCAGCAGTCGCCACAAGCAGGGCGCGTAGGGCAGGGCGCGCAAGGCCGGCCACGCAGCGGTGCGTGGTGTGCGGGTCGCTGGAGCATCCGGCGCGTCCGCCCTCACATCTAAGCGATTGCGTGCGCGCAGGAGGGGCGTGAATCGCAGCGGGGAGCGATGGCGGGCGCGCTGCACGCCCCGCAGCAGGGGTCGCGCACCAGCGTGGTCCTGTACGTCGTCATAGCGGTGACGGTCATCGTGGCCGGGTTGATGATCAGGTGAGGCGGCCGTCCAGGGCTCGAACCACCCCATGACGACGCTTGTCTCCAGCGTGCGCGGCGACTAACATGCAAGGTGTGTGTGCGCGGTTGCGCAGGGGCGAACGCATCGCGTACAACTCAATGGCGAACGAATTCAGCGCTCTGTCGATGGAGTACCAGTCCAGCACGGACCGCGTCGTCGAGCTCGAGTCCAGCCTTGCGAGCGCGGAGTGAGCACCCCCCCCGCAGATCGGGCTCGTGGTGCGCGGTGTGGGTCGAAGTCCCCCGCAGCCTAGCCGACCTCCCCCCCGCGCACTCCCCTGACCGCAGGGCCAAGATCGACGAGCTCCAGAGCTCGGTGTCGCTCCTGAAGAGCTCCGAGGCCAGCCTGAACGAGGAGCTGAAGGGCGCGCAGGAGGCGACCGGGCAGCAGGAGGCGGCGTGGCTGGCGGAGAAGCAGGCGCTCGAGGAGCGCGCGCAGCAGGCCGAGGAGCTGGCCGAGGCGCGCGCGAAGATGATCGACACGCTCAAGCAAACGCCCAAGGGCACCGCAGCGCCGACGAACACCGAGGCGCCGGAGGGCACCGAGGCGCCGGAGGCGTCGCCGCCGGTGAAGACCCGGCCGAGGAGCACCGCGCCGTGAGCGCGTCGCGGCTGGCGGGCCGACAACCTTGGCGACGATGCATGGGGGGCGATGGAATAGAGGGGCGCGGCAGAGCCGCGAGGACACGTCCGCGATGGATGCGTCGTCGCTGCGTGCGTGCGCCGCGGAGAGGCGAGCCCGAGCCGGACCGGGACCGCCCACGTCGGCGATGATATGTTACATGATGCAGGAGGTCGCCAGGCCGCGAGTCATCGCGTCTCGATCTCGATATACCTCGCAGCGGCGTCACGCGGCCGCCCCCGGCGCACGCGCATGTGCGCCAGAGCAGCGCCGTTGCGTTCACAGGGGCTTGTCCTGCACGAAGCGGCGGATCATCTCCAGTGCCTCCTCGGGGTTGCTCTGCGGCACCATGTGCCCGGCGCCCTTCACGGTGCAGTACGTGAGCCCGCTGTACCGCGCGACGTACCCCGCGACCTGCCCGCCGACCTCCCACGCCCGCCACGGCTCCACCACGCCCAGCTGCTCGCCCATCCACCGCGTCCACTGCTCCGACCCCGTGTGCGGCACAGCCATGTCGTGGTCCCCGCTGTAGATCAGCGACCGCAGCTTGTGCTGCGTGATCAGCTCCGCGTGGTACTGCAGCATGCTGCCCATGTCGTGCGTGTAGTCAATGCTGTCCGCGCACACCGTCCACTTCCCGATCTCCGACGCCGGGCGCGCGTGGATGGCCGCCCGCACGGCCTCGCTGTTCAGCCAGTCGTCCGCCATGGCCGTGCGGATGCACGGCGGGTTGAGCCCGAGGCCCTCGTCGCGGAGGAGGCTCGCCCACGACGGCACGCGCTGGCCGTTGCGCAGCACGGGCCGCAGCGGCCACGTGGGCCCGTGCGCAGCGATGGCGTCCGCGAGCGCCGCGGCGTGGCTCTGCGGCCCGGGGCGCCAGCACTTGTTCAGGATGTCGTACATGTTGAGTTGCGACACCAGGGCGTGGATGTGCGCCATCGACGCCTGGCACTCCGGGTTCGGGTTCGCGGTGTAGTTCCAGAAGCTCCCGCCGCCGCACGCCGTGAACGCGACGTCGTACAGTCTCTGCGGGATCAGCGACCTGCACAGGTTCCGCAGCAACAGCGGGGGGGTGTCGGACTGACTCAGGGCCCTGTGGGCGTGTAGCGCGGCGCGGGGACGAGGGGCGGGAGCGCACATGCCCGCCGCGAAGGGCACGTAGGCGTTCCCGTCGTACACGGGGTCGGTGCACCCGTTCCCGACGGCATAGCCTTCGAGGCGCACGATCGGCAGCTGCCCCTGCGCGTTGCCCCGCGCGACCTTGGTGGTGATCGTGGGGACGTAGATCCCCGCGTAGCTCTCGCCCGTGATGTACACGGGCACCTCGTCGAGCCCGAACAGGTCGACCAGCATGCGGACCATCACGGCCATGTCGTCCGACGTGCGCTCGTCGCCCGTGGCGAGGTCGAACGGGTCGCCGTAGCTGAACCCGACGCCCGCGGGGCTGTCCACGTAGACCACGTGCCCGGCCTTGGTCCAGGAGAAGGGGTTGGACGTCAGCTGGATGGCGCTGGCGTCGCCGGACGCGCGGGAGAAGGAGAACGGGCCGTGCTCGTACACGAAGCCGTCGAACGAGGAGCACCCGGGCCCGCCGTTGAGCCACAGGATCAGCGGGGGGTTGTCGCCCGCCTGCGGCTCTGCCGTTGCAAGGTAGAAGAAGAGGCTGCGGGGGGGGGGGTTTCGAGGGGGGGGTGTTTTGAGACGTCGCACGGTCGCCGGCGGCGCGGGAGGGGCCGCGACTGTCAGGGGACGGGGCCACGGCGTGACTGTCGCTGCGACGTCCGGACGTGTGGTGTCGCAGCAGGTGGTTGCGGGGCGTGGGGGGCGCACTTGCGGCCGCCTTCTTCGTTCACGGTGACGTAGCCGGCGTAGTGCTGCGAGGGCAGCTCGGGCTGGTCCCACCCGGGCAGCGACGTCACGGGTCCCGCGTCGAACAGCTCGGGAGAGTAGTGCTGGGGGCTCATGCGGAGGTTCCAGTCCCGTACGCCGCTGTTCCCGGGCGACGCGTCATCACGGCGGTCCGAGAGGAGCGTGTGGAAGTCGGAGGATACGCGCGCAGCTGCGGAGACGTCGGTGCGGAGCGGCAGACGGCGTGAGCAAGTGGGAGCTAAACAGGTGGGTCCCGCGGTCAGGAAGGAGAGACGCGGGAGTCGACCAGGGAATATCTACGCCGTGAGACTCGATCCTTCCGCAGGGAGCGACGCAGACGGCACAGAGCGGTTCCTCGCTGCCGACGCGGCGGTCGAGGCCTGCGGTCTGGTGGACGGGACTGACGCACGCAAGCGAACGCCGTCGTCGCGCGCGGCGCGGTCAGACGTACCTTGAGCTCCGTAGAGGGCGAGCTGGATGGTTAGCACGATCACGACACCCCACATCGCGCCCGAGCTCCGCTGGCGCTGGCGTGATGGCCGTGGAGGGCGCTGTGCGGCAACGGACCCCGGTCGCGGCCCTGAACTCGTGATCCCCGGGGAGTGAGGTATGCAGGGGGCGCGCGAAGTCGGCGCGCTACGTCGCTGCATGGGGGCCGTGTGGGCCCTGAAGGCCCCCTCAACACCTCCGCGGCGGTGCCGCACCGTGCGCGTCGCACGCCGGGCTCAAGGCGGCGCGAGGATCGCAGGGGCGTCCTTGCATTGGCCGTGGCCCCAGCAGGTTGTAGGAAGTGACACGTGAGCCACGATGCAGGCCATGACCAGCCTCTGCTCGACCTTCTCGGGCATGACCCTCAAGGCCGCGCAGCCGCGGGCTGCGCCGGTCGAGCGCGCGTCCCTGCAGGTCGTCGGTAAGTTCCCCCGCGCGCTCTTTCGCTTCAACGGCGGGCTCGCTGCCCTGACGGCACGCCAAGCCGTGCTCGATGCCAAGTCGCTCGGTGGCGCGCGTCACCTGGGGCGGTGGCGCAGATGCCGCCTCGATGGCCCGACATTCCGCAATGCGTGTCTCCAGGCGCGCGAGCCGTGCATTTCCTGGCATCGCGTCGTCGTCGTCGTCGTCGCACTCATCGCCGGCCACCAGCCACCCGGTTTATCTGGTCGCCGCCGACCCTCCCGCGGGCCGCTCCCCGCCCCTCGTGCGCCGCTCCGGCACCCTCCTGCCCGCGATGTCCGAAAACCGGCGTTCCCTCCGCCCCTGAGGCGCACCGGGCCTCGGGAGCCCCCCCTCCATCACCCCAACAGCCCACAGCCGCGGAGGGCGCCGCGCACGGACCCTCACCGCACGCGTGAGGCCCAGACACAACAGCATACATTGCGTTCCACCCCTTCGTTTCAATCATTGCGGCTCCGCGCCCCGGAGCGCGCAGATCAGCGCCCCAGAAGGCCGCTGCTCACCGCCCTGTGCCGCCCGCCCGCGTGCAGCCTCGAAGCGGTGCGACCTCACGGGCGCGAAGCGGAACAAGGCGAACAACGTGACGTTCTCGGGCAAGCGCAACAGGAAGTGGCAGGAGGCCAACCTGCAGCACCGGCGGGTGTACTGGCCCGAGGGGCAGCGGTGGGTCAAGCTCAAGGTCACCACGCGCGCCCTGCGCACGATCGAGAAGAACGGGCTGGACGCGATGGCGCGGGAGGCGGGCATCGACCTGTGGAAGCTCCCCTTCACGGACGCGCGCCCCGAGCGGCTCGAGTACAAGGCCAAGACGGGCCCGGTGGTGCCCATGGGGAAGAACCCGCGGAAGATGAAGAACGAGGAGAAGCTCGCGGCGTCGAAGAAGGGCCCGCTGCAGGCCAAGTACGAGCTCGGCCGGATCATGTACTACCGGGACGCGTAGGCCGCCACGCGCAGTGCGCTGCCGCTGTGAACGACGCAAAACGAAGCGGGGGGGGGAGCGGAGGTTCGCTCGCACACAGGACGCTAGGTGCGGCAGGGACAGGGGTGCACGGGCGTTGGCGCCGACCGCGACGACGACGTGCTTGTGCGTCTGCGCGCGGGTGTAGGTGCATGGGACGTGGAGGGTTGTCGAGGGGAGGCGGGACGCGCGCAGCTGCGCGGGATTCACAGAGTCGGAGCAAGCTGCGCGGCCCTGCCGGGCCGGCCTCACGCGAGCGCGGGCTTGAGTCTCCGCCTGCGCGTGCGCATCACCTCGGGCTGTCCGACGCTCATCTTCATCGAGTCGAACGCGATGCACAGGAGGGGCTTGCCCGCGAGGATCCCGTGCAGCTGCTCGTTCGGGTCGCGCTTCGCGTCCTGCTGCGACGGCTCGTGCAGGTGCACGCGGCAGGGCCTGACGAAGCGCACGTTCGCGAGCATGTTGCACGCGTACCGCAGCAGCCCGGGGACCGCGTCGGTGTTGCCGCTGAAGCTCGGGAGCGGAATCTTGAGGCGCGGCGCCCACTGCCCCGCCGGCGCGGCGGCCGGAAGCTCGATGCTGCAAACGGGCGCGTCCAAGCCGCGGTACCCGCGCTCCGCGTTGCGGATCGTCACGACGCCCGAGTCGGCCTCGATGCCTTCCTCGCGGAGCTCGTCGGCGTTCGGCGGCTTGTTCAGCACGCCGTGCATGCCCATGCCTTCCGCGGGGCGCCGCGAGAGGCGGCCGACCTTGGGCTGGTTCTGCGCCTGCCACCAGCTCACGAAGCCGGCGGGCCGCCGCTTCCGCAGAGGCGGGAGGAACGCCGGCCCGCCGTCCGGGCGCTCGGACGGCTCGAGCGAGAAGGTGCCGCGGCGCGACGGGAGGCCGACGTGCGTGACGCCGTGGTCGCGCGCCTCCTTGGCCGACACAAACACCCTGCAGGGATGCGTGTGAGCCGGGAGGTCGGCGCGGGGTGCAGCGCGCGCGTCGTCCGGACGTCCGACGGGTGTCTTGTGGAGCGGGTGTGTGCGTGACTTTCGCGCACCTGGCCGCCCACGCGCAGGACGTCGGGGGGTTCCAGACGAGCCCCCCGAGGGCGACGAACTCCTGCATCTGCCCCGCGGGGCTGTCGTCGTACTTGGCGAGGAACCACCCCCCGAGAGTCCATCCCGCAAACTCAACGAGCTTCAGATCCGGCGGGACGTACTTCTTCGCCTCCGACGACCGCACCAGGTTGAGCTGGTACAGCGCCCTGCACGCACAGCGCGCGGACCGCGTCCGTGAGCGGCGCGAGGGCGCCACGATCGCAAAGCCACCAGGGACGTGGTGGGGCGTCGTTTGACGCGACGGCGCGGCCCGAACTCGCGAGGAAATGGGTGCGGCGCGACGTCGGCGAGGTCCCCGAGGAGGCGACGTGCGGGAAAGCCAGCTGGGTCGCGGCACGAGGGTCTGAATTCCCCGTCGTGCGGCCGATAGGGCGCTGACGCGCGCAGCGACACAGCGCCGTCTGGCGAGCCGCGTGCGGTGATCCCGGGGCCGCGAGTGCGGCGCACGCGATCATGAGACCGAGGACAGGCGCAATCGTCGGTCGGACCGGCCCCGGAGCGCGCGCAGCGACGGCGCCGCGCCGTTCCCCTGCATGCTGCAGCTGCTCGCGGCGTCGTGCGTGGGCGCCGCTCACCTCCCCTCGAACACCCAGGGCGCCTCCTTGTATCCTCGGCCCATGGTTGCTGCGCCTGGTCGCTCGCACGCGCGGCCAAGTTCGCGTCGCGGCGGTCTTTGACCTACCGAGGGTCCCCACGCAACGGCTGCGAATCGGGGCGCAACGGACAGATGACTCCGCGCCGAGGTGCGTCCAGCTGCGAGAGGAGCGCTGTGGCGCCGCGCATCTGCCAGGCGGCGCCAGACGGGCCCGGAATTCGCCGCCCGAGCCAGTCACCCAGGTGCGTCCACTCGACCAGCCCCCGCCACGTCTGCCAGCACTTTTCCAGCGCCCGTCTGCACGCCGCCCCGTCCTCGCGCCCCGGCCCGGCCACACCGCACCGCCCCGTCCCCAGCACCGCCCGCCTGCCTCCGAACGACCCCCCACGGCCACTCGCGCGCTTGCACGCCGGCCACACATCCTGCCCACCGCGGGCTCGCCGCCACCCCCGAAAACGCACGGACGCGCGCCGCGTCTGCCCGCGCGAACACGACGCATCACAGCTGCACCGCCACCGTCATCGGCTTGCCGTCCCGCAGCAGCGACACCTCCACGCGCTCCCCCTTGGCCAGGCTGTCAACGGCGCGATTCAAGGCCGCCTCGTTCTTGATCGGGAACGTGCCCGCGGCGCACGTGATGCCCTGCAGGACGTCGCCCGCCGTGACGCCCCCGAGGCCGCGCGCGATGCCGCGGATGCCGGCCTTGTCAGCGGGACTCCCCCCCTGCACCGCCTGCACCATGACCCCGCTCCCGGCCTTGCCGCCCAGCGCCACGAACGTGCCCTCCGGCGCGGCCTGGATGCCCACGACCGGCCGCTGCACCGTCCCGAACTCGATCAGCTGCGGCACCACCCGCTTCACCTGCGCAAGCGGCGCACACCCACACAAGTGTTGTCATCATTCATTGTATACGTCTCTATATATGACATGTCCCGCGACATCATGGACCGCGGAGCCGCTCCCGGTTCCGTGCGCGTGCGCGTCGTCGCGGTCGCGCGCACCTGGTCGATCGGGATGGCGAATCCGATTCCGACGGAGGTGCCGGTGTTGCTGAAGATGGCCGTGTTCACGCCCACCATGCGGCCCGCGCGGTCCAGCAGCGCGCCGCCGGAGTTCCCCGGATTGATCGCCGCGTCCACCTGGATCCCGCCCCCGATCGTCGTCCCCGCCGACACGATGTCGCGGTTCAGCCCCGACACAATCCCCGTGGTCAGCGTGTGGTCGAACCCGTACGGGTTCCCGAGCGCCAGCACCTGCTGCCCGACGCGCACCGCGCCCGAGTCCCCGAGCTCCACGGGCCGCAGCAGCGACCGCGGCGCGTCGATCTGCACCACGGCCAGGTCCTTGCTCTTGTCGTACCCCGTCAGATACGCGTCGAAGGCCTGCGAGATGCCGTCCGTGCCGAGGACGGTCACCGTCGCGACCTTGACGCGCCCGCGCGCCCGCGCGTTCGGCCCGAGGCCGTTCAGGACGCTCGCGAGCACGTGGTAGTTGGTGACGACGTGCCCCTCCTGGTCCCAGATGCAGCCCGTGCCGTTGCCCTCCGCGACCTCGACCGCCTGCTGCGGCGCGGCGCGGCCCTGGAGCGTCACGTCGATGATGTTGACGATGGAGTTGTTGCAGCGCTCGAACACGTCGATCAGCGCGCGCTCCGACTGCGACAGCGGCGCCGCGGGCACGGGCTCGCGAGTGGCCTCCTCCAGCGTCACCGCGCTCGACCGGGGCGGGCAGCCTGCGCGGGCACGTACCGCGGGGGTGGCTGCGTCGGGGGCGCGGTGCGGCCTGCGGGAGGGCGCGGGGGGGGCTGCGGGGCGGGGAGACCTACCAGCGGAGGAGAACAGCACCGCGGCGCCCGCGGCGAGCCCGAACTGGCGCCTGGTCGTGCACGCGGGGTCGAGCGCTCGCGTGACGACGCGCGACCGGGCAGCGATCGGCGCAGCGGCGGCCGCAGCCGCGCTGTGCTGCGCGCAAACCATCCTACGGACAACCACGGACCTCCCAGTTCGCGGCAGACGCGGAGCGCGGCGCGGTCGCGACGGCTGCGATGGCGTTCCGATTCTGCGTGCGCTGCAGCGCAGGTCTCGGACTTGCGCTGGGGCGTTGTGGCGGGACTGTCCGGGACGCCCCAGAGGCATCAGCCACACAGATCCCTCGAGGCTCGAGGGCGCCGCGAGACAACGAGCTGCGTTGCGCGCGACGCGAAGACACTGTGCGCGTGGTTGCGGTGCGGGCATAACATCCTCGCGGAGACGTCTCAACGGGCGGCCACCGGGGTCGAGGCACGCTCTTGGTCCACGACGGCTGTGGCCGCGCATTGTCGCCACACGCTGGCCACGACACTCGCAGCGAGATCTCGAAACGACCGCTAGCGGCCCCGTCTGTTCGCAAGACCGTTCTTAGCTGCGCTGCGGTCGTGCTCGGGCGCTGCTAGGCGCGTTCCACACGCCACCGCTGCGCGCGGCGCACCCTCGCTGGTCCGCGCCGTCCTTCGGCGCGCCGCGTCTTCCCGCATGTTCCGCTCCTGCGGAATGGCGCTCGCGCGCCCCGCGCGCCTCGCGCGCCCCGCGCGCCTCGCGCGCCCTCTAGCGCCCCCCGGTCCGCCTGGTGGCCGCGGTCGCGCCCCGCCCCCGGCCCCGCAGCGCCCCGTGCTGTGCCGCGGCCTGGCCACGTACGAGAACCTCCTGAAGGGCTGCTCGCCGGAGAACAAGGAGGACGTCGCGCGCGTCCTGGAGATCGCGGAGCGCGCCGCAGAGCGCTGGGCGGTGGCGTCGACCGACTTCTTCTACCCGCCGGTCGTCGCGGAGGCGATGGCGGCGATCAAGCAGATGGCCGGCGTCGCCGCCTTCCCCTGGGGCGGCTACGAGGGCGCGGAGCGCTGCCGGCTGGTGTGCGGGCACCCTGACCTGATCGACGCCCTGGAGCTCGCGCCGGCCGAGTGCGAGGAGGTCGCGGCGGTGGAGTGCGAGGGCAACTTCCTGTTCGACGCGGCCTCGCACCGGGACTTCCTCGGGTCGTGTCTCGGCACGGGCATCGAGCGCGGCACCGTGGGGGACATTGCGGTGCTGGGCGAGAAGGGCGCGCAGATCCTGACGACGCCCGAGATCGCCGGCCACCTCGAGCAGGCGCTGCTGCGCGTGCGCAGCGTGCCGGTGACGACGCGGATCGTCCCGCTGTCGGACCTGCGCATCCCGCCCAAGCGCACCAAGGAGGTGCGGACGACGGAGGCGTCGCTGCGCGTGGACGCGGTGGCGAGCAGCGGGTTCGGGATGGGGCGGAGCAAGATGGCGGACCTGGTCAAGGCGGGGGACGTGCGGGTGAACTGGATCGAGTGCAAGAAGGCGGCGGCAGTGGTGGCGGAGGGCGACACCATCTCGGTGACGGGCAAGGGGCGGTGCGAGGTGAAGAGCGTCGCGGAGACGGCCAAGGGACGGTACGCCGTCGTGCTCGTGCGGTACATCTGAGCGCTGTGACCGCGGACGAGGTGCGTATGTGTGTCGCGCGGCCTGTGGTTGTTTGTGGAAGACGACGGGGGGGGTTTGGCCTCGTGCTGACGCACATGAGCCGCTGGCTGGTGACGTGCTGCGGGAGATGTCGCGTGATGCGTCTGGATCGAAGCCCCTGACGGGTGACGTGGCACCACATGGGGTGTTTGTGTTGACGGGGCGCGCGGGGCTGTGAGCCCGGGAGATCGGGCCGGTGCGCAGCTGGCCTGTTGTAATTTCTTGGTGCCCTTCCTGGGAGCTCGAGTCGAAGGCGGAGGCGAAATGCATAGAAGCACGATGATGCTGGCAGCAGGTGCGTCCCGCGGCCCGCTCGGCGTCGTTCATGCGTTCACGCAGGATCCGCCGTGAGTACCAATGGCATGTACGCGCATGCGACGACGCATCCGGCATGCCGCTGACGTGCGAGAGAGCCACCTCGAGTTTTGAAGCGATTCGTCGATGCCGATCCGGAGCCGTGTCTGGCAAACAGCCCACCCTGAACCCTGATCGACATCGATCAGTTCTGAACTAGCTCTGCGTCGCGCTGCTGCAGCGGCCGCGGCGGTCGCCGGGCTCACCGGAGCGTTCGCCACCCCAGAGCAGCCACTGGCCGGCTTCATCCGCGCCCAGGGCACCCACTTCGTCAACAAGGACTGCGCGTCGATCTATCTCAGCGGCTGGAACGGCTGGAAGGTGCGACGAGGGCGTTCGAACGCCCTCCTGCCACGCAATATGTTTCATGGTCCCCAGTGCCCTCGAGGTCTCCCGCGGCCGAGTCTCACTTCCACCGCGCCCCGCGCCACCTCGATCCGGTCGTCCGTGTCGCCCACAGGTGATGGAGGAGGGCGCGAGGGACCCGGACCTGCTCGCCCGCCGCCTCGACGCGGCCGTGGACGCCGGCTTCAACACTCTGCGCTTCTTCGCGCACGGGAGCGACCCCGACATGGTCCTGCAGACCGGCCCCGGCGAGTACAACGAGGAGGCCTTCCGGGGGCTGGACCGCGCGATCGCCATGGCCGGGGAGCGCGGCCTGAAGCTCATCCTGTCTATTTCGAACCAGTGGAAGGCCGCGGACTTTGCGTCGAAGAAGCAGCTCGTGTCGTACGCGGCGGAGCTGGGCCTCGCGCCTGGCGTGCAGTGCGACGTCGACGCGTGCACGAACGGCGGGTACCAGGGCGGGGACGACGACGAGTTTGCGTGTTACGAGCGGGCGTGCCCGAACGAGGACGACGCGTTCTGGACGAACACCGCGATCCGGCGCATGTACAAGGACCATGTGCGCGCCGTCCTGGCGCGCGTCAACACCGTGAACTCGAAGCGGTACTCCAGGTGAGACACGACGCGGCGCGACCGCATCGCATTGCCGTGACACATGTGCTGCTGTCCAGCTCGAGTCAGACACAGCGAGGGCGCACATGAGCGCGACATGTCCATTCCCGGGACGCTGCACGCGTCGTTCTCCTCGCCCGCGCGGCTGCGACTGACCCTGCGCCGACGCTGTGTCACAATGTGCGGTGCAGTGATCCGACCATCCTGGCGTGGAACGTGATGAACGAGCCCGTGTGCCGCCGCGGCACGAGGAACGGCGGGGACGGCACGGGCTGCGCGGACGACGTCGACGCGTTCGTCGCCGACATCTCCGCGCTGATGAAGGACCTGGCGCCGCTGCAGATGGTCACCGTCGGACAGGAGGGCTACTACGGGCCGCGCGAGACCGCGCAGCGCCGCGCCGTGAACCCGATGCCGCCGCAGGAGGGCGGCGCGGACCCGCTCTGGGCGGAGAAGTCCGGCCAGAGCTGGATCCGCAATCACGGGCACGACTCCATCGACTTCTACGGCATCCATCTCTGGGTGAGACGCAGACGCCACATGTCGGCCTCGGCGCGACTGGCGACGTGCTGGCGATGTGCTCACGGGGGGGTTTCGCGGCCGCGGTCGCTGCGCAGGTGGACAACTGGAAGGTGCCGCAGCTGGAGTTCCAGCAGGCGTGGATCGACCAGCACGTGGCGGACGCGACGGCGACGGGGAAGCCGATGATCGTCGAGGAGGTGCGCTGCGTGGACCGCGTGGCTGCGCGTGCCGCCCGCCTTCTTCCGTGCCATTGGCACGCGTCCGCTGCGTCAAAGGGGTGTATTGCTCCGTATGTTTCGCGAGCCCGTGTTGACGCCCGGCGCTCCCAACACGGGTCCGCGACATACATCAGGCAGTACACCACGTTGTGGCTGCAAACGCGGCGCCCATGACACGGAATAAGGCCGCGAATCTTTCGCAGACCTTTCCTCGTGCACTCACTGCCCTGCGAACCGCCTTCGACGATGCAGTTTGGCAAGGTGGCCGACAGGACCAGTCCCGGTGACGTGGAGCGGAGCCGCGATCCGTTCTTCCGGGGCGTGTACGACGCGTTCAAGGCCTCGGTCAACTCCGGCGCGGCACTCCGCGGCGCGCTCTTCTGGGAGTGGGAGGACGACGCGACGCAGGGCGCCGGGAGCGAGCGCGGTGTGCGGCGCAGCGACTCCACGTGGTACATGATCGCGGAGAACGCCGCCCTCGTCCGGAACCTCAACGGTCAACAACGGGGGGTGGGCAGTTGTGTGCCGGGTCGCGAGATCTCGTACAGGTCCACGGACGCCGCTGGGCGCTCATGGCTGTCGCTGGGCGATGGCATGGTCGCGAAGAACGTGCAGCCGCTCGCGGGCGGGGAGGGGGCCGGGTCGGACCGCGCGTCGTGCGCCGCAGCGTGCGCTGAGGGTTGCGCGGGCTTCACGTTCGGGGGCAACGGCTGCGCGCTGATCGGGGAGGTGCGTTCCGGCGAGCAGCACTCGTGGGGGTACCGGTCGGGCGAGCAGACGTTCTGGAAGCTCACTGAGCGCAACGTTGCAGCACTGGGGGCCAAGGTGGCCGCGCGCGGTGGCTCCGAGGCGCCGCCCGTGGCTGCCAGTTCGCGCAACTAGTCGCTCAGTGGCGCTGTAGAGTGGTGCGATGCTGCCGAGAGCGCGCGCCGTGTGAACAGTGTTGGCGAGACGGAGCGGCATCACAGAGCGTGTGTGTGGGGCGCGAGCTGTCGGAGCGGTCACGAGAGGGCTGCGAGCTCCTCCATAGACTTGAGGGCGCCCATGAGGGACTCGAGCTCCTTTTCCAAGTTGGCCTTCTTCTCCCTGTCCTGGGTCTGAACGTCCTCGCCAGTGTTCTTCAGGTACGACTCCTCCGACATGCGCTTCTGCGACCAGCGGGGGGTAGAAACGAGGCGCTCGGACACGCGCCACGCCGCGAGCGCGCCGTCTTTCGGGCAAACTCCGAGCCTGCAACATGCGTGGGAAATACAGCGCGGGGCAGATGGCGACGCACCGCAAGGGTCTGGAGCTTGGAGGACACGCCCTGCTGCTTCTTCGTGAGGCGCTCGATCTCCTTCTGCGGGTCGAGGACGCCGGCCAGCAGCATGTACGCGGTCGTGCTGTCGTTGACCACCGTCACGCTGCACCCCTTCGGCACCGCGTCCGCCGCGCCCAGCACCTCGAGCGACCCCAGCTGCGCGAGCGTCGAGATCTCCGCCCTGGCGCCCGCGAGCACCTCGCGCCGCGCCGCGTCCGCCACCACGAGGAACGCCCTGGGCTGCTGCTTGGGCTGCAGGTCGTAGTCCCCACGCACCGACCGGAACTTCGCGACCACCTCGAGCACCGCGCCTATGTCCCGCTCCGCGCCCTCGTCCTCGAGCGCCGCGTCCGCGCGCGGGTAGTCCGCGACCATGATCGACGGCGCCGCCTGCGTGCCCGGCATGCGCGGCAGCCGCTGCCACAGCTCCTCGGTCACGAAGGGCATGAACGGGTGCAGGAGGCGCAGGCCCGTGTCGAGGCAGACCCAGAGCGCCTGGCGGACGTCGTCGACGGCCTGCGCGTCGCCCCCGCGCAGCACCGGCTTGGCCAGCTCGATGAGGACGTCGCACAGCTTGTACTGCCAAAAGTCGTAGATCGCCGTGGTGGCCTCGCTGAAGCTGTAGGCCTCCATCCCGCGGTTCGTGGTCGCGACGGCCTTGTTCAGCGCGTGGAGGACCCAGCGGCACGCGAGCGGCATGCGCCGCGCGTCCAGGTCGCGCCGCGGCACGAAGGCGTCGCCGAGGTTCATCATGGCGAACTTGAGGGCGTTCCAGAGCTTGTTGCACCAGTAGCGGTACGCGACGACGCGCTTGATGTCGAGGTTGATGTCGCGGCCCTGCCCCGTGTAGGCCACGAGCGCGAACCGCAGCGCGTCGGTCCCGCACTCCTCGATGCCGTCGGGGAAGTCGGCCTTCTGCCCGGCCTTGGCCTTGGCGATCTCCTTCTGGTCGATGTTGCCCGTGAGGAGCGTCTCGTGGAGGCCCTCGAGGGAGATGCCCTCGATGACGTGCGTGGGGTCGATCACGTTGCCCAGGGACTTGGACATCTTGCGGCCGTGGGCGTCGCGCACCATCGAGTGCAGGAAGACCTGCTTGAACGGGACCTTGCCCGTGAGCTTCATGCCCATCATCACCATGCGCGCGACCCAGAAGAACAGGATGTCGTGCCCCGTCTCCAGCAGCGACGTCGGGTAGAACTTGGCCAGGTCGGCCGTCTGACTCGGCCACTGGAACACCGAGAACGGGAACAGCCCCGACGAGAACCACGTGTCCAGCACGTCCTCGTCCTGCACCACGCGCACCGCCTGCCCCGGGTACTTCGCCCGCGCCTTCTCCAGCGCCGCCTCCGCGTCGCCCGCCACCACCCACCGCGACATGTCCTCGGTCGGCATCCCCGGCCGCCCGTGGTCCTCCCCCTCCGCCTGCACGTAGTACGCCGGGATCCGGTGGCCCCACCACAGCTGCCGCGAGATGCACCAGTCCCGGATGTTCTCCAGCCACCGGAACCACGTCGCCTCGAACTCCTTGGGCACGATCTCCAGCTCCCCGCTCCGCACCGCCGCGCACCCGTCCGCGGCCATCTGCCGGCAGTCCACCCACCACTGCGGCTTCAGGCACGGCTCGATCACGTCCTTGGACCGCGAGCACAGCCCGAGGCGCATGGGGTTCTCCTCCGTGCCGCGGAAGAGCCCCTGCTCCTTCATCCAGTCCACGACCGTCTCCCTCGCGACGAACCGCGGCTGCCCCTGGAAGATCCCGCCCGCCGCGTTGATGCAGCCCTCGTCGTCGAGGATGTTGATCGACTCCAGGTTGTGCCGCTTCCCCGTGGCAAAGTCGTTCGGGTCGTGCGCGGGCGTGATCTTCACCGCGCCCGTGCCGAAGTCCATGTCCACCAGCTCCGCGTCGCAGATGATGGGCATCTTCCGGCCGCTCACCGGGTGCACCAGGAACTTGCCCTGCACGTGCTTGTACCTGGGGTCCTCCGGGTGCACCGCGACTGCGAACAACGCACCGAAACGGAACGCCAGCGTTCATGGGGACCGCGGTGCGTGCACGGCGGCGACGGCGGCGGGCGGGGAGAGGCGCGGCGCGGAGTGTGGCTGGCGCAGCACGGGCGGGCGCAGGGCGCCGGCGCGCGGAGCGCCACGGCCCGTGGGAGCGCCGCCCGCGCCGCACCAGCCGCGGTTGCTCTAGCAGCCCCCTACTAGCCACGAACGAGGTTGTGTGGCCCCGGCGCGGCTCAACAAGGGCTGCGGCACGGCGTGGCACCACGCAGGGCCCGGCGGCGCAGCGCGCACCTGCAGTGTCGCCCAGCATCGTCTCGGGACGCGTGGTGGCGATCACGAGCTCCCCGGAGCCGTCCTCGAGCTTGTACGCGAACTTCGTGAGGACGCCAAACTCCACGGGCTTGTCGTACCCCGGCACGGTCAGCAGCGTGCGCTTCGGCACGTCGATGTAGTCCACCTCGATGTCGGACACCGCCGTCTTGAGCCGGCAGCACCAGTTCACCAGGCGGTTGTCGCGGTAGATGAGCCCGTCGGCGTGGAGCCGCACGAACGCCTCCTGCACCGCGGCGCTCAGGTTGGCGTCCATCGTGAACGCCTCGCGGTCCCAGTCCACGGAGGACCCGAGGCGCCGGAGCTGCGTCAGGATGCGCCCGCCGTAGTCCTTCTTCCACTCCCAGACCTTCTCGACAAACTTCTCCCGCCCGAGGTCGTGCCGGGTGACGCCCTGCTCGCGCATGAGCGTCTTCTCGACGATCGTCTGCGTCGCGATGCCCGCGTGGTCCGTCCCGGGGACCCACAGCGCGTTGTACCCGCACATGCGCCGCCAGCGCACAATGGTGTCCTGGATCGAGTTGGTCAGCGCGTGGCCGATGTGCAGCGCGCCCGTGACGTTCGGCGGCGGGATGACGATCGTGAACGGCGGCTTGTCCGACGCCATGTCCGGCTTGAAGTACCCCTGCTTCTCCCACCAGTCGTACCACTTGGCCTCCACCAGCCGGGGGTTGTACCCCTTGGGCATCTCGTACGCCGTGTCCTTCTTCTCCCCCGCCGGCGTCCCCTCGATCTTCCCCACCAGCTCCGCCAGCGCCCGCGCCTCGGCCTCCGCCTTCGCCGCCTTCGCCGCCTTCTCCGCCTGCTTCTTCCCAGCATTCGCTGCAACGCACTCAAGCGCACGCGCAACCACTCGGAACACGCGCGCCCCGCGCCGCCCACACGGCGTGACAGTCAGTCCCTCGGACCGCGCCGCCAGCACTCGAGGATCCGTGGTTCTCACCGGCCTGCTTCGCCTTGACCTCCTCCATCTTCTTGGCCTTCTCCGCGAGCTTGGCCGCCTTCGCCGCCTTCGCCGCGAGCTTCGCCTTCTTCTTCGCCTCCTTGTCCGGGTCCGCGGACGGCTCCGCGCTGACCGCGCTCTGCAGCTCGGCCTCCGCGCGCGCCGCGGCCTGCGCCGCGCGCACCGCCGCGGGGAGCGTCGACGGCGCCGTGCCGCTGCCGTCCTTCTCGGACCGCCGCGACGGCGACCCGTGCCGGCTCTTCGTGCCGTACGCCGACGCCGCGTACCGGCTCTTCGGCCGCTCCGCCTCGGGCACGTGCCAGCCCTCGTCCTCGCGCCACCGCGGCTTGCCCGTCACCCCGCTCACCTGCGGGAGCGCCGCGACCGCCTGCAGCCACTTCATCGTCGCCGGCATCGACGCCACGACGTCCTTCCCGAACGTCGAGTTCACCATCGCGAGGATCACCGCGTACAGCGCCAGGTCGGCCAGCGTCAGCGCGCCGTCGCCCACCACGCGCAGGACCGTGCGCGAGTCGAGGTACGCGTTGATCTCGCGCAGGTCCCGCTCGAGGATCTCGCGCGCGTGCGCGCGCTCGCGGTCCGTGGCGTGCGACGAGTGCGGCAGCAGCCAGTAGGACGCCCACGAATACAGGTTGAGGGCCACGTCCATCCACTGCTCGACCTGGGCGCGCCTGCGAGCGGAGCGGGCAGGACTGCGCTCGGCGGCGAGCTCGCGGCGCGCGGGGCGGTGCGTTCGGGCGGGAGCGCGGGTGTGGGGACGCACTCGTACGCGTTGGCGGTGGGCAGCAGCGGGCTCGGTCCCTTGCACAGCGCGAGGTACTTGGCGATCGCGTTGGCGCCGTGGATGACCACTCCGTCCAGGCGGAGCTCGGGGTCCTGCGCGGAGCCGTCGAGGCGCGGGGAACGCAGCGGGTGAGCGCCGCGGGCCGCATAGCGGGCCGAGCCGGGGGGCCAGGCCGCGCCGTGTGCGATGAAGAGCGCGCGCTGAGCAGCATGCACATCGCGGGTATCGGGGCGGGCAGGAATGGCGCGCATCGAGCGGCGCGGGGGGCGGCGCGGCGGAGGGTGCAGATGGGCCCAGGGGTGGGCTCCGGGGTCGCCGCGTCAGGTCGCTGGACGTCACTGGAAGCCGGCCCACCGAGAATCCAATGGAAATGGCCGGAAGTCCGAGAAACGGCGGGGAACGGCGCGAGGAACGCGCTCTACTCCGCGGAGCGGCGGCGGCTGGTGCTGCCGGAGAGCAGGGGCCCCGCAGGCGCCTCCACGCAGCTGCCGGGAGCTCCGGCGTCCCGCATTCGCGCTACGCGTTCGCCATATCGGCACCCTTCGCCGTTTCCGAGTCAGTCTGACACAGAGCGCCCCAAACATCGGCGCTCCGCGGCCCTGATCGCCTGCTCTCTCCAGCAAGCGTCGGCAGCGCAGGAGGCGCAGCTGCGGCGCTGTTGCGTGGCGCGCGCGTGCGGGGCCACGCTGAGGGCGGCGCCCACCTTCAGGTCCGAGTCAGGCGCCTCGACGGTGAGCTGGGCGCCGGAGAAGGCCGAGGTGGCCATCGCAAGGTAGGCGCCGTAGTGGTTCGGGGGCGCCTGGAAGACTGCCATGGCCGGGGGTGCGGGCCGGGTGCCACGCGTCGCACAGTCTCCCTGTTCGGGACGCGCTCGTCTGGCCGGGACGCGCGCGCGGGTGCCCAGTTGGCGCAGCGCGGACAGGGCTGCTGAGGCCGGTCAGGGGGGATGTCGCGCGCGGGGGGCGGGGGGGTGTGGCAGAGGTGCGGCTCCGGGAGCGCGCAAGGGCGCGTACGGGGAGGCCGCGGGGGCACTGGACTCCGCGTGTGCAAGCGGGGGTGCCGCGGCGTGCGTGTGAGGTGCGGCGAACATCAGCATTGCCCAGGGGCGTGTGCCGATTGCATCTCTGGAGGCCATTGCGTTTTCGAGGTCAGACAGTTACCTGGCCGAAGGAAGAGGGCGGTTGGACAGCCCGGTTCGCGCGTTCCGCGGCGCGGGAGACGAGACGGCCCGCCAGTGGCGCGGCGCGAGTGGGTTGCCGCCATGGGCAAGAAGAAGTCGTTCCTCGACAAGAAGAAGGCGACCACCTACCAGCTCGTGCTCAACGATGCCGAGGACGGCGAAGATGCCCCCCGCATCGGCCTCCAGGCCATCAAACAGGGCGGAAAGTGGATCACTGACGGTGCGCAGGAGCAGACCCCCCCCGCGCGCTAGCCCCGCATCCTCGTCAGCTCCGCACGCCCTGCGTGGCCCACTGGTTGCGATGCGAGGCCAGTCCGCCGCGGCGACCGACCGTGGGCGCGCCGCTCGACCGCCCCGCAGACGGCGAGGCGGCGCACCTCGACCCCCTCGCTGGGGCCGGGGAGGACTACGACGAGGTCGACGAGTGGATCCAGGGCAATATTCACCCGTCGGAGCGCGCCGCCGTGCGCCCCGCGCGCCCGGGAGGCGCCGCGGCGTCCTTCCCGTGGCACCTGTTCACTGACGGGCCCAGCGGGGCGGAGGAGCACGGTCCGGCGTGGGGCGCGCGGCGGAAGGAGATCATGGAGCTCGGCCTCCCCGACGACGGCTACGACTACCTGAAGCACCTCCGCGCGCCCGCGCCCGCGCCGCCCACGGCCGCCCTCCCCGCCACGGCCAGCGCCGCCGCGGCCGACGGCCGCATCGTCGTCGGCGAGCAGCGGAAGCCCAAGGGCGAGAAGGCAGCGCCGGCCGTCGGCGGCGGCGGCCCGACGATCTTCCTCCCGGCGCTCGAGCCGGCGCAGGACGTGGCCCCCGACGCGCGCGAGTTCGACGCTCGCGCGCTGGTGCTCGGGCAGGCGGCGACCGACGAGGCGGCGGCGGAGGGGCGCTCGAACGCGGTGTCGGCGGCGGCGCGGCCGGTCGAGGAGCTCCGGGCGCGCGAGCGGCGGATGCGCGAGGAGCTGGACGCGGTGATGGCGGCGCTGGAGGAGGGCGGGAGCGACGCGGGGGACGAGCTGGAGGACGACTTCGTGCTGCTGTCGACGCAGGGGCCGGCGTCGGGGGCGGCGGAGACGGAGGACGAGGACGAGGAGGGCAGCGAGGGGGCGGAGAGCGAGGGGGGCGCGGAGGGGGAGGTGGGGCGGAGCGAGGCGGGGAGCGACGTGGCGGCGATGAACGCGCAGTTCGACCGCGTGGCGATGGAGTACGACGACGAGGACATCGGGTCGCTCGAGGACGAGGAGGGCGAGATCCGCGGGCGCGCCCCGGCGGCGCGCTTCGCGGACGTGTTCGACGAGTTCATCGAGACGCACGCGGGGGCCAAGGCGCGCGAGCGGGGCACGGCGTACGCGGCGCCGGCGGACGGCGGCGGCGACGGGGGCTTCGTGGCGTGCGCGGCGTTCGACGGCGCGCGGGAGGGGTATGTGTTTCGCGCGGGGCCGCAGGGGCCGGGGTACTACCGGGACGACGCGGGGGGGGAGTCCGGGGAGGAGTGGCTGGACGAGGAGGCGGCGGTGGCGCGCGCGGCGCTCGCGCGGACGAAGGCGCTCGCGGAGAAGTTCCAGTACGGCGTGCAGGCGGTGGAGTCGGACCAGGAGCGGGCGGCGCGAGAGGCGCGCGAGGCGCGCGAGCTCAGGTGCGGCCGGCCGTCTGCGCTGCCATCTCCGCGCGCGTCTGCTTCGCCGCGGCCGTCGGCGCGACGGAGCGGCGTGCCGGTTGCGATGCAGGCGCATGATGGAGAAGCCGCGCGAGCGGTGGGACTGCGAGTCGATGGCGTCGATGCGGAGCAACGCGCTGCACCACCCGGGGCGCATCGGCGCTCCGCCGAAGCCGGCCTCGCGCGCGGGCGCCGACGGCGCCGCGCCGGCGCCCGTGAAGCTGTCGGCGCAGGGCGTGCCCGTGGGGTACGTCCGTCGCGCTCCGGCCCGCGGCGAGGAGGCCGGCAGCGAGGACGGCGGCGAGGACGAGCACCCCGCGCCGCCGAACAGCGCCGCGCCCAAGGCGCGGACCAAGGTGCGCCCACAAGTGTTGCTCTGGCGCGCAGAGGTTGACGGTGACGCGCTGTGCGCGACCGGCGCGCCGTGCCCGCTCGCCGTGCGGTGCGTTCGGCCGCGCGATCCGCGCGCGCGCCGCGGCGTCTCTCGTGGTGCGCAGGGGGAGTCGGCGGAAGAGCGGCGGGCGCGGAAGCAGGCGGTCAAGGACCAGAAGCGGGCGCGGCGCGAAGAGAAGAAGCGGTCGACGGCGGTGTTCAAGGGCGTGATGCAGCAGGCGCAGCGGCAGCAGGCCGGCATGGGGCAGGCGAGCTCGGTGATCAAACTGTGACGGGCCGGCGCGCGCGCGGGCGGCGTGTTTCGTGCGCGGGTGATCAATTACTACTCTGCGTGTGACTGGGAGTGCCGGTCGCGCGGGTTCCGGGGGCGGGGACGGCCGAGCTGGCGGCGAGGCGGTTCGTCCGAGGCGGCGGCCACCGCGCAGCGATGGTGGTCGTGCGCCGTGCGGGGGTTGGTCGCCGTAGATGCATGCCGGGGGGAAGCAGCGCCGGGCGCGCGCTCGGGGGCGCGGCGTGAGTTTTCTTGCGGCGCGCAGGCTTCTTTGATGCGTCGTGGTCCGTCTCGCGTCACGCGCGGGGCGGCGAGGCGGGCGCGCGCGGGTGCGCTGCGGGGAAACATCGAGGTGGCGCCAGGCGGCCCCTGCGCGCGGTGTTGCGTTGGGACGCGCAGGTGCCGACCTTGGCGCGCGCAGACGAGGCAGCTGAGGCCGCGGCGCCGGGCCTCCGGGCGTTCCGGCGCCCGTGGGCGCGGTCGCGCGCGCCACGGTCGTTACTGACCGCGCCTACAGGCCCCAGTCGGCTACTTGGGGCCGCCCCGTGGGCGGAGCGCGGCAAAAGCGAGCCTGCATCGGCTCTCTCATTTCCCTCCTTCGCATCACCTTGACTTTGCGACTGCACGACACGCTGCTGCGCGCCCGCACACGACGGAACAAGGCCAGTGCCGTATGCACGCCGGTCCTGGCGGCACGGGACGTCATCGGGTGTAGCAGCGACGCCTGGTTGTTGAAGTCACTCACATCATAGAGTAGCGGCGGTCCCAATGGACGCCGGGCCAGACACGGCCACCGCCGCGCGCTCCGACCGGGCGACGTCGTCGCCCGGGCTCGCAGCCGGGCGGTCCCCGGCGCTGCAGGGCAACGGAACGCAGGTAAATATTCCCGTCCCTGCGCGCGCACTTCCCGGCCACGAGGTCGTTGGCCGTTACGGCACCTCGTTGCCTGCGTGCCTGCGAGTCCACCGCCCTCCATGGCGCCGCCGCGGCCGCGCCGGTGCCGCGATTCGCTGCGAAATGGCGGGCGCTTCGCGCCCGTGGTCGGCGCCACTCGCCGCGCGGCCCCTGGCGCAGCTGCGACAGGAGGCTCGAGGCGCAGGCCGTGGTGGGCACGCCGTTTCCGGCCGATCGGGCCCCCGACCGATGGTTCCCACCGCCCGCTCGCCTCCTCGCACCTCTGCAGGCCAACGTCTGCGCCGTCAGCGGCGCTTACGCCCACAATGGCGCGGAATCGCAAGCCGAGCACCGACTGCCTCTGGACCTCGAGGAGGAGCTCGTTCAGCTCCTGGGCGACAGCCAGAACGGCCTCGTAGCCGACTTGGTGCGTGAATACCCGCCCGAGCTCAAACGTCGCCGCCCGCCCGCCGCGTTCGTTACTTGATACTTCGCGGACTAGTTACCGCGCGCCCCTCGAACGCCACGCCCCCGTGCGGCGCGGCGCCCCCCCCGCCGCGCGCCTCCCGCTTCCTCGAGGCCGCACGGCCGCGCTGGCGCCCCGCGCCGCCCCGGGCCCGCCGCGCCAGGCTAGTCGCCTCAAGCTCCCTTCCCCGCGCCTCCTCGCCCCGCGCAGGACGCCCTGAAGGAGGCCCTCCCGGGCTGGACCTCGTCCGCGATGAACGGGTACCACCAGGAGGTCGGCACCTCCCGCGGGGACCCCTCGGACTCGTCCACGGAGACGGGCGCCCCCTCGGCGCAGACGGCGTCCGTGTCAAGCGCGGCCTCCTACACCAGCTACGGCAGCGGCAGCAGCGGCAACACGGTCCCGGTCAGCTTCATGGGCCACGGCGGCTCGATGCCGGGCGCCCACGGCGTCCGCCCGCCCTCGACGATGCCCACGGTGTCGACGGCGAGCACCAACGGGATGGTGCCGTACTACGCCACGCCCAGCACGGGCGGGCTCGCGGTGCCGTCGGGCCACGTAACGCCGGCGCCCATCCCGCACAGCATCCCCGCGCTCGTCGGGCAGGGCCCGCCGATGCAGCAGCAGCCCAGCCTGGCGCAGCAGCTGGAGGCCGCCGCCACCATGTCGGCCGCGGCCGCGGGCCTGCCGCCCGGGTCGCCGGAGTTCCACGCCGCGCGCGCCGCGACGCTCGCGCTCCTGCGCCGGCAGCTCGCGATGCCGCCCATGGCCCCGCCGATCGCCGTGCCGGGCCTGATGGGCGCCGCCACGTCGGGCGCGCCCACCTCGGGCCCGCACGCGCAGACGCTGCCGCCGGACGTCCAGCAGCTCGCCGCGGGCCTCGGCAAGCTCGGCCTCGGCACCGGCGTCGCCGACGGCCCGCGCCGCCCGGCCCCGGCCACGGTGGGCGCGCCCTACGCGCCGCACCAGGCCGCCGCCGCCGCCGCCGCGATGGCCGCGGGGCGCTTCCTGAGCCCGACCGGGTCGCTCCCGCACCCGCAGTGGGGCTGGGGCTTCCCGGGCGCCGAGCAGGGGGGCGTGCCCGGCCTCGTGCCCGGCCTGGACCACATGACGTCCCTGGCGGGCATGTCGCCGACGGACTTCGCGGCGCGGCTGTCGTCGACGCCGCCGGACCCGCAGGCGTGCCGCGTGCTGCAGCGCATGGTCGAGGACGGCGGCTCGAGCACGGTCGCGGAGATTTTGCCGAGCGTCCTGCAGGCGCTGCCGACGGTGGCCGACATCCCCGCGGGCTCCGGGCTGATGCTCAAGGTGCTGGAGCGGTGCACGGACGCGCAGCGCATGGCGATCATCCGGCACCTGGTGCAGGGCGGGCACCTCGCGCAGCTCGCGATGCGCCCGCACGGCACGCGCACCGTGCAGCAGCTGGTGCAGGGGGCGCGCGGGCGCGAGCAGGGGTCGCTCCTGGCGAGCGCGCTGCAGCCCGAGGTGCTGCAGCTGATCCGCGACGTGCACGGGAGCCACGTGCTGCAGCGGTGCCTGCAGCGGCTCGACCCCGCGGACTCGGCCTTTGTCTTCCACGCCGTGCTGTCGCACTGCTCGCTGGCCAGCACGGACCGGCACGGGTGCTGCGTGGTGCAGCGGTGCATCGACTACGCGACGCCGGCGAACCGCCAGGCGCTGATGGCGCTGCTCGCGGCGGTCGCGCGGATGCTGTCGGAGAGCGCCTTTGGCAACTACGTGGTGCAGTACGTGCTCGACCAGGGGCAGCCAGACACGACGATCCAGGTCATGCAGCAGCTCACGGGCCACTACGCGCGGCTGTCGACGCAGAAGTACGCGTCGAACGTCGTCGAGAAGTGCCTCCGCCAGCAGAGCGCGGCCGTGCGCCCGCACCGCGACGCCATCATCCAGGAGCTCATGGACTCCCCGTCCTTCCCCTCGATGCTCCTCGACCAGTACGGCAACTACGTCGTCCAGTCGGCGCTCGCCGTCGCGTCCGGACCGCTCGCGCAGGCCCTCGTCGACGCCATCCAGCCCCACGCCCACATGCTGCACCGCAGCGCCCACGGCAAGCGCATCCTCTCGCGGATCCAGCGCAAGGCGCAGGCCGCGTACCTCGCGCACCCCGACGCCGCGCTCAAGCAGCCCCCGCGGGCGCCCGTCCCCGACGCCATGTAAGCGTCGGGACGGCCCCCTCGGGGGGGCCTCCCGCGCGCGGCCCGCGGCTGCCCTGCACGCAGTGGGCGGCCGACGACCCGAGACCGGGACCCCCCCCTCCCTTCCCTCCGTGCTTGCTGTTCCCTTGTCAGCGCGAAAGAAGCCGCTACGGGAAGGTTTTGTGCTACTGCAGCTACGCAGCATCTATACCCCCTCCCTTTCCCCCCTTCCCCTTCCCTCCCGCTTCCCTGGCCCCACGCCACGTGAGGCGCCTTGCCAGCCGCTTGGCAACCACTCCAGGGCAAGGCGCCCCCTCGGACCTCGTCCCCCCGGCAGCCCTGGGGGTGCATGACTCTCTCCACGTGGGCCACTACGGCCCTTTTTCCCTCCCCTAATCCTGAGACCGAACCATACCTTGCGACGCCTGCGGCGCTCCGTCGGGCGCTCGGCCAGGATCGGAGACCCTGGCCCTGCAGAAGACGACACCTCGTCTGTCGAACTCAGGCTCGCACGCTGCTCAGCTAGCCCGACCATGCTCAGCTTTGCTGCGCGGTGCCCGAGGCCCGCGGCCGCCCTTCGCGGCCCCGGCGTCGGCCCGCCCCTTCCGGCCCAAGCCTGCCTCCACTGCTCCACCACTGCAACCGCCAGGCGCCAACCCTCCCCTCGAACGCAGCGCCATCCCAGTGCACCGCCCCCGGTCCGACGTCGCCGCGCCGTCGCCGCGCCGTCGTCGGCAGCACCATGTTGTTGATGTACCCCCGCGTACATCCCCAGGGCCTCTCCCGAGGCCCTTGTTTTCGACGCTGTTCCGGGGAGCAGGGGCGAGCGGGCCGCGGTCGTCAGCGGCGCCCGCGCCACTCCGGTCGCCCCTCCCCCCCCATTCCTGTCCGCCGCCACCGCCCGTGTACCCCTCGTCGTGCACGTGTCGAGGGCGGGGGCGGCTCCCCGACTACACCTGCGCGCCCAGGCGGGCGCCGCTCGCACGCCCCGCGCGTGCGGCCAACCCGCCTGGCGCGTCCGTCCCGAACGAGCGTGTACCACAGCAAGCCCACTTGGCCACCCAGGCCAAGGAGTAGGCAGACAGCCCCCACCCCCCCCCAACCGTCTAGTAGGACCCCTCAGCGACACCCCCCCTCCCCCCGCACCCCCCCGCACTCCGATGCGTTGCCGGCGCGGCGCTCGCGAGCAGCCTCGCCGCTCCATCGGATGTGTTTGCGGACCCAGTCCCCCTCGGCCCTCCCGCGCCTCCTCTGCCTTCCCAGGTCACACCCCCGCCCCCTCCACCCCCGCGCCCCACCCGCGAGCTACGCTGCCGCAGCCTTCCCCTCCGCTGAAGGACCGAGCGTGAACAAGCTCACCGGCCCCACCCGCAGCGAGTGTACCCCCACGACCCCGTGCCCCGCGACTGTCCACGGTGCTGCTGCGCCTGGCGCGCCACACAATTGCTCTGCCGACTGACTGGCGGCGCCGGGTAGGTACATCAGGAGCGGTCGAATTCGACCACTGCCACCTACGCCCAGGCCAGCACCAACGACGACTCTCCGCGACAGGACACCCTCCTGAACCCACTTGCATCCCCTCTCCCTGCTTGGTTCTGCTCCTACCGCCCCCTTCACCTCGACCATGCAACGACTCTCTCTCCGCTCCCCCCGCCCTCTCCCCCCCCATCTCCCGGAGCCCCCCACCGCTGCTCGATTCTGGCCCCGCCGCGTTGACATGCGCCGAAATTCATCATGGACCACTCCCAGGCAACGCCATCGCTCAGCGCAATGTCAGTTGTGTTCCGCGGAATGCAACTTTGTCCCCATCCCCCCCCCCTTCACTATGACCGCAGCGATCCCAGCTCCCATTATCGAAGCCGCTCAGCCGACGCTGAAAAGAACGCACGGCTAGTCGAACTGCCGAGCTCGGATCATATCAGATTTATTTGCTCGGCTCTGCAGCACACTGCGAAACAAGCGATGGCTCCACTAGCATGGCGCCGGAAGCATCACACCGATCGATGCCGACGGTAGCGTGTGACACCCCGACCTCGTTGAAGGAGCAAAGCTTCGAAGCGTCTGCGTGAGTCTCGCCTGCCGTACAGTGTCGGTCGCTGAATCATCTTCGCGGCGAGAGTGCTTGTAGGTCAGCGAAGTACAAACAAAGTTTCGGTCGCTCCGGCATCCTCGCGGTGAGGGTGCCTGCGCCAGCTGCGAGCAACCACGCTGGGTGCTGAACCACCGTGACCAAGCAGGACAGCACCCGACGCCAGCGAGACGGGCCAACAGAGTCGCGTGCTTGTACTTCGCTGACCTACGAGCACCCTCACCGCGAGGATGCCGGAGCGACCGAAATGGTGCGGCAGGCGAGACTCACACAGCAGACAGGATAGACAGGTGACCGCTGACCTCAACTCCTAGCCACAATGATCAGCCAGCATCGACTGGCCCCCCGCGAGTCTGGTCATGGTGAATCCAGCAGCAGCAGCCCAGCGCCCAGTCTCTGAACGACCCCAGGTGACGACGGGCCTTTATGCCTCGGTCCAGCAGCACGTCCAGAGTCCAACCGACATGAGTCAGTGTGCCAGTCCCCCCGGGGGTGTGTACCCACGCTGCCACCGCACCGCCGTAGGGGCACGGCTGCAGCAGGCCTTCACGAACTTCTTGGGATTGTCGGGCTGGGTGGAGTACGCCTCGGAGAGAACAAGCGCGGACCATTACTGGCGCATGGGGGCGCGTAGCACTTTCGGTACGGGTCCATATCCCGCCTACCCCATGCGAGGCCGTCGCCCGCATTCCTGGCGTGCCGGTATCGCGGCCAGGCCAGTTGGGAACCGTGCTGCACGACTCGTCCACTGGAGCTCGTTCTCATGATGTTACATAGTACATGAGCGCGGTCGCCGGTCGGAACGGCAGGCTGGCCATCGGCGGTGCGAGAGTTTCGCTTGCGCTCCATGGGGCAGTGAGCCGCTTCGTGCGCAAGGGACGTGCAGAGGCACTGCGGGGAGGTTGATGCAGGCGGGAACGCCGTGCTCCGGGGGCCGGAGCGGTGTCCGCGTGAGAAGGCAGCGCAAGCGGTCTTCGGGCCCAGGTTGGGGGGCGCGTGCAGCACGGGACGGTGGCGGCAGGGACGCAGCGCCCGTTGCTGGTGCGGGCGCGCGAGCTGGCTGCCGTCGCTCGTTCCTGCGCGGCGCACGGGTCTCGTGCGCCGGACGCGGACAAGTCGGTGGAAGCTGTCGAAGAGGCTGTTCAAAAAAGCACTGCGTGTGGTGGGCGGCACGCCAGCGAGCGTGGGTTGTTTGGCGCGGCACATGTTGTTGGCGGGGGCGGTGGACAGGGTGACGGGGAAGGGGCGGGGGAGTGGGGTGGATGGGGGCGTGGCTGCGGAGGCGATCACGTGCTCGCGGAGATGCGAGGGGGGTGTTCGCAGTGAGGGGGGGGGCTGTGCAGTGCGTGTTGCGTTCATGTCGGCGGGTTCGTGTGTGGCCAGGCTTGCGGTGGGGGAGCGAGACGAAACGTCTCCATGCGTCGCCCCGAGCAGCTGTCGCAGCGAATCTTTGGTGGGCGCGAGCCGTGCACCGTTGGTTGGCGAGCGTGCACGTCGACGTTCTGTCTTAGTGCAGCAGAGCACTTAAGGGGAGGGGAGGGGAGGGAGGTTGCTGTTTGTTCGCAGAGAGGGTGGGGGAGCGGAAGGGCACGCGTGTCCGGCACAGGTTCGGACACGTCCAGCCACTCACTGCTTTCCGGCGGGGGTTAGACGGAGCGGGGGGGGGCTGCGGCGGGGCGGGTTGTTCCGCGAAGGTGGAGTGCTCCTTTGGCGTTCGGTTCAGTGCAGGTGTCAGTGCCAGGGCGCACGACACAACAAGGGCAGGCAGGGTGCGCCGGGGCACCGTGGGCAGCCGACCTCGAGGCGCGCTACAGTTGCGCGGGGCGGGGGGCGAAGCGCGCACGACGCGCGGAGTCGCCGAGCGTCGGCTCGGGAGGCGAAGCGAGGCAGTCGGCTTGCGACGGCGGGCGGAGGAGGTCCACCAGCACCGTCGGACAAGCGAGCTTGAGGGTGTAAATGCCGTCGTCGGGCGGCTCGGCGTGGGGCACGGCGCGGGGCCCGGGGGCCTTCGTGACGCCGTCCGTGGTGTGCACGCGCCGCTCCACGGCCAGCGCGGCGGGCCGCGGGGGCGCCGGGGGCGCGAGCTCGGGGGGCGCAGCGAAGCAGCCAAACATGCGCGCCCACAGGCCGCGCTTCGTCGGCGCGGCGGCAGCGGCCGGCCCGCGGATGGATGAGATGTGTATCTCCGGGGCGTCGAGGCGGGTCGCCGAAGGGAAGAGCGCCGTGGTTGCGGAGCCGCGCGCGCCCGAGCGCGTGTACATCGTCGGGGTGCGGTCGTCCAGCACCGCGGACATGTCGTTCGTGGAGGGTTCCGACGCGTCGCGGGAGCCGCGCTGGGTGAGGAACGGGTGGTTGCGGACGGCGTCCATGGAGGGCCGCTCGGCGGGGTCGTCGTGGAGGCAGAAGCGCAGGAAGGACGCCGCGTTGCGCGAGAGCAGCGGGGACATGGCCGCGAGCGGGTCCACGGCCTGCCCGTGCGAGCGGTGCGGCGTGCGGCCGTGCAGGAGCTCGAAGACGCACATCCCGAAGGACCACACGTCGGCGGAGAAGGAGTAGCCTCGCCGCAGGGCGCGCGGGACGACGTGGCCCGTCGGGTGGCTGCCCGAGCGCTCGACCTCGGGCGCCATGAACTCCTTCGTGCCCAGCCGCGTGATCGGGCGGTGCACCGCGGGCTTGATCGCGAACCCGAAGTCGATGAGCTTCAACTGCCCGTCGCGCGCAATCATCATGTTCTCCGGCTGCGGGGGGCGCGCGGGGGGGACCGGGACGATCAGCCGCCGCTCGAGGGGGGCCGCGCGTAGGCGTGGGCGCGGGGGGGGCCGCGCGTAGGCGTGGGCGCGGGGGGGGCGGACCTTGATGTCGCGGTGCATGATGCCCCGGCTGTGCATGTAGGCGAGGGCCTGGGCGAGCGGGGCGGCGATGGTCGACGCGACCCAGGCCTCGCGGCTCCGCATGCAGCGCGCGTCGGTCACGAAGCGCATGCGGTCGTCGAACACCGAGCACAGGTCGAAGTTGGCCAGCTCCATCACCATCATGTAGTGCGTGCGGCCCAGGACCGCGCCGTACACCTGCAGGACGCCCGGGTGCGCCATGCTGGCCTGCGGACGCGCGGGGGCGGTGCGCGGGGGGGGTTGGCCGGCGCCGTGGCGGGCGCGCGGTGCGACGGGCGGCGCGGGGGTCGGGACGGCGGGCTCGCGCGCGCGAGGTGCGTGGGTGTGTACCTGGAGCTCTGCTTCGCGGCGCAGCTGCATCACTTCGAGCGCGCAGAGCTGCGTGACGTCGACGATTTTCAGCGCTACACTGGTCTGTGTGTCGCGGTCGACCGCCGAGTATACGCGCGACTTGGGCCCGGATCCGATCTCCCTCACGACCATGAAGCGCTCCGAGGTGATCGGCGTCGCCGCGAAGTGCTCCGGGCACGACAGAAAGGGCCCAACTGGCAGCGCCAGGCACTCATGGCCTACCGCGCGGGCCGGCAAGCTCGCAACGAGCTTCCTTAGCCCTTCCATTACCTGCGCAGGAGAGCGGAGAGCCGGGCGGGGTGCGGTCAACGCCGTTCGCGGCCCGCTTCTGGCGCACATTCCGCGACAACGTGGGGGCAGACTGATCGGGCGTCTCGCGCGGCAATGCTCCGGCGCGCCGAGCGGCACTGTGCGCGCGGCGGCGGGTCGAAAGGGACGTTAGTGCCCGCACAGGGGGGCGGCACGCGATCCGCCCGCGGCGGCGTCGCCCCGCCGAGGTACCGGTCGTGAGCAGGCGCGCAGCTGCCGGCAGCGCACGCGGGCCGCTTGCGCGCGAGCGGGCCGTCCGCGCCGGCTGGTGGAAACCGCACGATCGCGCGTGGTCCGCGGCGTGGCCCGTTGGCGGGCCGATTTCGCGCAGCGGGCAGTTGTATTGCAGTGGCACGACGGATGTGCGCGTCTGCGCGCAGTGGGGCTTACCCTGTGGACCGGTGCGCCTTGCGAGGAAAGCTTATGTTCAGACGTTTCAATGTGCGGCCATGCCAGGGCCCAGGGGTGCGCACACGGCCGGGGCGAGCGTTCAGTCGGGGGACGCTGCGAGGGACACGGGGTGGCGAGCTTCGACTCGCGACGGCGTGTCTTCGTGGTTGTGAGAGAAGCAACGTGCAACAGTGACGCCCCGCCGCCGCGCCGCGCGCCCTCGTGACGCCAGGCCGCGAGGACGGCCCGGCGCTCGGCGTCCGAGCTCTGCCTGACTGGTGACTCAGGCGGTTGACAACTACCGCGCAGTGTTGACACAACTACCCGCAGGAGCGGCAGCGCCGCCGCCGCCGCGGGGCGCGTGCGGGCGCGGCGTGGGCCGGAGGAACGGCCGCGGTGCGTCGCGGGCGCGTGCGTCACAGCCGGCTGGGGATGCCGCGGGCGTGCAGGTGCTGCTTGACGTCCGCCACGGGCACCTCCCGGCGGTGGAAAATGCCCGCCGCGAGCGCCGCCGCCGCCCCCGTCTTCTCGAACACCTGCGCGCGGCGGGCGGGCGGCGGAGCGCGCGTGGGCGCCGCGGTCCGGCTTACTGGACTCGTTGCCACCCGACCAGTACTGGTACCAACGAACACCGGCGCCGTGCGGCGCGCACGCGCCTCGCGCGGCGCGCGCACGCGCGGCGGCGCGCACGCACGACGCACGGGACGCGCAGGGGAGCAGCGGCCGCGACGCGCGGGCCGCGCGGGGCGCGCGCGGGGGAGGGGGGGGGTGCGGCGCACCTCTGCGAAGTGCTCGGGCTTCCCGGCGCCGGACGAGGCGATGACGGGGATGGACACGGCGTCCGAGACGGCACGGACGAGGTCGATGTCGAAGCCGCTGTTCTGGCCGTCGCGGTCGATGCAGTTGAGGAGGATTTCGCCGGCCCCCAGCGCCTCGACGCCACGCGCCAGCTCCACCGCGCCCAGGTCCCGCGTCTCCCGCCCGCCCTTGACCGTGCACTGCCACCAGCACCGCGTCTCGCCGTTCGGCCCCCGGCTCCCGTCCGTCACCTGCGCAGCACCCCGCACCGGGCCCCCGCGAGTGTCGACGCGGCGCACATGCATCACCGCCCGCACGTGCGCGCGGGGGGCGGGAGGCGCGCGCTCACCTCGACGGTCTCGTGCGGGCAGTCCTCGCCGTCGGCGACCCACACGCGCTTCGGGTCGATGGAGATGACCACGGCCTGCTTCCCGTAGACGCGCGAGATCTGCTCGATCGCCGTGCTGCCGTCCGGGGCGCCCCCGCGCGCCCGCAGCGCGAGCACGGCCTCGACGGCGTCGCCGCCTATCGAGATCTTGTCCGCGCCGCTCCGGAAGTACTCGGCGGCGACCTCGAGCGCGGTGTAGGTGCGGCCCTCGCTGTCGACGAACCCGCGGATGCCGCCGCCGATGGTGAGCGGGACGAACACGCGCTCGGAGGCGGCCTTGAGCATGTCGATCATGGGCGCGTCGTGCAGCGGGAAGTCGCGGAACCCCGTGATGTTCAGGAAGGTCACCTCGTCGGCGCCCTCGTCGTAGTACCGCCCGGCGAGCTCGACGGGCTTGCCGAGGTTCCGCACGCCCGCGTTGCTCTCGCGCACGTCGTACTGGTCGCCCTTGGTCACGACCAGGTCCCCGGCGTCGTTGCTCCGCACGTCCAGGCAGGCGATCACGCGACGCGCCAGCCCGCGCGAGCCGCCGCCGCCCGCCGCCGCCGCCGCCTGGTCCGCCGCCGCCCCCTCCGGGTCCACGAACGCCTTGAACACCCCGAGCCCCACGTTCCCGGACTTCTCCGGATGGAACTGGCACGCGGACACGTTGCCCTTGTTCACCGCCGCGATGAAGTCCTCGCCGTAGCTCGACGTCGCGAGCACCCAGTCGTCGTTCCCGGGCTCCGGCACCGCGCGGTACGAGTGCACGAAGTACACGCGCGACCCGCGCACGCCGCCCAGCAGCCCGCTCCCCGCCCGCCGCTCGTCCAGCGTGTTCCACCCGATGTGCGGCACGGGCAGCCGCAGCGCCTCGGCGTCGAACAGGCCCACCGTGCCCGGAATGATCCCGAGACCCTCCACGCCGCCGGACTCCTCCGACCCGTCGAACAGCAGCTGCGGGCGCACAGAGACACAACACGACACACGCACGTCGGCTCCTGCGCGACGCCGCGCGCGGAGCGAGGCGGCGCGCGTCCCGCGGCGGAGCCGCAGCGCACCTGGAGACCGAGGCAGATGCCCAGGAAGGGCTTCCCGGACGCGATGTAGTCCTGGATGGGGTTGACGAGGTCCTTGCGCTTCAACACCTCCATGGCGCTGCCGAACGCGCCGACGCCCGGGAACAGCAGCTTGTCTGCGGACGGTGGGGAAGGAGCGCGCGGGGTGGGGCGGTGCTGGCCCGCGCGCGTCGACCCCCGCGGCCACGAGGGGGCGGACGAGCGGCGGGTGGGAGGGGGGGGCGCCCGCGGGTGGTGGGGACGCAGGACGGGCGAGTTGGCCGGGTGAGGAGGATCTTCGGGGTCGAATGGATGCGCGGGGCACATCTTCGCATCGGGCGGCGCGGTGTTCGCGCTGCGACGCGAGGCGTGTGCCAACAGAAGACCACGCCGGGCGCGGCGACGACGCCGCGGGGCTTGCGCGGGATCCGGCTGGCGGTCGGGCATGCGGGGGAGGTCTGTCGTCGACGACGCGCGCCGGACCCTCGCAGGTCGTCGCTGCGACGCAGAACGGCGGCGCGAGGCCGGCATCTGGCCGCCGGGCCTTTGCCGCGTCCGCCGCAGGCCGCCCGACGCCGTTGCGCGCGCACTGCGCACCGCGCGGAGCGGTCGCTGCAAGGCGGGCCTCGCGAGGGCCGCGGATCCGCCGCACCTGCCGCCATGATGTCCTGTGGCCGCTCCACCTTCTTCAGCGAGAAGCCGAGGTACTTGATGGCGTTCTCGACGGAACGCACATTGCCCGCGCCGTAATCCAGCAGCGTGATTTCGCCCTTCGGCGCAGCCCCGGCGCGAATCGCGCCCCGCGACCCGGCCCGCGCGCCCCGCGGGGCCACGCCCGGCGCGCTGGGTGCGACCAACGGACGCGCCTGCATCGCTTCCGCCGAAGCCCGCTCGCGCCTGCACGCGGGTGCCTCAGAGACTGCTGACGCGCCGCCGAACGGAGACGCAAACGCCAGCCTGGACACCCCGTGACACAAAGGTGGGGTGTTCCGCTCACGTCCACGTCTGCGCCCGTGACAGCGAGCGGGCGCATCGCAGCACACGCGCAGTTCACACCGCGCCAGCGACGCAGGCGCCCGCCGCGCCGAGAGAGCACCGCCGGGCGCTCACCACGTGCCCAAACCCCCCCCCGCCGCCGCGACGCTGCGACGCCGCTGCTAGTAGTTGGCGCGGCCGAGGTTCTGTTCGAACGCGGGCAGCGTGCGGTCGGTCGACGTGAGCACCGTCTTGATGATCGTCCGGTCGCCGCGCCGCACCGGCGTCACGCGGTGGCTCGCGCCGCCCGCCACCAGCGCCAGCACGCTGTTCGGCTCCGTGCGGTGGCTCTCGACGGCCCCGTCGGGCTCCCGCCACTCCGTCAGGCTGTCGCTCGAGTTCGCCACCGTCAGCACGAGCTCCACCTGCGGCTCCTCGTACATCAGCTCGTCCACGTGCCACTGCATCTGCGCGCCCACAGGGTACCGCCGCACCTCCGCGGGGAACGCGCTCGGGCGCAGCCGGACGCCGCGCGGGACGCCAAGCTTGCGGGCGATGCGCGCGATCGCGTCGGGCGACAGCAGCGCGCGCACCGCGGGGCTGTCGGGCGGCAGGTAGCACCCGCGCCGGCCCTCCGCGATCGAGTTGCGCTCGGGCTTCAGCGAACGCGCGGCCAGGCTCGCGACCTCCGCGCAGACCGCCTCGAACTCCTGCGGGGCGCGCGCGGAACGACAAAGCGTGAGGGCGGCAAGGGCGGCGGCGATGTTGACGCAGGCGTGACGCGACGCAGCAGCGCGCGGAGGCACCTGACGCGGGAGGAAGTTGCGCAGGTAGACGACCTCTCGCGCCGCGCCGCCGGCGCCGGGCGCCTGTGCGCGGGCCGGTGCGCCGCGCGCCGGCGACGTCCGTTGCGCTGCGTGCGGCGCAGGAGGGTGCCGAAGGACGGCCCCGGACGGGCGCCGGCGGAGGTCGCGCGTCCGAGCGGCCTGCTGGGAGGGCGGCGGTCGGTGCGCGACGCACGCGCAGGACATGGGGTCGCTTGCGCTGGGATGGTGTGCGTCTAAGCTTTGGCGCTCACTCCTCGCAGCGCTCTCGTGGGCTGTGAGTTCCACTACGCGGACGGGGAGCTTGCGCTACAAGGATCCTGTCAGGCTCAGAGTTCGTCGCCCCGGAGCTGGGCGATGATGCGTCGCGCAGCGAACAGAGCGCCAGCGGCCACGAGCAGCCCCGCGACAGCCCCGGCGATCTGCAGGGCGGGGTGCAGCCCGCTCCGCTTCCGAAGAGCGCGCTCTCTTCGCTTGTGCCGCTGAATCGCAGGAGGGACGGAGCTGGTCGACGGCGGACGGCCCGGAGCGGCCATTTGCTAGGCCTCAGTGCCGTCCGCGCGCTCCGGGGGCTTGGTATCAACAGTTGCGAGCCAGACAGGATGCCATGCATCTGCAGAGGCCCGCTCCAGCGGCGCGGTCACCGTATCGCGGCCGCCGCGAGGCAGGGGGGGCGTCGCGCACCCATGGAAGACATGCGCGCGCACGCGGCGTTTTGGGCGCGCCCGCGACGGACGTTGCGCCATTTGGATCCCCGTGCGCCTGCCAGGGGCGACGCACTTCAGCTCCTCGTGAACGTGGCGCCTGGAGCCCGTTTTCGCAGCACCCAGCGCTGGGACGCGGGCAGCGCTCACACCTCTGAGGGCCGCGCGAAGGGACGCGCCAGTGCAGGATTCGAAGGCCATCATGGAGCTGTTTTTCGAGCGGGACCAGGTGCCCAGGTGGGTCCGCGCACCGACGAGCACGGAGCCCCGCTTCCACGCACCGCATGCGCTTGAAGCGCGTCCTGCGCGCCGCGGCCACCAACGGACCCAAATTTCCATCCTCGCGTATCTATGGGGTCCGTGCCTGTGCCCGCTTGGGCCCGAACGGACCAGGATGCCCTACTTGCGGAGATTTCCGCCGCGTCCAGACCCTACGGAAGCCCCTGCACTTCCTCGGCGGCTCGCACGCGCGCCGCGTCCTGGCGGTCGGTGGCCCTCGTCCCGCTGCACGCACAGACATGTCAGACGCACGGGGGGCGTGTGCAGGTTCCACGTGAGGGAGGCGGCGATCCTTGATGTGGACTGCGAGCCTACGTTCCCGCCGCGCATCGTCGCCGCGGGGCTCGCGCCGCACCTGCAGCTCTGGCACCCCTCCGCGGCCTCGGACGGCCAGGCAGCAGGTCCGCGCCGCCACCGCCGGCCCCGCAGCGGCGCCCGTCCCGCCCCAGCGCCATCACTGCCGCACGCACACGCCGCCCTCGTGGCGCGCGCCGGACGCAGCCCCGCGCCCGTGCCCGCCGCGCTCGCAGGCGCGCAGTTCGTCCCGCAGACCGCGGTCCGGGAGCTGGACGGCCGCCGCTTCCTGCGCGTGCACATGCTCCGCGACGCAGTCGTGGGCGTCACGGCGTGCGAGAGGGGCAAAGTGGTGGTGTGGGACCCCGAGACGCTGGAGCGGATGCAGGTCGTGGACCTGGGCGGCCGGGCGACGTGCTCGTCGGCGTGCGGGGACTTTGTCGCTGTCGGGCAGGCGGACGGCACGTGCTGCGTGCTGCGGCGGCGGCCGAAGAGCTCGCCCGGGCACATCGAGTACCTCCCGCTCTTCTCGTCGGACCTCAAGGTCGACATGGACGGCGCGCCGCTGCTGACCGCGCACCTCGAGCAGGCCCCGGGGGGGGGTCCCACCATCCTGATGGCTCACTCCCCCGCCCGGAACTCCTACGCGGTGTGGAACCTCGCGGACGGCAAGGTCGTCAAGAGCTGGGCGCCGGACCCGGGCGAGGGCCGCGTGCTGCCCCCCGTCGCGGCGTCCGCGGTGTCGGCGACCGTCGTGGTGTCGGCGCTGTGGACCCCCGGCCGGGACCCCCAGGTCCTCGTCCTGGACTACATCTCCGGCGAGGGCGGCTTCATCTCCGCGGAGCAGCGCCTCGCGGGCTGCGGCAGGCCGCTGAAGGTCGCCCTGGGCCCGCGCGGCGTCGCGGTGGCCATCGCCTTCGAGTCGGGCGCGCTGTGCGGGTTCGGCCGGCACGGCTTCCGGCTCGACCTCCCGGCGCCCGTGACGGCGCTGTGCAGCGTGCCGCCGGCGTCCACCGAGGGCGGCGGGGCCCCTGGCGACGTCAGGTTCGTCGCCGGCGACGCCGACGGGCGCCTGTACCTGGTCGCGGAGGACGGCACGGTGCTGCACCGGGCGCGGCCGGGGACGGACGCGATCACGAGCCTGGCGTGCACGCTGCCGCTGTTCGTGGTCGCGGGGACCGCGGAGGGGCGTTTGGAGGTGGTGTCGCTGGTGCCGTCGGGTGCCGGGGAGGACGCGGGCGCGGGGGCGGAGGGGGCGGGGGGCGCGCGGGAGGACTTCTGCGTGGAGCGGTGCCTGTGGGCGGACGCGCAGGGGCTCAAGGGCGTCGGCGGCGGGGGGCGGCTGCACGCGCGTGTGGGGGACTTGGGCGCTGACGTCAGGGACGCGATTTTCCCCGAGGGGGGCGTTCTGCGCACGTGCACGGACCCGCGCCTGCTGCGGGACGGTGCGAAGCCGCGCAACACGGAGAAGGAGGCCGCGGCGGAGCCGCGGCGGGCCGAGGCAGCCGGGGCCCCGCCGGCGGGGGGTGCGGACGGCCGCGAAGACAGCAGCGCGGCGGCGCAGCGGAAGATGGACGGGCCGGGCGTGCGGCGCACGCGGCAGGTGGTCCTCGAGAGCGACACCGCCGCGGCCGGGCGCTCTTGCGACAACGACAACTGCTTCGTAGGTACGCACGCTGCGGGCCGTCTCCGTGGTCGAATGGGGGTGTTTTGCAGTGGATCGAGGACGTGCAAGTGGCTGTTCTGAGCGCCCGTTTGCGTGCAGTGGAGGGCGTGGGCGTCGCGAAGTTCAAGCGGTGCGGACGGTGCAAGTCGCGGTGGTACTGCAGCGAGCACTGCCAGCGGACCGACTGGCGCAACGGCCACAAGAGCAAGTGCGCGGTGCGTGCCGCATCGTGCAGCGTGTCCGGTCCCCGTCTGCGCGCCGCTGCGCCCGCTGCGACCCCCGCCGCGGGAGCTCCCACTGCGCATGTGTTTTGCACGGTACCCACCACGCAGGAGCTCGCGGAGGAGCACAAGCGCGCGATGGAGGACCGCGAGCGCGCCCTGCAGGAGCTCAAGGCTGCGGCGATCGCGGAGAGGCAGGAGCAGGCGCCAGGGAAGGAGAACGAGCCGGAGAACGAGCCGGAGGCGGGCGTGGCGGCCGAGTGCGCGGGCGCAGGCGCCAACGGCCAGCCCGCGCCGCAAGCGGTGCCAGCAGACCCCGGCCCTGCAACGAACTTCGTGGACGAGCTGGACTAGGGGCCGCAGTCGGTCACAGCGTATGTGTGTGATGTTTGACGATCCGACTGGAAGGCGATCGTGTCGACGGCCCGGGCTTGCAGGCGTGCCGTGACGTGCATGACACGGTAGAACCCCTGCGCTGACCATTCGGTTTTCTCCGTTCCGGTGACGAAGGGACCCACAATCTTGTCTGCGGGCGGCGTCAATGTTGAGCCAGTACGACCGGACGGCGGCGTCGTCGGGTTGCAGCGGCAGATCCGGCCTGTCGAGCGGGCGGAGGCTGAAACGTGCCATGCGCACCATGTCTGTCCAGTGCTCATGGACGTTGGACAGGTCGAACGTCACAGTCTTCGGCTTCCGCCACAAGTCGATGACCAGCTGGTGCAGCTTCTCAATCAGCGCCGGTGGGCTGCCCTCGAGCGGAGTTGTTCCCATGAGCGTCTTCTGGGTACAACTTCAGAACCACCTCCTGCCTCTCGACGGCAGCCCACCGGCTTGGCCTACGGGTGCACGTGCCGGCTGGCGGGCGAGTCACGATTTCTGGCAGCCGCAGACGGCGGCGGCTTCCGGCACCGCGAGGCTGCAGTCGTCGGCCGGCTCCGACGCCCCGAGGCAGGCGTGCGGCGTCCTGCTGTTGGGCGCGGCGTACGTGGAGAACCTCGCGCCCTTGCCCTCGAAGCACCCCGCCTCGCACGGAAACACCGACAGCAGGCCGTCGCAGTTCGACACGGCCTTCATCGCGGCCTTCGTGCACGCGCCGGCCTTCGCGTCGCGGCACGCGGCCTCGCAGGTCTGCCCCTGCAGCGCGCGCGCAGGCACCACGCCCGCGGGGAACCCCTGCGGGTTCGACAGCGGCCGCGCGATGCGGCTGAAGCAGTGGTGGCGCCCCCCGACGTACGTGTTCTCGTGCGACGTCGACGCCTTGTGCGTGCGGCACCGCATGGCGCAGAACGAGAACAGGTCCGCGGCGTAGCCCGTCTCCGGGTGGTCGATGATGCGCGGCTCCTCCTGCCTGTGCGCCTCGCCCTCGGGATGGCCCATGCAGCACGACACGCAGCTCTGCGGACCACGGCGGCGTGCGGGGCGCGTGTCTGACGCCGCGCAGCGTGACGTGGCCGCGGGGGGGGTCTCTGGCGGCTGGGGCGGAGCGCGGCTCGCGGAGGGGGAGTGGGGGTGCTGCGCACCTCGTACGTGCTGCAGCACTGGTCGTGGTCCCCGCAGGCGTCGCACGAGTGCCTCTGTCCCTTGCCCGCAGCGCAGCAGCGCGTCGTCCAGTCCACGTCGTCGATGCTGCGCGTCGCGCGGGGTGGGAGATAGAGGGGAAAGGTCAGTGCGGTTTTTCTCGGCCCGGGAGTCGGGCGCCGGCGGAGGCAGCTCAGTTCAGTTCAGGAGGGGACGCTGGCCGACCTGCACAGCACGCCCTGGTCGTCGGTGACCTCCCACATCCCGCTGCCTGTGTTCTCACATGATCCCGCTTCCTTCTCGCCTGGCGCGGGCCTGCATCATCGCACGTGCGTCACGGCAGCGGCATTGGAGTCGAGTCCCAGGCCACGACGTTGCGCGTGGGGGCGCGTGGAGACATCGTGGCGCACGAGACTGCCCGGCACGGCATCTTCAGCCGTGAGGCGTTCATGCCGCGGAGGATCGAACTGCGTCAGCCCAAAGCGAGCGCGGCCAGGCATCAGACGTGTTGCGGGACAAGACTGCGCGGGACGCCGCACCTGGCGAGGAGATTCCGGTCCGCTACGGCTACCTGGCACACGACCGCTATGAGGAGAGCAAGGGCAGCTATCCAACCTCTCATCGTGAGCGTCCCCCGCCCTCCACCCGCGACAAACCTGAACAGAACCACGCTTCCACGGCTCCAGGTCTGTCAGACACTCGAAACACAGCAGACGAGAACGCAGGTGGACAAGTCTGGCGCGGCGGCAGGGCGAGCCGGCCCGTACGTCGCCCGCGGTGACGCCACGACCCGCCACGAGGCCTCCGGGGCCTGTGCAAGGCAGTGGGACTGGGCATCCTGGCCGCCGCAGTCCACAAGAGCCGCCCGGGCGGCGACCCCGCGTAGACGATCCAGCAAGCAGCGACTCCGCGAGGTCCATACGTGCGATCGCGCAGGCGTGGACACGGCGGGCACTGGTGCACTGAGCGCCTCGCCCCTGCGCGCGGAAACGGTGCGCGACGGCGCACGCGCAGCCCCGTGGATCCATCGAGAGGTCTGCATCGTCAGGCAGCGCCGGGCCCTTGTCTCGATCGGCGCCGGGGTAGGCGGGGGGGGGCAGCATGGGTGGGAGGCTGCGCATCCGCCCGTACGCGCTGAAGCTCTTCGCGAGCAACAAGTACGTCTACGCGCAGGTCCTCCGAAAGGTGAGAGCGCACGGATTGACCCGCGCCCCTGGCGGTGCGCGTCGCGCTGCAACGTGCACGGCGCAGGATGGCCTCGCTGTCGCTCCGACGCGCGGTCGAAGAGCCCGCGCGGCGGATCGACGGTGCCCGGTCCGTGGAGGGCACGCGGTGCACTTGGGAGCCGCGCTCGGTATGTTTGTGTGTGTCGTGCAACACGTGTGTGGACGGGTGTTGATGCTTCGCACATTTTGAGGTGCCCGGCGAGCCGCAGGCGGACGGCCACATCGTCGCATCGTCGTCGACCATCGAGAAGGCGGTGCGGGACGACCTCAAGGCGAAGGGGCAGTCCACGTCCAACAAGGACGCCGCAGGACTGGTGCGCAGCCCGCCTCTGGCAGCGCGCTCCGACACTCCACGCCCGCGCCGTTGCGGCAGACGGGATCGCACCCGGCTCGTCCAGGCTTCGTGCTGTGCAGGTGGGGGCGCAGTTGGCGGAGCGCGCGAAGCAGGCGGGGGTCCGGGGCATTGAGTGGAACAACAAGGCGGAGCACCAGAGGTACCACGGACGGTTTAGAGCGGTGGTCGACGCCATGACCGCGAACGGTCTCCCTCTAGTGTGACTGCTGCGGCGGGAAGCGCCGCGCGGGCCAGGCGGCCCGTGGCGAGCCGTGTTTGCTGACATCGAGGGTGGAAGCGGGCTCTCCTGGCTGTCTTCGGCGCCTGTGCGGCGCCGCGCGTCGCATTTCACGACGCTAGGAATTTGTGTGGACACAGAGGTGGCGTTTGGAGGCCGACTAGCGCAGTCGGCGTGGTGTGCGTCGATAAAAATGGATTTCGGCCGTGGGGACCGTGCGCCCGCGTCCGGGGACGCGGTGTCGAGCCCGGTGAAGAGGCCTGAAAGAGCAAGTCGACCGACGCCTGCCGGCTTCATGTCCAATCCCTTCCGCAAGTACGGGCAAGGCAGTGAGCAGAACCTCTACGACGAACAAGGCGCGTGGAGCGCGGGCTGTGCTGCCAAGCGCCGCAATCCCCGATCTCGTTTGTCTCACTCACGTTTTCGTCGCTCCGCTGGCGTCGCGAGCGCGCACCCCCACCACCACCGTTCGAACAACAGACGAGAAGCTCGATTGCCGCGCGACGCCACCCCTCCGGCCCATCGCGTGCATCCCGCGTCGCTCCGAACCGCAGAGGACGCTCAGGCGGCAGACGGCGCCTGGGGGGCAGCCGGGGCCGCGGCCAGAGCGGACGTGCGCAACGTTCAAGGCTTCGTCCCCGCCCCCGAGCCAGGGCCCGCGAACGGGAACGGCGGGGCGGCTGACAGGAAAGCAACCGAGGAAGCCGCGGAGGCGCGCGCGGCGGACATGCGCGAGAAGGACCTCCAGCGGCGCGAGAGGGTCCTGGCGCAGCGCGAGGAGGAGCTCAGGCGCGGCGGTGAGGGGCCCCGCCGCTTGCAACCGAGCTGCCCCATCAGCGTCCCGTGGCGCGTGGGACAGCCCTCGCGACCGTGCCGGCGAGTCGCACGTGCCCCGGCCCCTGCAACCACTCTCGCCCACTGCTCCGTTGGCGCGCGATGCAGGCGCGAAGATCGTGCCCGCGAAGAACTGGCCGCGCTGCCGGCCGATCCTGTACCACTCGATCCGCGACGAGATCCCCGAGCAGCACAAGGCGCTGGTGCGCGTGGCGTACTTCACGTGGCTGCTCTCTGCGGCGGCGTTCGCGCTCAACTGGGTCGTCATCCTGGCGATGCTCGCGGCGTCCGTCGCGTCCACGGGCTGGGGCGACCTGTTCATGGCCACGCTCGTCGCGGTGTGCGGCGTCCCGGGCGCGTGGGTGCTGTGGTACCGCGCCCTGTACTTCGCGACGGTGACGGGGAAGACGCGCAAGTACGTGCGCGCGTTCGTCTTCCTCGCCGTCCACCTCGCGTGGGCGGTGTGGACCGTCGTCGGCGTCCCGACCCTCGCGGAGTACGCGGTGGGTTTCTTCAAAATGTTCAGCGCGTTCGACGGCGGGGGCGGCAAGGGGGTGTTCTTCGGCCTCGTGGCGCTCGCGAACGTCGTCGTGTGGGGCCTCGTCGCCCTGCTGAGCGTCGTGCTGTTCGGCGGGGCGAGCCGCGCGCTGCGCATGCCGGCGCCCGCGGGTGGCGATGCGCACAGCCACATCTCGCGTGACGCGCTGGAGCGCATCGAGGAGGCTACGCGGCGCCAGATGCGTGCGGAGGCGGCCGTGTAGGCAGTGCCGGTGACATGACGCGACGCCCGGTCAACAAAAGCACGACGGCCGCATGTACGGCAGCCGACATGGAGCGTGTAACACCTCGCCGATCGAGTCACTTTGGCCCTAGGCAATCGGACGTATCTTTCTGGGCTGCGATGCGTTGCATGCGTCGTCCAGTACTCGCGCGGCTCGCCGCGTTGTTGCTGACGACGCCCGCCACTCACTCTTACTGATTGCAGGTCAGAGCCTTCGCTTGGCACATGATGACATGCTCACGTGGCATTTCGCGCGAGCACTCCTAGCACGCTGCCGCCTTGATCAGGACGATCCCAGCCCGCATTTCGTTTCGTGCGCGGGTGGTCAATTACGTTTTGTGCGCAAGCAGAGCAACGTCAGCTCGCGCCGGCGGGCGCTGGCGCTGCGCTGGGCGGGGTGTACCCGGCGAGCAGCGCGGTCACGGAGAAGGCCATGGCGGTGTAGATCGTCGTCCAGCTCTCGTTGTGCGGCGCCTGGAACGCGGCGGAGAACATTAGGAACACGGCCAGCCAGCCGGGGGGGCGCGTCTTGAGCCACATGCCCGCGAGGCCCGACATGAGCGCGAAGACGATGATGACCTCGTGCCACATGTGCCCGTCCGTGCCCAGCTCCTGCGCGATGACCTGAGAGGATGGAGGCGGCACATGTGACACTGCAGAGTCGCCGGGGACAGGCGGGGCGAGGGGCGGGGCGCCCGGGCGGCACCGCGCGGACCTGGCGCCAGAAGTACGGCCGGCAGCAGCTCGCGTCCTTCTGCGGGCCCTGCGGCACGAGCTCCGTCTTGAACGGCATCGTGTGCGCTGCTAAGGAGGGTGCGCCCTGCTCGGGATTGTGCTGTCCTGCGGCCGCAGAACAAAAGGAGTGTGGGTTTGCGTGGGGCTGTCGGGTGCGTGCGTTGTCCTCCTTCCGCGGAGCCTCTGCTGCGCAGGGGCGAGCTGTGCTCAATGGGAATGAAAAGCGGCCATGTCGTTCGCACCTGTGCCCAAGTTTCAGCTATATCGCGCTCGATCAAAGCCTGTGTCCTCTCCGGCACTACGTGAGTGGAATTACGAGCTATCGGAGCCTATTGGCAGCGTGCGAGCCTGCCGCTGCCCGGGGGCAACAGCCGCGACCCTCCCTGCTCCCCTACGCGCCGATCAGAGCGTCTCAGGGGCGTCAGGGAGCAAGAACGCGGAAGTTTCGACGGGATGACGCACGCTGATGCGCCTGGTTTGCCGAACGCGCCGCGCGCGAACTGACAACCACCGCGCGCGTCTCTGGCCGTCACCCTCGCTGCGAGGTCACGCTGTCCGGAGCCGCTGCGCCCGTCAGGGAATGTGACTAGTACGGCGTCGCCCGCGGGCCAATGAAGCGGACGCAAGTGTCCCCTCGCTCCCATGGACGGGGGGGGTCTACCTGCGTCAGTCAATCATGCCAGTCGTACGCGGGCCGAGGCCACGAGAGGGCGCGCGAGCGCGGGGACCGCAATGCGACTGCTTCGCCGGGACGCGGGAACTGCCTGCGGGGGCCGTCTCGCGCGTCACAAGAACCACATAGGCCTATGTACACAGTAGTGGTGTTGCATGCTCGCGACCGCCAGGGTCGCACCGCCCCGCTGCGCAGGAGCGCGCGCGGGGCAGGTCTGTAGGTGGGCGCGCGCCGGTCACGTGCGTCGCGGCGGTCCCGTCCAAGCAGCGTCGCAGACGGATCACGGATGTTCCGGGCTGCTGGACGTGCCAGAGGGTTGTGCGACGAGAGCTTGAGACTCGTTACCGTCTTCTCGCGCGAAAGAGGCGGGCCCTTCTTCGGCGTCGTGTCGCTGCCCCTGGGCGCCGCGTCCCGCGGGCAGCGCAGGTCTGGGGTCCCCGGCGGTGGCGTAGATGGCCTGTCCTGCGCCGACGAACGCCAACGCGGTGGCGAACGCTGCGGCGGCGCCCCGGGAGAACCCGCCCGGCAGCGTGATCCTCACGAGCGCCGCCCAGACGTCTGACGAGAGCAGCGACAGGTTCATGGCTGCGGGGGCGGACACGCGACGGCGAGGGGTCAGGGCCGCGGCGGGACCGAAGCGCGTGGGAGGGCGGGGGCTGCGTGCGAAGCTGCGACGGTCGGGCCGCGTGCGCGACGGGCGGCGGCCAGCGGGCAGGGGAGGTGCGTGCCTGCGGCGCCGGCCTCGACGAGCATGAGAGGCGCGAGAGAGTAGAAGGAGAGCATCGAGAGCGCGAAGCACGCGAGGGGCGGGAGCGACGCCCAGGAGAGCGAGTCGAGCGCCGCCCTGTCGACGACGAAGCTTTGTGCCGCAGCAAACGTCAGCCCGAAAAAGCCCACCATGCCGAGCAGCTCCGACGTCGCCGGCTTGCCATCCGTCAGCAGCATCTCCTGCGAGGCTACGTGCGCGCGGACGACCCCGTCAGGACGCGCCAGCCCGCGCGCCGGCCGTTGATGCGCAACGACAGTTGTCGGGGCCCGGCGTGGGCGCCGACGCGGCCCGTGGGGCAACGCACCTCCAGGACGTTCGCGGCCGCGTAGGTCGTCGCTGCCGCGAGCACGAGTGCGTTGCCGAAGGTGTGGCTGTCGCCCTCCGTTGCGTCAGAGAGCGCGAGCAGGCAGAAACCCAGGACGCTGACGGCCGCGCCGAGGAAGTGCCTCGGCACGTACGAGGCTCGCCGCAGCGCCCAGGAGAGGAAGATGGCCGCCGGAATCGCCCAGCAGTCGAGCAGCGTGACGCTCGTGATTGACGTGTACCTGCGCAGGAGAGTGCCGTGAGACTGCGCCACGCGTCGGCGGTATGCGGTGGAAACAGACGCAAAGGACGCGCTCGAGGGCATGATTGAATGGCGTGGGTCGCCGCGTTGAATGTCTGGCGGCGGAACGCCGCCACAGCGGGAGTCATCAGGCATGGCGCTCACCTGTATGCTAGGACGATGAGCGTGTTCGCCTCCAAATCCATGAGCGCGAGAAGCGCGTACTTCCACCATGCATTCGCGAGGCAGCGCTTCCTGACCACAGTGTGCCCGTAGACGAGCACGAGCAGGCCGTAGGAGAGGGCGGCTTGAAACGTGGGCAGACTCGTGCCGTGGGAAGCCAGCCATGCGCTCGACGCGCCCGTCCCGACCAGACAGAGGCTGAGCAGCTGCCCCAGGCCGACTTTCTGCCACGGATTCCAGGCCGCCCGCCTCCCCTCGGTGCCCATCTCCGCACTGAGGGGACGCTCGCGCACGCCTCAGAGCGGGAAGCGGGGCCGCATGAGCGAGTGTTGGTTGGGCATGCAAGTGTCAAACCCAAACGCCGGTCGGGCCACAAATAGCGCTCCGCATCGAAGGAATCCTGACCTGGCCTTCTAACGCCGTCAGACGGCAGCCACAATCCCCCCCTCCCCCGGCCCAATACTCCGCACGACGCGACGGCAGGTGTCGCCCACAGCGAGGCGCATCCCACGCCAGCACTGTCCGCCGAGGCCAGCGGCGGGTCGGCCCCGCACGGCGCCTTGCACCACACACGTGACGCGATCACACGCACGACAGGGCAGCAGCGCCCCGTCACGAGGGCGGCAGCAGCGGCCGGGCGGCCTTCACGTCCAGGACGGGCCCGTCCTCGCTTTCCGACACGGCCTTCCCCAGCCCCTCCTGCCTCAAGTACACCACCGCGTCCGCCTCCGTCTCGAACGCCAGATGGTCTGCGGCCGCCAGGGACGCCGGCGCGCCGCCGCTGAGAGCGCGCGATCACCAGGCATTGCGCGTCGCGGGCGCGTGCGACCGGGGCAGCGGCGGCCACGCCACGTGCAGCGTTGCGCGTGAGAGGGGTACCTGAAATGTCCACCGCGGGCACCGTCCCCATGAGCGCCATGCAGAGCGCCTTGAGGGCGCGCCGCCGCACGCCGGGCACGAGCCGGTCCATCAGGTACGCCGACATGCGCGGCGGGTCGGCGTACAGGCGGAAGAAGCCGGCGTGGTCGCGCGTGACCACCGCGCGACACACCCCCACCGCGTGCTTCACGTACGGGTGCGCGAGCTGCCCCTTGGGCACGTTCCGCAGAGCAGCCAGCGCCTCCCGGTTGCTGCGTTCCAGCGCGTACAGCACCCTGCGTACACAAAAACACCAACGTCCCGGTGGGGCGCTGCACCGCGACGCGCTGGACCGTGCCCGGGCCGCACGCTCGAGCGCCGAGCGCACCTGTACGCGGCGAACTCTTCCTGGTTCCCCGGGGACCCGTTGCGGTACAGGTCGCGCAGGATGGTGGCGCACTGGCCGACCTCGTGCCAGTCCCCGCACTCGATCGCGAACCGCGCGTGCGTCTCGTACGCCCGCACCACGAGCGCGCCCTGGTGTCCGTGCATCGTCAGCTCCTGTCGGATCGCCTTGAGGTTCGAGCACGCCCAGTCGTACGTGGCGCCGGTCTTCCACCGCTCCCTGACGTGGTCGAGCGCCTTCCGGAGCACCGGCACCGGCCGCAGGTCGCCGTGCCCCTGCGGACGACGCGCGCGGGACCGCGGCGCCCGTCGAGCGCGGAACAACGCGACCGCTGCGCAGCTGACGGATGCAGGGCGGCACGCGTGCGCGGGGGGGGGTCGGGGGACTCACGTCGCCGGCGCTCCTGACGTACTCGCGGTCGAGGTCGCCCCGCTTGAAGTCGACCGTCACAGAGCCCTCGCCGCCGCCCGCCTGGAACCGCCTGGCGCGTTTCTGCTTCTCGGCCGGCGTCGTGCGCACGTTGCGGCGGATGCTGCCGTCCGACGACGTGGGCGGAAGCGCCCGCTTGTGCCCGGCGAGGCCGCCGAAGAGCGTGCCCTGCCCGCCGTCGTCCGCGCTGTCGGAGACGCAGAACCGCCCGACGACGCGCCCGGCGACGGGCGGGGCGCCGCCGTCGCTGACGAGCCGCACCACGCGGCCCGAGGACAGCCGCTGCTGCTTGCCGACGAGCGCGAAGGCGTCCTGGAACTCGTGCGCGATCCCGATCTTCTGTGCCACGTTGAGGCACTTCTGTAACTTGTCCTGGCAGGTTTCGAGCTTGCCGTCGTCCCCGGCCTGTTTCGCCTTCGCGATCTTGTTCTTTAGCGCGGATACCTTCGTGCGGACATCGTTGGCGACGTCCTGCTTCTTCTTCGGCGCCATGGCGACGCGAATGCCGAGGTGAGACACCCTATGCACACCGCGCAGCCTCGGAACCTGGCTCAGAACGAGCCAACATCCTTCCTAGCGAATGCGCTGTTCTCTCCAGTTCAGTGGCGATCAGAACGGGCCCGAGCCATGGGCACGAGAGAGCCTGGCGGCAGGGAGTTGCTGCACCGAGATAACGCGCACTCAGCGCCTAACCCTGCAGCCTGCAGTCCGGAACGGACGTGAGGTTCCCTGCGTGGATCACGACCGTCCTGTCCCTGCGCGCTCCAGTCTCTATCTCCGCGTTGCGTGATGTTCGGAAGGAGAGCAGGACTGCAGGCAAGTCTCTCGCCCGGCGGGCCGAAACAGCGCGAACGCTTGATTTCGTGCTGCTCCTTTCTCGGGCGAGCTCCATGCGTCGTGACGGTCCCGTCGCGCCGCAACGAGGGGCCGCGAGCCCGCCAAATTGGACCCCCGGAGCCTCTCGCGGCACGTCCCACGCAGCGGCGCCCTGCTTGGCCCCGCGAGGCGGCGCCGCGACGCCACCGGTGGCGTCCGGCGTCGAGCGGGGGCTCAGCCGGCTTCCAGCGCTACGTGCTGTCGTCGCGACGGCGAGGCCGGGCCCGCCACGCGAGGCAATCATTGATGGGCGGGAGGGCGGAGGAGCGCTCCGCGGGGTGCACGGAGTGACGCGCGTCGTGCTTCACCGTAGAAAGACTAGGAAGATGGACCTGCCGGCGGCTTGCAAGCACGTCGAGGAGGCGTGCGCTCTGCTCGGCTCCCCGACGGGCCATGCTGAGGGAGAGCGGCGCCTCCTGGAGTTCCGCCGATCGGCTGCTCCGCACGAAGCCTGCAGGTCGGCTCCCTCTCGCTCCGTAATCGCCTCTGGTCGCGCTTCGCGGCCTCGCGGCGGCCGTTCGTGGGCGCACGGCGCGCCCTGCCTCCTCTGCCCACGCAACACGCTGTCGTCCGTGGCGCAGGTACATCGTCGAGAACTCGCAGAGCGTCCAAGCGAAGTTCCAGGCCCTGGTCACGCTCCGCGAGGCAGCGATCCGCGAGTGGGCCGTCACCCCGGCGGAGCAGGTCGTTGGCATCCGCCGCTGGGCGCTGACGCTGCTCCTGGGCCACGCGGCCTCGCTGGACCGCCTGGTCGCCGCGCAGCTCTCGGCGCTCTTCGCGACGCTGCTCAAGCGCGGGTGGGAGGACACCTCCGACGACCAGCGGCGCGCGACCTTCCACGAGGTGGAGGCTGCGGTGGCGCAGGCGGGGTCGCCGCACGCGCGCCGCGCGGGGATGCAGGTGCTCGAGGCCGTGGTGATCGAGTTCTCGCCCGGCACCGCGTCCGAGATCGGCCTGCCCTGGGAACACCACCACCGCTGCAAGGTACCGGCCCCGCGCCGCCCCGTGTGTGTGCTCCCAGGTGGTTGTGCGCGTTCGGGCGGGGCCGCGGCGCCCTCGGAGGCGGGCGCGCCGATCCGCTGGCTCGCTCCGTGTGCGTCGCAGTCGTCGCTGGAGGAGCTGTACCTGCGCGACTTCTTCGCGCACGCGTGCGCGATCGGGCAGCAGGCGGCGCCGGCGGCAGTCGCCCGGCAGGACGGCGGGACGCTGGCGGCGTGCCTGGCGCTGGTGTCGTCGATCCTGCACTGGGACTTCGGCAAGCTGATGTCGTCCGACGGCGCCATCGGCTCGTCCGCGGCGTGGGGCGCGCGCGGGAACCTCACCGACACCATCCTGGTCAAACCCGGGGCCGCCTGGCGGGACCTGCTCGTCGGACCGGGCGCCATGCAGTGGCTGTACGACATCGTTCCAGTCTCCAGACAGGTGAGCACCTCACGCAACCGCGCCTCACGCCCGTGCACGGCTAGCAGCCTGCCGGCGTCGGCAATCGGCGCGGGCAGCCCCGACCTGCGTGCAGGGATCGCTGCCGCCGGACGCGGCGGGGAAGGCGCGCGACGTCCTGGTGCAGCTGTGCGGGGTCTGCGGCGACGTGTTTCCGAACCCTCAGCACGAGGACCCCTCGCAGCAACCGACGCTGGTCAAGCACCTGTCTTCGACGCTCCATGCCGCGCTCGCGCTCGTGCACCCGCTGGACGCCGCCATCGAGGCTGCGCGGGCGGGCACGGGCGAGGAGGAGGTCGTCACGGCGTGTCGCTGCCTCAACGCGCTGGCGTCGTTCCACCGCGCCCAGCGCTTCGAGCAAGCGATGCCGGAGCTGCAGGGCCAGGGCGGCGTGCTCGCCGTCATCTGTCAGCTGACCCAGGGAGTCTACGCGCAGGGCGGCCTCTCGGAGGACGCGGAGGGCACGTGGGTGCACGTGTGCGCGGAGCTGCTGCTGGAGACGTGGAGCTCGCTGCTGGCGTCCGTGCACTACGAAGGCGGCGTCACGTCGCTGCACGAGACCGTGCAGGTAGCCGCCGCACAGGTACGTGCCCGGACCGCCCCCGAAACGCGTCCGGGGGGGGGGTCCACCTGCCTCCCTGACCGTCGTCGCGCTTCGTCCGCCGCTGCGGCGCAGGCGTTCGAGGCGATCGTGTCCTCCGAGCTCGCGAACGTATCGCGCGGCGCGCTGGAGGAGGCGGACGCTGCCGAGGAGCTCGGCCAGGCGCGGGCGGAGGAGCGCATCACCGACCTGGCCGCAATGGGGCGCGCGGTCCCCGCGCAGTCGATGGCGCGGCTGTCCAGCGCGATCCACGCGAGCATCGACGAGCTGCGCGCGTGCTTGCAGTCGCACTCGGACCCCAGCGAGCCCCTCGAGCGGCTGTGCTTCGTGGTGGAGACCGCCGGGGCTGTTTTGGCCGACCCCGGCGAGGGAGAGATCCCCATGGTCCCCGTGCCGATCTCGCAGGCGTTCAGGGCCGCGGACCAGGGCCTGCTGGGCCACTGCCCCGTCGAGCGCCTCGCCAAGTCGGTCCTGGGGGTGTTTTGCCTCCCCCTGGACCCCGCCCTGCGCCCCGCCGCCTCGCCGCGCCTCATGGAGGTCGCGGGCGCCGCGGTGGCGCGCATCGCCGACACCTACATTCTCACGAACGAGGAGGAGCATTCCCAGGCGTTCCGGCAGTCCTTCGGCGCGGCGCCGGGCCACGGCGCGCAGGCGGTGGAGCAGATCCTCAACGCGTGCCTGGCGTGCCTCGGCTCGTACCCCGGGGAGGGCGCGCTGCACAGGGTGGTCGCGAAGAAGGTGCTCTTCTCGCTCGTGAAGCACCGGCCGGAGATCTGCCGCGCGTGCCTCTCGCTCCCGAGCTGGGAGACCCTCACCGACGCGTTCGCGAGGAGCCAGCCGCCGTTCCCGTCGATCGACTCGAAGCACCACCGCGCCGTCGCGGTGGCCCTCGCGCAGGTAGGCCGCGCCCCGGACCCGCTCAGGGCGGCCTGCGCTCTACCGCGCTCGCACGCGGGGGCGGGCCCGTGTTTGAGGCGCCCTGCTTCGGGGCTTTGTTTCCGCGATGCAGGTCACGCAGGTGTGCCAGTCCTCGGAGCAAGCAGGCGCGTACATGGAGCGCCTCGTCCACCAGCCGCTCGAGGACCTCACGCACCTCGCAGCGCAGGCCAACCTGCGCCAACTGGCGCAGCAGGGCAACGTGGAGTTCAAGGTGCGCCCCGCGGCCCGCCGTGCCACAGCACGCACGTCGCGTGCCGTGCCGTGCCGTGCGAGCGAGAGCGCGCCGTCCCAGCTGACGGCTCGTCCCCCCGCGCTGCTCTGCCCGCAGACGCTGTGCCACCTGGAGCGTCTACGTGGGCTGAACGACGGCCTCACGCCCAAGTGCCAGCGCGCGCTGTGGTCGGCCATGATGCGGTGCTTCGACCCGATGCTGGCCATCATGCCGGCGTTCGTCGACTCCCCCCTGGTCACCGGCGCCATCCTCAAGCTGGCGTCCTCGGCGGTCTCCGGCCACGTCGCCTTCCTCTCAGCGTCCGACTTCGACGCGGTCTGCAGCTTCGTGATGCGCCTGATCAAGCAGTTCTCCTCGCTCAACCTCCAGCAGGTGCACCTGGCGCAGGCGGGGCCCGAGGCCATCCGCGAGGGCCGCGCCGAGGACCGCACGCGCGCCCTGACCTCCCTGCTGAAGCTCCTCACCAAGGTCATGGACAGGGACTTCGTCGAGCTGCTGTCCGAGGAGGGCGCGAGCGCGTACGGCGCCCACGAGGCCCCCGGCACCATCGCGCTGGCCGGGCTCGACCTCCTGCTGCCCGTCATGGACCCGGAGCTCCTCCGCTTCCCGCGCCTGTGCAAGTCGTACTTCGCGCTCGTCGGGCTCCTCGCGGAGGCGCACGCGGACCGCGTCGGGCTCCTCCCGGAGGACCTGTTCCTGCGGCTCCTGCGCACCATCGAGTTCGGGGCCGCGCAGCCGGACGCCGCCGTCGCGCAGGAGTCCATCGACTCCCTCGCGCACCTCGCGACGTACCACTTCAAGTGCGCGCCCGCCCGCTGCCGCGTGCAGACCTCGCGCCGCGCCGCGCTTTCTGTTGCGCCGACGGCTCGCCCCGTGGCTGATGGCGTGGCGTTCGCCCGCCCGCGTCGCAGGGAGACCGCGGTGGCGAACAACGCGGGCCTCGGTCGTCTGGCCACGGAGCCGCTCGCGGGCCTCGACGGCCTCACGGTGTTCACGCACTTCCAGCACACGCTGCTGCGCCACCTGATCTTCGAGGACAACACCGCCGAGATCACCGACAGCGCCGCGGACGCCCTCCTCCCGATGATCCTGTGCGACCAGGCGGGCTTCCGGTCCTTCGGGGAGGGCCTCGTGTCCAACGCGAGCGACCCCGCCGTGCAGCAGGTGCTGGCGGGCGCCCTGAACGCGCTCATGGCGCCGGAGAACACGCGCCCGACGCTCGAGCTCAAGCAGCGGCGCCTGTTCCGCAAGGTCCTGCGGAGTTTTCTGATCACCGTCCGCGGGGTGCTGCGGCGGCGGTGACGCGCGCGGAGCACGCGCGCTGCTCCGCGCCGTGGACGAAGACCGCCGCAGCCTGGGCGCGGGCCGTCGCGCTCCGTTGCTGTCCCTGACGGGACCTGACACCAGTGTGCATGACGTGGGTGTGACTGACCATTGCTGAGCACTGTGTTTTGAAGTCAACAGCCGGGCCGGCGGCCCCGGCGCGTGAGCCTGCACGGCACTGGCCGTGGCGTGCCGGAGGCAGCGCGCGACCGTCACCGCGGGCGCGGCTGCGTGACCGCTCGTAGGCCCGATGGCGAACCGCTCCGGGAGCAGCTCCGACGAGGGCGAGCGGGATGGTTTGCCGGCCCCGAAGCGTCCTCGCCATCAGCACAACGGGCCCAGACTGGGCATGGACCGTCGCAAGGAGCGCTGGCCTTCGGAGAGGTTCGAGCTGATGCCTGCGACGCGCATGGCTGAAGGGGCCCGCATTGCCATCCGTGGCGTGATGGAGGCCCTGATTCAGGCGGTGAGGCCCAGCTGCCTGGTCTGCGAACACTGCAGAGTGAGAACCATGATGATTGGAACCGCGCGCCGGCCCTGCGGAGGGCACGAGTGTGCGCGAGGGCCTTCGCCGCCCTGCCCACGTCGCGCGCCGTGCTCTTCTGGCTGTCCGCAGGGCCCGGCGGGGAATCCATCGCTTTGCGAAGCAGCGGCGGTCGGAATTCGCTCCAAAGAGAAGCACCAGGTCTCCGTGGAGCATCTCGACGTTCCTGCGTTCCGCCAGAGGCCTCCCTGGCACGTCCAGGACCTGCTCGCTTCCCTCTACGCGGCGGCGGAAGCCCTTCGCCGCATCAACGGCGACAGTGGCGCAGCCCTAGCCAACGAGAGCGACCCGCAAGGTGCGTGGCCACCCAGCGCAACACGCCGTCTCTCTTTCGCGCGTCGTGTTTCTCAGACCGGCCCGGCCCTCCCCGCTCGCAGGCACCCAGACGCTCCGCTCGTCGCAGCCCGCGCGCTCCCTCGCAGGCAGGGCCGCGGACGCCTTCCGTCTGGCGGAGCAATACGAGCTCTCCCACGAACGCAAGTTCGCCTGCGTCCTCGAAGGAGCGCTGTGCCTCGTCGAGGAGGTGCGCGCCCACGGCGAGGCGCACCCTCGCCTGCCCGCGCACGCGTCGCCGACCGCCAGGCTTGATTCAAGCCCGACTCCTCCGACGCCGCGCTCGACCGCATGCGTCCCCGCTTGCAGGGCGACCTCGACGGCGCGTACGACCGCCTGCACGCGATGGTCGTGAAGCAGCGGCGGCGCGGCCACCACGGCACGCACGACGGCCGCCTCGGGCTCCTGATTCCGGACCCGCCTAGCTTGGATGTCTTGGCACGCGAACAGTACGCGCTGATGGGCGCGGTGCGGTACGCGCAGGTGCGGGCGGGCCGGCGCGGGGTTGGTTGGTGACGCGGAGCTGGTGTGTGCGGTGCGGTGCGTTGTTGTTCGGGCGGACGCGTCCCTGACTGCCGCTGACGTGGGTGCTTGCAGTGGCTGGCGCTGTATCTGGCAGAGGGCGGCGCGGCGCGGCACGCTGCGGAGGGACCGGGCGTGCTCAAGATCACGCACGAGCACAAGTGGAAGAAGGCGGCCGACGGTGCGCGCTCCCCGCAGCCTCTGCCATGTGGCAGCAAGAGCCTTTTCTTTCCCGCACCGAGGCCGCGCAAACCGCCGCGACGGATCGAATCATCGTCTTCCGAATGATCATGTGCGGGCGGTGCTTCCGCAGGTCGCCTGAAGGACCTGCACCGCGAGGCCACGGCGGCTCTGCGGCGCGCGCTTGAGAGCGCGCCCGCGGATTTCACGAGCCTCTTCGCCCTCGTGCACCTTCTGCTCGTGGCGGGCCACAGCCAGGAGGCCGCGCAGCACGTGGGGAAGGGCGTGGGGGCGGCTCCGCGCGATCCGGACCTGCTGGCGCTGCGGAGCATGGTGGAGGTGTATTGCGGGGGGACTCTGGACGAGGATGACGAGCGGGGCGTGAAGGAGGCGACGGAGAAGCAGCTGAGAGTCAGGCACCTGAGAACGGTGAGCGCGCTTCCGTGGAGCGCCCCGGCGCGCCCGATCTCAGCTGTCTTGTTTGTTCGCGTGGCCTGACGTCGTGGACGCGCGAACCTGTGTTGCAGTGGACGGAGGTCGTCCAGCTCGACCCGTCCAATGCGTCGGCGGCCCTGGCGCTCCTGAATCTGTGGCGCGATCGCGGCTGCAGCGAGAACATCGTCGATGACGGCGCGGGGCGGAAACAGACCGCGGCCGACGCGCGGGCGGCGCTCGCTGCCGCGCTTCTCTTCCTCGACGTCCACGGCTGTGTGGCAGGTCCCGCTGCCGGCGCGTCCCCGCAGTCCGCCGGCGCGGTCGCGGACGAGTGGTGGCGGGAGCTTGGTGCGCTGGTTCGAGCCGCCGCCGGGGGGCTCTCGGAGGACCTCCGCGACAGACAGGGCGGCGCCGCGAGCCCCGCGGAGGCCGCGGACGCCCTCGTGCGCGCGCACATGGGCCCCGCGGCCGGCGCGACGGGCCCCGTCGCGCCCCTGCTGCGCCTGCGGGAGGCGTTCCGGCCACGCGTGTCCTGGTGGCCGTCGGCCGCGCTGTGCCCCGCGACGCAGCGTGCGCAGGGGGCCGCGGACGTGGGCGGCGCCGGCAGCGCGGTCGAGCGGCGTGAGGTTGCGCTGTTCCTGTCGGCGGTGTTTGGCGACGGGGCGGTCGGGCCGCTGTCGGAGGCGCCGCAGCTGAGCAGACGCGCGCAGCAGCGCCTCGTGGAGATGGAGCGGTACTGCGGCGACGTCGCGCACGTGAGGGAGGCGACGAGGCGGCTCAGTGACGGAGGGGACTCCTGGCAACACCCCCTCGGGGTGCGCTGACGCGGGGCACGGGACTGTGATACCGCGCCTGGCGTGTGGGCGGTGGGGCCCTGGCGCTGTCGAGCGCGCTGCGCCTTCCTGACCCGCGGGGTGGCGAGGGGGGGGGGACTTGCATCACTCCCCTTCTGCGGTAGAACACCAGCTGCACGGCGCCCGGGCCATTGGCGCGCGGCCTCGCTGCCTAGTGCCTAGCCTGCATGCACCGCGTTGTTGTCCTCTGAGAAGCCCGTTGGACGTGGCAGCGGACAATGGCGCTGCGCCAGTAGTAGCCGTTCGCTGCGCAGCGAAGAAGCGCTTGATGGGAACCGATGCGCCCGAGGACGAGGACGCGATTCTCGCCGCTTTCGCGACGCTCGAGAAGGCGGTGGAGCGCGCGCCGAGAGCAGGCGCAAATGCCAAGTACCATCTTGTCAACCACGCCGCGCGGATACACCACGCCGCAGCTCAGCCGGACGCCGCACGACCATCTGCAACACCCTTCAGGTTGGTCACGGGCATGTCGAGGCGCCCTCGTGCTGCAATGGGCGCCGCAACCGCACGAGAGAGAGCGCGCTGTGCTCCTCCTGCAGGCCTCGCGACGCGCCCGGCCAGCCGTGCGAAGACGAGTATCCGGAGCTTCCGAACGTGGACACGTCGATCTCGTTCGATGCAAAAGCCCTCGCGAAGGTGGTTCCGCCAGGCAGGAGGGGCTTCGTCAAGTTCCACCCCCGCGCCACAATCGCGGTCAAGATCCGGCAGCCGGTCGTGGACCAGCTCTTCGGGCGGTACCTCGTGATGCTGGCCCGGAAAGCATCGCTTCCGGGGCAACAGGCAGCGGAGGACCGGTGCCAAGGCAAGCGCACGCAGGACGTCCACCGCGTGCGCTGCGGCTCCTATCAGCGCTCTGTCCGGGACATGGAACGGAGACGAAGCAGCAGTCCCACTGACTCCTTCGCACTGAGCCGTGCGTTTCCCCGCAGAGGACAAGGTGTGGGCGAGGGTCGCTGCAAAGGCCGCAGTGCAGACTGAGCTCGCGCAGGTGTACCGCGCCGACGGAGTGACGACGTCCGGCGCGTACATCGCGCAGTCCAAGCAGGCCAAGGCGTCGTGGGACTTCGTGCAGGTGCGCACGTGATGTGGCGTTGGAGCTGCGTGTGTTGGGTGCGGGGGTGTGTTGTTTGGCGCCGAGGTCCGCGGTGCTGCGCCGCCTGCCCACGCAGAAGGCTGCGGACGCTCTGGGGCTGTCGATGATGCAAGTGGTCGGCACCTCGATGCGCGGCGCCGCGACGATAGCGCAGCCTGTGCCGACGCAGCCACCGCCGCCGCCCAAGCAGCCCGCGATCACAGCGGCGCGAAGGGAGGCGGACCGTGGCAAGGGGGACCGCGCCGGTCCGCGCGGCGCGGCGTCCGGGTCGAAGCGGCCGCGCGCAGAGCCTGAGGCGGGCCCGCACCCGAGTCCCCCCCGGCCGGCTCCGGGGGCGGTGAAGGACAGCATCAGGACGTTCGTGAGCGGCGCGGTGCAGGCGCAGGTGGTCGCGGGCGCGCTGCCCGCGGCGGCGGCGGACGACGTCGTCGAGCGAGCGACGCGCAAGGTGCTTGCCGCGCACGCCGACGACACGGACGCCACCTTCCTGGCGCGCGAAGGGCCCCGCGTGCTGGCGCTGGTCAAGGGCTACGTCGACGTGCACGCGCGGAAGAAGGCGAAGCGTCAGTAGAGGGCGGCGGCGACGACGCCTCGCACCCGGTGGCGGCTGACACTAAGGAGAGACGGGGGAGGAGAGACATGCCGTGCCCGCACGGCGTCTGCGGTCGCGCGCGGCGCGATGCGGGCGCGTGCCGCGCGATGCGGGCGCGTGCCGCGACGCGCAGGAGAGAGAGTTTCCGGGCGCCCGCAGTCGGCGTTATTGCCATTGCACACACGCACAGCAGCCCCGCCCCCGCCCGAAGCGAGCGCTCTTTTTTCGGTACAAAGTAGTCAAGTAATTGACCACCCGCGCACGAAACGGCATGCGGGTGCGCTATCGTCCTGACCAATGCGGCAGCGTGCTAGGAGTTCTCGCGCGACATGCCACGTGTGCCTGCCAAGGCACGCGCCCGGGCTGTGATCGCGGCGGCTCCCGCGCGGGTTCGGGGCTCACAGGCGCTCGTGCGCTGTTCACTTGGCGAGCTTGGCCTGCTCCCGGAGCACCTTCTTGACGATCTTCTGCTCCTCAATAAGGAAGGCCCGCACGATGCGCTCCCGCACGGCGCTGGCGGCGAGGTGGCCGCCGTACACCCGGCTCACGTTCTTCTTCGACCGCGACTGCGTGCTGCCCTCCTTCGGGCGCTGCGCCTTGAACTGCGGGGCCAGAGGGGCGCGCGGCAGGTCGGTGCGGGCGCGCGGGGCCGCCGCGGGGGGTGCGGCGCGGTGCGGGCGCGAACGAGACGTTGAGGGTGGGCTAGAGGCGCTGGAATGCGAGCGGGCGCGCGCTGAGGGCGCGGCGCGCCGCGCGGGCGAAGGCGGCAGCGGAGCGCGTGCCGAGACAGGTTGCCGGCCAGCTGCGGGCGGGCCTGGCCGCGGGCGCGGCGCAGGTGCTGCAGGTGGGCATCGTGCTCGGTTGCAGGGCCGGTGGCATCGCGCGGGCGCCCGCGCGGGCCGCGTGGGCCCGGGTGGAGCACTGGCGGCAGAGGAGGCGCGCCCACGCACGGGCCAGCCGCTTCCAGGCTGCCGCATGCGGCGCCCGGGGCGGGTGTTGTCTGGCAGCGTGGTTCAGGAGGCCGAACTCACCCCGTTGAGCTTCTGGCCAGTGATGGGGCACACACGGTGGCTCGCAGGCTTCTTCACGTACTGCACCACCAGCCGCCCGCCTGCGCGTTCGCAAATTTCGAATGGAGCGTAATACTGAGACGGCGGGGTGGGAGCGAGACGCGTCGTTCGCGCCGCTGGGGCGCGCAAGCGTACGCTCGACACCTTGAGCAGGCATTCGCGCGCGTCGTGCGCGGCCAGAGCGGCTGTGGGACACGCGTGCGCGCGCTCGGTTCAGGCTTTCGCCGGCACGTACCCGGCGTCTTCACCATCTTGGTCTTGTTCGACCGAGTGGCATAGCTGTGCCTCCGCCTGTAGGTCACGCGCTGCGCCATCGCTCTGTCCGCTGCCCGTCGACCTCAGGGGGTTCCCGAAACTAAGAGGAAGGGGCAGGCGCGCCCCGCGGGCAATGAGGCGCGCTCGGCCGCCGCTGCGGCCCGTCCGACGCTCGAGGGGGGGGCGGCAGACTCAAGCGCGGCTACATGAGGGGGGCTGCGGCGCCGCCGTCGCCCTCTTCCTTCGCGGTTGAAGGCAATTCGCCTGTGGTCAAATCGCAAGGTGCGGCGCGCCCCGCTCGGGCTCGCTACGGCGGACCCTGTTGCTGCGCGCCCGTCCGAACGTCTCCGTGATGGCTCGAACGCTTGCGTCGCCGCACATTCGCTTGGCTCGATCGATTTTCACTGCCGCAGGCTGCTTGCCGCATCCGTTACGCGCTCCCCGCCGCCGCTCAGGGCCCGAACGCTTTGCTGCCAAGTTGCCTCCGTCTCCCCGTCACCTGCCGCGGCGCCTGTGCCCCCTCCGTCCTCGCAGTAGCCAACATGGGTCACCACGAGATCTGGAACTCGTAAGTTCCCCGCCTCCGCAACCCGCCGCGGGAATCCCAGCACCGCCGCGCAGGCGGCCGCTCCCTCCGGGCGCGCGCTCGCCGGCCCGCGACGGTTCAGCCGCCACCTGCGCGGCCCCGCACAGCTCCCGCGTTCAGTGCCCGAATGAACGCCACGTCGCTGACCTCCCGCCCCCGCCCGCCGTGCGCTGCAGCCACCCCAAGAACCAGTCCCGCGGCGGACGTGCGTGCCGGGTGTGCGGCAACCGTCACGGTCTGATCCGGTGCGTTTCCCCTCCTGCGTGCCACCCCCGCTTCGAGCGCGCGGGTGCCGCCAGCGTGGCCGCCCGCTCCGAGGGTGGCGCAGGCAGCGTTAGAGTCGATGCCGCGTGGTGCACCGGGTGGTCCCGGTGCCAAGCTTCTCCTTCGTTCCGCTCTATCCTCTTGCCGCGTCTGAGAGGATAGATCGCGGACCAGGAGGAATTCTTGGCATGGGGACCACCACCTGGTGCACCACAGCTGCACTGATCGACGCCTCCTGCGCCGCCCTCTCGGCGCACGAGATGCCCCCGCGCCCACGCCGTCCCGGCGCCGCTGCCCCGCCTCGGTCCAACCCCCCCCCCCGCCCCCCGCGCAGGAAGTACGGCCTCAACATCTGCCGCCAGTGCTTCCGTGACTACGCGGGCCAGATCGGCTTCAACAAGTACAGGTGAAGCGCCTGGCCGACGGGGCTTGCGCCGACGACAACGGTCTCATTAGCCCGCGTCGCCGGCGCCCGCACTCCGCCGCCCGCAGCGACAGGCCCACGCTGTGAGACTGTCCTGCGTCCGCCGCCCCAACGTGCCCCCCCCGCCGCCGCGCGTCCGCGCTCTCACACGCACGCGTCGCTGCAGCCCCGGCGCAACGGCCCCGCCCCACCGCTGCCTGCGCCGCGTCACCAGCTGTCCTCGTCCGAGGCCTTCGCCGCGTCCTCCTTGTACTTCCGCGCGAGCGCGGCCTTCCCCGCGCTCGGCCCGAACTTCGCGCGCGTCCTCCGCGCCGCGCGCCCCCCCGGGATGATGTCCCGCGTGTCCAGCTCGTCCCCCGACAGCCCCTTCACCATCTCGGCGTCGCCCTCCGAGTACGACCCGGAGTCGTCCCCGGAGTCGTCCCGCTTCTTGCGCTTCTTCTCCTTCTTCTCCGCGCCCTTGTCGCCGCCCGCGCCCCTCTTGCTGGGGCCCGCGCCGCCCGCCGAGGGCTTGCGGCGCACGACGATCTCGTCCGAGTCCGACCCGCTGTCCGAGCTGCCCTGCGCGCGCGGAGGCGGCGCTGCGGCGCGCGTCGCGCACGGGCGCGGCGCGGGCGGCGTGCAAGCGGCCGCGCGTGTGCACGCAGGCTCCGTTCGCGCTCCGTGGGCCGCGGGCGCGGCGGGACGGCCGCCAACGCGCTCCGCGGCGCACGAGGAGCGGGCCTGCGGCGGCGGGGCGGTGCCGGCGGCCGTGCGCGTCGTGCAGGTGCGCACCTCGGAGCCGGTGTCGTCGGACCCGCTGTCGTCTGAGTCCGACTCCGACTCGATCTTCTTCTTGGGCTTGGCCGCGGCCGCGGGCTTCTTCAGCTCCTCGGCCTTCTTCTCGTCCGTGGCCTGCGGCGTTCGGCGCGCGGCGGGCGGGCAACATGGTGTGGGGGGCTGCAGACCTCCGTGCGAGCTGTCGTCGGCGACGGCCTGCGCGAGCTGCTCGCGACGGCGTGGGGCAGTGCGACGCCCGCGTTCTGCGCACAGATCCGCGCATCAAGCCCCCGGCGCGCGCGTGGCCGTGGCACGAGTGCCGCTGGTGGTGGGCGTGCGCCGCCCACGCGCGCACGTGCGCTGCGACGGGCCGCCGCGTCGCGGCGAGGATGCTCCGTGCGAAATGGCCGTCGTGGCCAGCGTTGCGCGGCTCCAGCGTCCGCGGCACGGCGCCACTGCCGCTCCCGCTCTGGGCACAAGTGCACGCACCTTCCCAACCTCCTTCTTGGCTGCGTCCGCTTTCTCCGACATGGTGGCTACCGCTGTTGCGTGCACAGTCGCGATCGCACTCCGCTTTCACGGCCCTCCCGCGGCGCGACCGCCCGCTGCGTGCTTGCCGCTGCAGGCCTCGGCGGCTCTCCCGCGCGATACGCGGTAGCTATCAACGGGTGCGAACGGTCGTGGGCGCTGGCCAGGTTCGTGATGCGCGCGGTACTGGCGCGGAGGGCCTCGCGCAGCGCCTCATGTGGTGTGAAACCACTCCTGCTTGTACCTGACACCACAGAAAGACGGCACGCGCGCGCGGGCGCGGCGACCTCGTGTCGCGCTCCCGGCGGGGGGCGCCAGTCCATTGCAGCGAGGCCGCCCTGGCCGGACACGGCCGCACCATAGTTGGTTCCGAGCGCCTCAACGTGCGGAGAGCAGAGTGCAGCTCGCAGGGGGCTGGGAGTCGCCCTTCGTCCGCCTTGGAGCAAAGAGTGCGTCGAGTCGTGGACAGCGGGCACACGCGGGTGCAGTAGGCGGGAGGGGCTGCAGCCCAGGCGCGCCGGCCCCCTGCCGCGATGTCTGGGCCGGCCAGCCCGCGCGAGGCAGCGAGCCCCGCACAACAGCGCGTCTCGGGGCACGCCTCGGATAGATCTCAGGAGGTCAGTCCCCCGGCGCCGCTGTTCCCCACTGTTTCATCAGCCCAGAGGCAGGGCGGAGAGGCCAGCAGTGCACCTCCCAAAGAACGGGCCCCTGCTCCGGGCGACGCGGCGATGGTGGGGCAACCACTGCCGGAACGGATTCTTCGAGTCTGTCCCTTGATGTCACTGCCTAGGCAGAGGCCAGCTGGGACGCACGACGCGTCACCAACCCCCCCCCAGCCCGACGCAACGTGCCCGGGAACGCTGCCCCGCGACGCGCCCACACCAGTGCATGCCTCGTCCGTGGCTGCGAAGCCGCGTCGTGTCGCAACGGCGTCCCCCTCGCACCCGCGGTCGCCGCAGGAGGAGCTCCATGTCGCTGCGCAGGCGTCGCGGGCCTCGAACGGGTCCGGCGGAGACGGCGACATGGCGCCGTTCGAACGAGACACGTTCTCCGCCGTCGACTACGTCAACCGGCTGTTCCCCACGACCGACTCCCTGACAGGTGCGCGCGCGCGCGTTGCCGCGTCACCTGCGAGGCCCGTGCACGCCGCGCGCCGCGCGACCGCCGCCCGCCGCCGGCGCCGCGTCTCGCAGGGCTGGACGGCACGATCGCGGCGCTCCGCCGTCGCATCGGCGCCCTGGACGCGGAGATCCTGGCCGCGGTGCGGTCGCACCCCCCCGGAGCACAACGCACGCACGAGGGCGTCGCGGCGGTCGAGGGCGCGATCCGCGACATGACGGAGCACATCGCGGGCGTCCGCACGCGCGCCGAGGCCGCCCAGAAGTCGGTCCAATCCATCTGCTCGGGTATACGCCGCCTCGACCTCGCCAAGCGCCACCTCACCAGCAGCATCACCGTCCTGCGCCGGCTCGGGATGCTCGTGGGCGCGGTGGACCGCCTCGAGGGCGTGGCGAGCACGCGGCAGTACGGCGAGGCCGCGCGGCTGATGAGCGCCGCCACGGACCTGATGGCGCACTTTGAGCCGTACGTCGCGGTGCCGCGCGTGGCCGAGGTGTCGGCGCGGTTCGAGCGGCTCCGGGAGTCGATGCGGCAGCGGGCGACGCAGGAGTTCCACGACCTGCTCCCGAGCGGGTCCGCGGGCGCCGGCGCGGAGGGCGGCGTGGCGCCGGCGGCGGCGGGCGTGCTGAGCGAGGCGTGCCAGGTGATCAACGCGATCGGCGGGGGCGCGCGCGACGACCTCGTGGCGCAGGTGTGCTCGCGCGAGACGACGGCGTTCAGCGCGATCTTCGCGACCACGGGGCCGACGGGCAAGTTGGAGAAGGTCGAGGGCCGGCTGTCGTTCGTGCGCAAGGCCGTCACGGGGCGCCCGGACGTGTGGGAGATCTTTCCGCGAGAGTGGTGCGTGCCGCGGCCCCCGGACGTGGCGCGCGTGGCGTGCGAGGTGCTGACCGTGCATGCGGGGCGCGGCGCGACGTGACGTGCGCGGTGTTGTGCCCGGCGCGCACTTGCAGGCGCGTGCAGGAGCTGCTGGCGATGACGCTGTGCAAGCTGGTCCGCGCGCAGCTCGCGGAGATCCTGGACGCCGCTGCGCCGCAGGGCCTGGACGTGACGGCGCTGCTGCAGGGTCTTCAGAAGACGATCGAGTTCGAGGAGGGCATGCAGGCGCGGTTCGGAAGCAGCGAGGGGGGCGGGGGCAGGGAGGCGGCGGGTACGGACGCGCTGGGGCAGGTCAAGGCGAAGTGGGAGCGCGTGCGGGAGGAGCGGCGGCGGGAGCGCGCGAGCCTCGAGGCGGGGGGCGCGGGGGACGACGAGGGCGAGGAGCGCGAGGCGGGGGCGGGCGGCGTGGAGTTCAACTTCCGCGGCGCGATCTCCGGGGTGTTCGAGAAGCACATGGGGTCGTACGTGGAGCTGGAGGAGCGGGCGCTGCGGGAGGCGGTGGACAAGCTGCTGCTGGAGGAGACGTGGCAGATGGTGGGCGGGGCGTCCGGGCCGTCGGTGCTGCAGAGCTCGACGCAGGTGTTCATGCACATCAAGCGCTCGCTGAAGCGCGGGTCGTCGCTCTCGCGCGGCGCGGCGCTGCTGCTGCTGTACCAGGCCTTCCAGCGCGGGCTGGTCGCGTACGCGGGGAAGCTGGCGGCGCGGCTGCCGCGCACGGCGTCGGGGCAGCCGGCGGCAAAGGCGGCCGCGGGCGACAAGAGCTGGCACGTGCCGCTGAGCGAGCACGAGGAGTTGGTGGTGGTGCTCATCGTCAACACCGCGGGGTACTGCCACGACACCTGCCAGGGCCTGGCCGAGTCCGTGGCGAAGCTGCTCGAGGACGAGGACCTCCGCGCGGGCGTGGACCCCAGCGGGGAGCAGGACGAGTTCCACGCTCTGAAGAGCCGCGCGCTGCAGGCGCTGGTGCTCGGCGTGGACACGCGCCTCGAGCAGCACCTGCACGCCATGTCGCGCGTGGCCTGGAGCTCCGTGGACATGGTCGGCGACGCGTCCGCGCACGTGGCGGGCATCCAGAAGGAGCTCGCCGCCGCCGCGCCGCGCCTGGGCCGGCTCCTGGACGCGACGCACTTCGGGTACTTCTGCGACAAGCTCGTCGCGTCGCTCGTCCCGCGCTACCAGGAGTACCTGTACCGCTGCCAGCGCGTGTCGGACGCCGGGGCGCAGCAGCTCCTGCTCGACAGCCAGGTGGTGCGCGCGACGCTGCTGGAGCTCCCGACGCTCGGCGGGCACGCGGCCTCGCCGTCGTTCGGGCGGTACGTGGCGCGCGAGATGGGCCGCGTGGAGGCCTTCATCAAGGTCGTGCTCTCGCCGCCCGAGGCCCTCGTGGACACGTTTGCGGAACTCCTCCCGGGGGCGTCCGCGACGGACTTCCGCCGCGTCCTGGAGGTCAAGTCGCTGTCGCGCCAGGAGCAGCAGCAGCTCGTCGAGGCGTACGAGAAGCAGAGCGGCACCGCGGTCCCGCTCGCGCAGCAGCCGCAGGCGTCGGCGGCGACGGGGTTCGCCGCGCGGATGCGCCTCGCGAGCGGGCCCGCGACGGCGCCGCGGACGTCGGAGTCGGAGACGACGCAGCCCGTGGGGTTCATGTCGAAGCTCGTGGGGCACCGGCGGACGGGGTCGACGGGCGCGGCACTGGCGAGCAAGGACGGGACGCCGCAGCGCGGGTCGAAGGCCACGGAGAACCTGCGGAGGTTCTTCGCGAACGCTGGACAGCTGTCCTTCCGCGCAGGGCAGAGCGAACAGGGGCCGGGACCCGCGGGGGGGTCGGGGGCGGGCACGTGCCCCGCGCAGCTGTGACGACGAGCGATTGGCCGCGCAGCGCCGGGAGAACCACACCGGCCGCACTAGACCTCACATCGCGCCGCGGCTCCGAGTGCCGATTCGCGCTCTCACGTGAGGTCGTCCTCCTCCAAGTCCCCCATGCCACCGGCGCCGAGCCCCGACCCCGGGACGCCGAGCGCGTTGGCAGCGAACGCCGCCATCGACGGCAGGTCCCCTTGCGGCAGCTGCCGCGCGAGCCGCGCCGCCGCCGTCTCTATATACTGGAAGCACATCTTGTCCTTCACCACGCCCTTGATCCTGCACTCACCAGCCACACAACACAACACAACACGGCACGTCGCGCCGCGCAGTCCATCGCGCGCAGGCATCGGCGGCCGCGGCGCCCCGGAGCACGTGGCGGGGCGTTAAACGGACCTGCCCGCGTCCCCGGACGCATACGCCTGGAAGAGGTCGTCCGCCGCGAACGCCTCGTCGCTCCTCGCGAAGTCGTCGACGGTCATGGCGTTCTGGTACATCTGCCACGCCTCCGCCACGTCCCCGCTGTGCAGCAGCACCACCACGCCCGCCAGGTACGCCTTGCACTGCTGGTTGCTGGCGCCGGTGCGCGAGCAGGCCAGCGCGTACTTCATCAGCAGGTCCGCGGCCTCCCGCGGCCGCTGGGCGCGCAGGCAGCTCCCCACCGCCTCGCGGTACAGGTCCAGCGACAGGTGGTCCTTCCCGTCCTCCATGGCAGTCGACACCGCCTCCTGCCACATGCGCGCCGCGACGTCGCCCGCGGAGCCCTCGAGGAACTTCGCGCCCTTCGACAGGGCCTGCGCCGCCGCCGTCGCGCGGTCTGCGGCGGGGGCGGGCGCGCGGAGGGCGCGTGTGGCGCGCGGCGTGGGCGGTGGGTGCGTGTGCGAGGCGCGGGGCGGTGGCGGGCGCACCGGCGAGCTGGAGCTGCTCGAAGGCCTCCCGCGAGAGGACGGCCACGTCGTCCATGAGGCCCGCCTGCGCGGCCATGCTCGCTGCCGCCTCGAAGTCGCGCCCCGCGTGCCAGTTGCTCCCCGCCTTCTCCTGCGCTCCAGCGAAGCCCGGTCCGCGTCAAAGCGCCGTTCGGCGTCCCGGCGATGATTTCGACCTCCGTTCATGCGAACGCGCGGAAGGAACGCGGATCAGAACGCGGGAGCGCGCTGCGCGAGCCTGCGGAAAGCTGGGCGTGCCTGTGCAGTCGCGGCCTTCTCGAACGCCTCACGCGCCTTCGCCCACTCCGACCGGCGCTTGTACAGCGCCGCTGCCTGCTCGAAAGACTGCACGCGATCGAAACGGCCAGTCGCGTTGTGTGCGCGGTCGGCGAGGACGGAGGAACGGTGTGTCTTCTCCTTCCACTGCCACGTACGCATCCCCGAGGTGCGTCTCGAACGCACTGCAGTGTCTCCCGCGAACACACGGCCTCAGTTCTCGCCGCCCGGAATCCAAACGTGTTCGCGGAGCGGCAGGGATCGCAGAGGACGGGCAGCGAGTGCGCTAGGGTGTGCACGAGGCGCCCGGGTCGCGGGCCCGGCGCGAAGGGAGGCGCTTTCGCGCTCCCGACCCGCACGGGGGCCGTGGACCGACCTGCGCGGCGCCCTCCCAGTCCGGCTTGAGGCGCAACTGCGCGATGGAGGGCGATATGTACTTTTGGCCCTGCTTCATGAGCCAGTCCGGGTCATTGTCCTTGTCCCTGCCCATGGTGACCAGCCTCCCGCGTCGCCACGCAGCCGCGCGCAAGTCCCCGCGGGCCACGAGGCCGCGCGGTCCTGTGGCTGCGCAGGGCAGGCGGTGGCGCAAGTCTGACCGACGCGGGTGTTTCAGGTCGGACCACCCGCGCAGGACACGAACCGTGACACGCAAGCTCGGCGCGGCAAGAAGGGCTGCACCGGGTTGCGGCGCTGCGACTGCCGCCCGCTGACGCGGGGGCGCCGACCACGGATCGCACGCATCATCCTTTGGACCACAGTGGAGGGAAGCACCACGTGACGCTGGTGCGCGAGCATCCGAGAACGTAGTCTCGCAGCCGGTGGCAGGTCACATGGTGCCAGTGCTGCCGACGTCGTCTCGCACACTCCTCCGGCTGCGGCGTCAGCCGTGCCCAACATCCCTATACAAACACACGTGTTCGCCTCTCGGAGCGCACACGCCGCTCCCTGTCGTCCACCCGCAGCGTCGAGCGGGCCCTCACGCTTGCGCTGCGCGCTCCATGGCCCGCAGGAGCAGCTGGCACAGCACCGCCTCCTCCCTCGCCGCCTCCCTGTCCTCGCCGTCCAGCCCCTTGATGTGGTCGTGCACCGCCTCCACGCGCCCCTTGAGCCCCGGCAGCCCGAGCACCGCGCCGCGCACCTCCGGCACCTTGACCAGCGCAAACAGCGCCTCCAGCGCCATCCGCAGCAGGCCCCAGTCGTCGTGCTCGTCGTCGCCCGTGAGCTCCACGAGCCCCGCGAGCGTCTGGTGCACGCCGAGCTCCACCGCCAGCGGGCCGTCCTCCGCCCCCGCCGCCTGCAGCACGTGGTGCACCAGCCCCACCGCCTTCCGCCGCACCCGCGCGTCCGACGCGTGCGTGAGCTTGTGCAGCCGCTGCAGCCCGCCCGCGCGCCGGAACACCACGAGCGCGGCGGGGTGCCCGCGCACGACGGACCCCACGCACAGCAGCGCCTTGGCCACCACGCCCTGGTCGGCGTCGCCCAGGGCCGCGATGGCGCGGTCGAGTCCCCCGGCGTCGAGCACCTCCTGCTGTGCGGGGAGGAGGTTCTGCGTGGACGCGCCGATGACCTCCAGCGCGCGCCCGCGGACGCCCGCGTGCGTGGCCTGCGCCAGCCGCAGCAGCACCGGCAGCCCCCCCATCTTGTTGTAGTCCCGCGCGAAGTCCAGGTTCTCCACGATCTCCAGCAGCTCGTCCAGCAGCCGCTCCGCCTCCTCCGGCGTCGGCGCCGCGGCCGCGGACCCCTCCGCGGGGGGCGCGGGGGGCGCGGGCGCCGCAGACGCGCCGCCGTCGTGTCCGGGCGGCGCGCCGAGGAGCAGCGGGAGGTCCTTGCCGGGCGCGAGAACGTCCGCGCACTCCTCGAGGCGCCCCCGGATGCCCTTCATCTTGTTCGGAATGTCGACGGTGTAGTGCGTCATGGCGTCCTGCAGCCACTTCATCTTCTCCGGGTCCACGGGCGCCGTCGGGAGCGTGCCGTCGGAGTGCCGCATGGACCAGTCGAACAGCCCTGCGGGGGAACACAGAGCGCGGGCGCGCGGCGGTGAGACGCGCGGCGAGCGCGCCCAGCGCAGCGCGCCAGGTCGGGCGGCTGCTGCGCGCCGCGTGGCGGGCGTGGCAGCGCCGCGTCTCCTGCGCGTGAGACTCTCTTCTCACGCGGCGTTGCGGTGACCACAGGTTCCGTGCATGTCACGCGCGCCCCGCGCTCCCGGCGGCCGTTGTCGTCCAGAAAGTGCTGGAGCGCGCTAGGCCGCGGCCCGCCCCGCAGCCCCGCCGCCTGGGCGGCTGTGCGCCGGGGGGCGGCCGCTCGTGGCGCCTCGCGGTCGCTCGAAGCGGCTGCGCGCGCGCGGCGGGCTCCGGGCGCGCGGTGCGTCGCAGTGCCTGCTGTGGCGGCGCCTCTGCAGCGCAGGGTGCGCACCTCGCCACATGGGCAGCTGCCCGCCCATTCCGTCGCCACCTCCTCCCGCGTCAGCCATCCTTCCTGCTCAAAGAATCGGTCCTAGCCAAGAATTCTCTATGTCGCGATCGCTCAACGTTGCCTCGCAGGAATGCAGGGGCCAGCCGCTTTGTCTCGCTCACGAGTGCGTTCAACCTATCAGAAAACTGCAGCGTTCGCGTTTGTGCACCTGTTGTCGCGCGGACTTGCGCAATGAGCCCGCGTGCTGCGCTGACAGCGCGTCTGCCAGTCTGCCTGGGGCGTGAATTTCAGCGAGTCAGGCCCGCGACACCATGGCTTGCGCTGAGCGCGCAGCGCGCTCAGTCCCGGAACATCCCCTGTTCGACACCGGGGTAGCAAGAACGACGGCCTCTGTCCCCTCTCCTGCACGGCAGCCGGTTGGACAGCGCCAGGTGATCCAGCAGCTCTTCTTGGTGTCTGTGAGGCGGGCTTGGACCATACTCCGCGACGAGCAGAGCAACGTCGCAGCGAGGAAGACACCAGCTCAGTAGAAATTCGTTGGGAATCGGGGGCGCGTCAGAGGCCCGCTCAGACACTACCAGCGCCCCTGTGCGCGGCACCTGCGGGCCGCAGGGCTGGTCTCTGTCCCGGAAAGGGTCAATATTAGAGTCGGAACTTCGGATGGTATGGCGTAAGTGGGCAGAGGGGACGGCGAAGACCGCGGGCGTCGTGTACTGCTTCCACAAATGGGTTGGGTGGTTCACTTTCACCAAGGGCGACAGCATGAAGGCACGACGACGGCGCCCGCCACCGCCACTCGCACTACACGCCCGCCGCGCAGCCCGCCCGCCCTGCCGCGCTCGCGAGGACTCGGGTCTTGAGTTGATGCGCTTCTTGGTGACTCAAGGTTCCACAACCCCCCCCCTCCCCGCGCCACTGAACGCGCGGCTACGCGCGCCCCCGTCCGTCTGTCGCAGCCCACGTTGCACGGCGGCGAGATCCTGTTTGCGTGCCACCCCCCCGTGGCGCTGGGCAAGCTGTCTGTGGGCGACCTGGTCGTGTACCGCGTGCCAGTGGAGTCGGAGCGCATGTACGGGCTGAAGCGCGTCATGGGCCTCGGCGGGGACGAGGTCTTCGTGAAGGGTGTGCACGAGCGCGGCCACGCCGTCCCGACACTGCTGCTAACACACGCGTGGTGTTTGCCAGGGCGCCGGTCGTGCGCGAACGTCTCGGTCGCGGCGCCGCGCGTCGCAGGTCGTTCGAAGCACGAGGAGGACCGCTGGGAGATCGTGCCCCAGGGGCGGGTGTGGCTGCAAGGCGACAACGTGGACGCGTCGAGGGACTCGCGGGCGTTCGGGGCGGTGCCCATCCGGCTGGTGGAGAGCAAGGTCGTGTTCCAGGTGCGCCGCCACCCTCGCGCCGTCGCTCTGCAGGCGTGGGGTGGTTGCGCGGGCACGCGCGGGCCAGTCTCACCCGGGCCTGCTGAGTGCTTGGCCCTGCAGGTGGCGCCCTTCGCTGGGGCGGGGCGGATACCTCGCGGCATTCCGGACAGCCTGGCGCACGTGCGCCCGGACCTCGTGCCGCCCCCGCCCGCGGCAGGCTGGTGACGCGGCGGGCACGGCCCGCGCACCACGTGTACTTCTCGTTCGGCGCGAACATGGCCCCCGCGGTGCTGCGACGGCGTGGCATCACCCCCGTCGAAGGTCCAGTGCCTGCCGTGCTCGTCCCGGAGGATGGCTGGCAGCTTGAGTTCCGCCACCGTGCCGGGTACGCCACCGTCGTTCGGACGGCGCAGGGGCGCGCCACCGCGGACGAAGTGTGCCTGCGACCGGTGCGTGGCGCCGCGTACGTGCTGACCGTGGACGACTTCGATGCGCTGGCGCGGGCGGAGCGAGGATACGAGGTGCGAGAGGCGGAGGTGCGGCTGAGCGACGCACACGACTACGTCAAGTCGGGGGGGAGCGAGCTGGCGCCCGGGGCTGCGGTCAGCGCCAGGATCTTCGTCTCCCAGCCGGACAACATGCTTCCGCGCGGCCTGCCCCCGCCGTCGCGGTACAAGCGGGTGCTGGTGGAGGGTGCGCGGTCCTGCAAACTCGAGGCCGGCTACGTCGCCGCGCTCGAGGCGCTGCCGGAGACCTCGCCGCAGGGATACGGGCTGCCTGACGAGTACTACGACACGCCGGCGCTCAGGCGCAGCAAGGCCGTGGCCGTCGCTGCGCTCCTGACAGCTGTTGCTGCCTTTGTTCTGACGCGGGCTTGAGCTGACTCAGCAGGGACGCGCCACGCGGCCAGCGTCGCTGCGGCGCTGGTCACAGTTCGTGCCAGTTGACAGACAGGTCCTTGAACGGCACGCTGTCCAGCGGGATCGGTTCGCCCACGTCGCCGCTGCGCAGGCCGTCGAGGGATGTGACGCCGTCCTTGCTCGTGTCGCGCCCCTGGATGTGCGTCGTGAGCATGCCTGTGTCCGAGAGGAACTTCGCGAAGGAGTAGAACAGGTCGTGCTGCATGGTGCCGAACTTGCCGTCAGGCCCTAACAAGAACTTGTTCAAATACGCCTGGGAGCGCTTCGTCATCTCCAGCGACAGCTCTGCGGGCGCGCGGACAACCGAGAGACTCGCGTCCCGACCAGCAACACCGCGGGACACCCGCGGCCTGGCTCCGTCGCTGGTTCATGTGCGTCGCGCACCTGTCCCGTCCTTGGCCGCCTCGGCCACGAGGATCTCCGCGGCGCTGTCCGGGTGCGCCGCGGCGTACTCGAACCCTCGCGCGGCCGCCCTCATGCACGCGCGGATCAGCTCCCTCTGGGCGCCGTCCGCGAGGCTCGCGGCGGACGCGAGCACCACGGGACCGCCGCCGTACGGGATCCCGTAGTCCTGCAGCATGAACACGTTCAGGTCCACGCCGCGCATCTCCGCGTCGACCCCCTCGTGCCCCATGAAGACCCATGCGGCGTCAAACGAGCCGTCGCCCAGCCTGTCCCAGATGTCCAGCATCGGGTGCGGCTGCTCCGTGTACTCGCCCCTGCCGCCGTCGTTCCTGATGAGCTGCTGCACGATGCGCCCCTCGTACCGCGCGGCGTAGGACGCGTAGACCTTGCCGTCGAGCTTGGCGGGGCGGTCGATGCCCGACTCCTTCCGCGTGACGATCGCGCTCGTGTTCTCCTGCAGGATCGTCGCCACGGCCACCAGCGGCGGGTGCGACTCCCGCTTCGCCTCGGGCGCCGTGACGTAGCTCAGCACCGTCTCCTTGGGCGCGATCGCCAACAGCGCCTCTCCCGCCGCGACGCGCTGGGCCGGAGTCCGCTTGTAGCCGTCGACGGAGGGAGACACGAGCTCGATGTCGACGCCCTCTTCCTCGAACCATCCCTGCACGCGTCCGCGACGGCGCGTGTGAGTGCGCGGTGCAACAGCAACTCTGCGGCGTCTCGCGGCGCTGGGTTGCTGGCGTACGCGGGCCGCGACGCGCGGCTGGGACGGAGAACGTGCGTACCTTCGCGCGGCTAACGTAGAATCCTGTGTGATTCGTGTTCGGCGTCCAGTCGAGAGCGACTGCCACCTTTTTCATCTCGCCCTCCTCCCCGCTTCCCGCGCGCGCGCGATGTGTGTTGCACGGTACGTGTCTGATGTCTCATAGGTACTGGGTCTGCCGCGATGTTATCCGCTGGGTTTGTGTGCCGGACGGAGCCACCGGCGGGGGGGAGATGTGGGCAGTGCTCGGTGGGCAGTTCGTCGCCCCTCGAGGGCCGCGGGGACGCGTGGGCGCGGCACTCGATGCGCTCCTGATGGCCATAGCGCTCATCGTTCTGTGGGAGGTAGAATAGATCCACGAGGTCGCGTCGAGGCCCCGAGAGCACGACTGGAACTGCCTAGGTTGCAGGGGGGAGCCTGCACGGCCGTTGTGCGCGGGAACGTGCCCATCGCAACCATACTGGGCGAGAGCTACGCAACTGCGAGGCGCGGCGGGATGAGCGGCGCCCGCGGCAGGGAGCGGTCGCCGCTGTTTGGGGGCGCGAATGACCGCCAGGTGCGCGAGAGGCCGCGCACACGCTCCCAGCCGCGTGCCCCGGGGCCGGGGCCGGTCGCATACACGTGAATACGACTGCGCTTTCACCCATCCCCCGCCGATGCGTGATCTGCGCTCGTGGCCCGGTCGCAGCCAGGCTCCTCGCACATGCGCTCCTGCGGGCTGTCCGCACTGGTCGCCGCTCGGCACGCCCGCCGCGCCGAGCGGCGACCTGGGCGCTGGGCGGCGGCCTGGACATGCGCGAGGCCGCATGGTCTCTGCTTCCGCGTCTGACAGAGCGCCCCCTGCGTTGCCACCATGTTGTTGCAGGGGGGTCTCTCGGCGGTCGGCACGGACCCCGAGTCGCTGGAGCGGAACAACGACGCGCAGATCGCGCAGCTCGAGGATCGCGTGGGGATGCTGAAGGACATCACGTCGGGCATCCACGGGGAGGTTGGGAGGCACAACCGCGTGCTGGACGGCGTGGTGAGTGGGCGCGCGGGCGGGGGCGGGCGGGCCCTCCGCGGACGCGCCGACGCGTGCGCTGTGCCGGCCGGTGATCGACGCGGGCGCCCCGCCGTGCGCGTGCGCTGTGCAGGACGGGGCGTTCAACGTGTCGCGGGCGCAGCTGGGCGGCACGGTGGACCGGTTCAGCCGCGTGATGGTGAGCCAGGTCAAGTCGAAGCCGCTGGTGACCGTGGGCATCATGGTCGCGGCCCTCTGGGTGCTGTACTACGTGGTATTTAAACGATGACTCCGGTCCCCCAAATGGGGACCGGGGCGCGTGCGAGGCGGCGGGCGGGCGCCGGCGGCGGGGCGCTGCCGGTCCGTGTGAGCGAGTCACAAGTCCGACGTCGTCGGCCATGCAGGCATTGTCACGCACTGTGCAACTAGACGCCCTAGAGCCCTGCGAGGTCCGACCCGCTGTCGCTGTGGTCCGAGATGGAGAACGCGGCCTCCCGGTCCGACCCCTCGTCGATCGCGTCCTCCAAGAAGTCGATCTCGTGGCACGGCAGCGACGGGACCGTGGTCTGCAGAGGTCGGCAGCGCGCGCAAGCGTCTCGGCACATCATGCGCACCCTTCGCGGCTGCGCGACCGCAGCGGCGAGCGCAGCGCGCGCGCACGAGCGCCAGCGCTGCTCGCGCATGCGTGCAGCGCGGGGCGGGGCGCACCATTTGGGGCAGCTGCGGCAGCGGGAGGTTCCTGAGCTCCTCGGCGGTGGCGCGCGGCGAGGGGCCCATCATCGGCACCGTGCTGCCGTCCGTCATCACGACCGTGCCGTCCTTCGTCAAGACGCGCCCGTCGCCGGCCTTGGCCGGCATCACCATCACGCTCAGCGTCTTGGCGCGCGCCCGCAGCGCGTGGATGCGCACCTCCCGCTCCGAGTGCGTCTTCGGGACCGGCACCGGGAGCGCGCTCGCGGCCTTCTTCGGGCGCCACGGCGCTGCCTCCTCCGAGGGCCCGCCGGGCGCGGACGTGCGCGTCGCCGCGGCCCTGGTGGCCCTGGAGCTCATGTGCGCCGCCAGGGCCTGCCGGCGGTCCTCGGAGATCGCGGGCGGGACGGAGAACGACGTCTCGAGGGGCCCGCCGTGCTCGGCGTCCGCCGCGGCCAGCTGCGTCTGCGCGCACTCCACCGCGACCACGCCGTAGCCCTTCCACGCCAGGAGGGTGCTGCGCAGCCACTCGAAGTCGTACCAGTAGCACGGGCGCTGGCCCGGCCGCGCGACGAGCAGCTGCGGTGTGCGAGGGGGCGGGGGCGGGTGGGCGAAGGGGGCGCGGCGGCGCGGGGGGCGGCGGGACGCGCGCGTCGCTGATGCGGGGGGTGTCACCTGTCGGACGGTGCGTCGGCCGCCGTAGCCCGCGTCCGCCTGCCACTCGCGCGCGGCGTGGATCAGCGAGTAGTGGTTCTCGAGGTGGAAGACCAGCGCCGCGCCCGTCCGCTGCAGCAGCTCCACGCACCGCAGCCACTGCCGCGCCACGTCCGTCGTGGTGTCCTTCTCCGACAGGGACATCTCCCACCGGCCCCTGCCCGCACCGAGCAGCCTCCACACGTTCAGCCCGACCTGCGCGCGCGATGCGCACCCGGGCAGCGTCAGACGCCCGCACGACGGACGGAGGGCGGCGCCAGGGCAGGACGCATAGCTGGTCCCAGCCGCGTCGGCATGGGTGCCGCTCTGGGACGAAATCACGGACAAGATCCACAGCCACGCATCCACTGCGGCAAGAGGCGCGCCCAAGTTGACATTCCCCTTGTTTGTGGGTTGCGTTGAGGACTGGACGCTTCTTCTTCTTCAAAGGCTGCCCCGAAGGCGGTACACATGCGCACTTCGGGGCAGCCTTTGAAGTAGGAGAAGTCCCAGTCCTCAACGCAAACCATGAACGCGGGGAATGTCAACTTGCAAATGGTGGGCCGCGCATCGCATGTTGGGTTCCGTGCTGGAACAGGCGCACGGCCGTGGGCCTCGTCCGTGATCTCGTTCCCAGAACGGCATGCCAGCTCGACGCGCGCGAATTCCTCGGCGGCCTTCAGGCAGCACCCGGGCGCACCTGGTTGCGGTTCCCCAGCGTGCTGAGTGCCCACAGGACGCGGTCCGTGCCCACCGGCGCAGTGCTCGGCTGCGGCGGACTCAGCTTCTCCAGGGCGTTACTCTTCGTCGCCCACGTCGCCACGCGCGCCACCAGCGTCGCCCGGGCGCCGCCCAGCAGCGCCGCCGCCACCGCGGGCTTCAGCTGGCCCTCGGGGTCCCGCACGCCGCGGCCCGGCGCCGCGCTCGCGGGCCGCGACCGCACCGACGTCCGCTGCTGCCGCCCCTCCACCACCAGGCTGGAGATGTCGGACGAGTCAGCCCCGGACTCCCCCCCCGAGGCCCCGTCCGGCTGCTCCTCGCCCTGCCCGGCCTCCTCGACAGGCACGGCGCCGCTCGACGGCCCGGCCTGCGGCGGCCGCGCCCCCTCAAAGATCTCCACGGGCACGTCGGTGCGGCCGCGCGCCTTCTTCTTCGTCGCGCGCTTCTTTCCTGCGTGGCGACGCACCGGGACGGAGCACACGGTCGGCGGAGCGCGTCCGCGCGGACCTGCGGGGCAGGGTGGAGCGCTGCGCGTGCGCGCGCGCACCTGAGGGCTTCCGGGCAGAGCCCGGCCTGCGGGCGCTCGCGGGCTTCTCCTTTGGCGGCGCGGCCTGCTCCTGCTGCTCTGCGGCTTGAACCTGCGCCCTGTCGACGTCCGCGAACTTGCACAGCGACCTGCGGGCAGGCAGCGACGCGGAGCCGTTGCATCGCGACCTGCGGCGTGTGGTGTGCGGTTGGGTGGGTCATGCGTGTGTGTGTGTGTGCAAGGGCGAGGACGCACGCTTCGACGGCGTTCCGGCCGGGCTTGGTGCCGCGCTTGAGGATACCGTCGTTGCGGAAGTGCGCCGCGAGCTGGTCGAGCGACGCCAGCCCCGGCGGCGGCGCGGGCACGAGGTGCCCCGACGCGTCGGCCTCTGCAGCGTCGAGCGCGCCGAGCTGCGCGGCGAGCAAGTTCAGCACCTGCTTCTCCGCGCTCGCCACCTCCTGGCCCCAGTGCTCGCGGTACAGCTCCAGCACGTCCTCCTGCCCCAGCTTGGGCGTCCCGTCTGCAACGCACACACAACAACGCCGACGCAGCGCGTCTCGCACGGCCGCACGCACGCGCGCGCGCACGCGCACGCCAGCCCTCCGCGCGTCCGGGCCGGGCGGGCGGCGCGCCTGGGAAGAGCATCGTCGCGGCGGGCTTGACGGCGTTCCACGCGCCCGCCACCGCCGCGGCCGCGCAGCACGGGCTGCTCTGCTCCACCCAGCCCGCGAGCGCGCCGTGGTCGAAGTACAGCTTGAGCCCCTGCTGCCCGACCGGCCCCACCATCGTCGCCCCGCAGTCGTCGTACGGCGTCACCAGATCCTTGTCTGGCACGGGCAGCGGGCTGGCGCGGCCGCCGCCCGCCTGCGACGCCGACAGGCCGAGCCGCGGGCCCCAGAACGGGTGCGGCGCGAAGTCCGTCGGCGCCAGCGGGTTCGACCGCTTCAGGTTGGCCAGCTGCCGCGCCATCTTGGTCTGCGCGGACGTCAGGGCGCGCTGCGGGGCACGCGGGGGCGGGGCGCGGGTGGGCGGCGACGCGCGGCGCCGAGCAGAGGTCCGCGCGGGGCGGCCGGCGCGGCGCGGCGGGGCGCGCGCGCGCGCCGGGCGCACCTGGAGGCGTTCGAGTCGCGCGTCTGTTGCCTCGCTGGCGTCCGCGCCGCTCTCGCCTGGCACCGGCGCGACGACGTCCCAGCAGTCCACCGCTCCGTCGGGATCGTCGAGCGCGTCGTCTGCGCGGGGCGGCGCGCGCGGGCGGCGGCGTGAGCGGGAGCGCGGGAGGGGGGCGCGGCGGTGCAGCGTGGCGCGCCGGGGGCAGGCGAGGGCCGCTCACCCGCGTCGGGATCGCGCCCGCTGCCAGTCGCGTCCTGTTCGTCCGCCGCGGCGACGTCCGGCAGGGCACCGGAGGCGCGTCGGGGCTGCAGGGCCTGCGCCAGGGACTTGATGGGCACCTCGACCAGTTGCGCCTTGCTCTCCGCGTTTGGAGGGGCTCTCCAGGCCCTCACGGCCTTCACAGTCTGCATCGCGCAGGCAGAGAACATCAGGGGAGAAAATCAGTCACCCGCTGCGACGTGCCGGCCTCGCCCTGTGCAGCGTCTGGCAACTGCCTGGTGCACGGCCACGCGACGGCGTTTCCGCGCGCGCCAGGGGGGCCGTGCTGGCGTCAGAGCAACGTCGCACCCCCTCACGCGACAGCCGGGCTCGCAGGCGCGGCCCGCGCCACGCATTGCGCACCTGCCCAGACCCATACGGGTCGCGCAGGTCGACGTGCGGCTGAATGATGGCCAAAAGCTCGTTCCGCCGCGCGTCTACGTCGTCGCCAGCGCCGCCCTTCGTCGGCGCGAGGTGCAGCAGCACGAGCGGGCGCTGCTTTGCGTTCACGTTGAGGGCGGCAACATGGACATCGGCGGCCCCGTCGCCCGCGTCCGCGTTCTCCTGCCTGCTGATGCGACCGCACAGCTCCTCTACGTTTCGCGCTGGCGCGCTGGGGAGCAGCGTCGCGCCGACCAGCGCGAACGCGGGCGCTGGCATACTGGAACAGAAGATGCTCTTTGCACGTCCGCAATGCCGCGCTGGCTGTCGCCGACCGGTCGGCTACGCCCTCGACGTCATCGGAGTGCGCCCCAAGATTCGCTTTGTCGCGCAGAGATCCGTCCCAGGTGACGACGCGGGCGCAGGCGGGGGACGGAGCCAGGCGCGGATGATCGCGTGCGGCCACCGCCGCTCTGGCAATGTAATGCTGCGCAGCCTCGACGCACAGATGCTTCGCGGAGTGGTCGCTCGCGCCGCCCCGCCGGCCCCATCAGCCGCCGCGGCGGCCTGCACGGCGCGCGTTGCACCTGGGGGCGGGGGAGGAATCCTGGGGGCCGCCGGGTGGGCGCCACGGGCGGCCTAGGGGCTGCGCGGCGGGCGGCGCGCGTCGCTTTGCATGAGTGGACATCGCGGGGGTGCCTATCATGCTGAGGAAGGCAGGAGGTAACGTGTTGAAGGCCGCCCTGCGCGGGGGCCTGGCCTCGAGTGCGTCCGTTCAGCAGGTGAGCGCGCACCGTTCGCACAGTGCCGCCGAGGGAATGTGAGCGCGTTCGAGGCGGGGCGCGGAGGGCGGCCTGCCCCCCTCACGACCGGGAACGGGACGTCCTCGGACGCTGTTGCGCTCCCACCGACGCGCCGACCGTCGAGCGCCGCGAACTGCACGCTGCAAGGGCGGGAATGCACAGCACCATGTCCTTTCCGCGGCTCGCTCCGGCGTAACGTCCCCACCGAGGCCGCCTCAACGACTGTTTGTTGCTGTGATGCAGACTGCTGCTGGAGGGGCCTCCGGGACGGCCCTGCGGCTGGCCGCCACCCAGGCCAACGAGGGCGCTGAGGCTGCCGCTCAGGCGCGGCACAGGTGCGCCCCGTAGCCCCGCCCGGCATGCGATGTCTGGCACTGGGGCTGTTGGCTTGCGTGCCCGGCCACCGCCGGCGCCTGCCGACGAGCTGTTGCGCGGGGTCCGCGGAAGACATTCAGAACGTGCAGGTCCGCGGGCGTTTTGCCCGCGCGCACCTCTCGTCGGCGCGCTGGGCCCGCTCCAGCCCTCGCCTCCCAACGCCAGGCGGCCCGCTAGGCGGTCCCGCGCCCTGCGCGGGCCGTCCGCGCAGCCGCGAGCGACCTCCAGTCCTTGTCCGTCGCCGCGGCAGCCCGTGCGGCCGCGTTCCGCCCCCCCGGGGCCCGCGCTGCGCCCGCCGCTGGGAAACCCTGGTCGCGCCCCCTGGTCGCCTCCACGCGGCCCCGCGCTGTGTGTTTGCCCCCGCCCGAGCCCCCCCGCGCCGCACACCGACGCGCAGGTGGGGCGAGACGCTCGGCGTGGCCGCCGCGGCGACGGCGGCGGGCGTCGCGGTCCTGGCGGGCCCCGCGGTGTTCGCGGACGAGGCCGAGCACGGGCTGGAGTCCCCCCCGTACGCGTGGAGCCACGCGGGCCTCTGGGACTCGTACGACGTCGCGGCGATCCGCCGCGGGCACCAGGTGTACCAGCAGGTGTGCGCGGCCTGCCACAGCATGGAGTACATCCACTGGCGCGACCTGGTGGGCGTCGCGTACACCGAGGAGGAGGCCAAGGCGCTCGCGCAGGACGTCGAGGTCGAAGACGGACCCAACGACCAGGGTGAGCCGCCCCCCCGCGCCGCGCCGCGCCCTGCAACCGCCGCGGCGCCCCGCCTCCGCGCACGTGCGCGGGCGCCCGCGGGCCGCCTCCTGACCCCCGCGCGCGCCGCGACCGTGCAGGCGAGAACTACTTCCGTCCGGGGCGTCTGTCGGACCCGCTCCCGAAGCCGTACAAGAACGAGGAGCACGCGCGCTACGCCAACGGCGGCGCGTACCCGCCGGACCTGTCCCTCATCACCAAGGCCCGCCACGACGGCCAGAACTACGTCTTCTCGCTCCTCCTCGGCTACAGGTGCGCCGCCGCCCGCCACGATGCACGCGCACACACGCACATGCGCACCGGGCCCTCCCGCCCGGGCGGCCGCCGCTGGTCGCCGGGCGGCTCCGTCACGCGGCGGTGTCCCTGCTTCGCCTCACTGCTGTGCGCGGCGCGCGGTGTGTCGCAGGGAGCCGCCCGAGGGCATCTCGATCCGGGAGGGTCTGTACTACAACCCGTACTTCCCGGGGGGCGCGATCGCGATGCCGAAGATGCTGAACGACGAGGGCGTGGAGTACGACGACGGCACGCCCGCGACGGAGAGCCAGCAGGCCAAGGACGTGACGACGTTCCTGCAGTGGGCCGCGGAGCCGGAGCAGGACGAGCGGAAGCTGATGGGGATCAAGTGGATGGTGGCCTTCAGCGTGGCGCTCGTGACGGCCGTGTACTACCGCCGGTGGATGTGGGCGCCCATCAAGACGCAGAAGGTCGTGCTCGACGTCGTGCGCTAGGCGGGCCGTGGGGGGCGCGCGGCGGGGGGCAGCGCCGCAGACTCGAAAAAGAAACGAACAGACTCTTTTGTGATCGGCCGAGCCGAACGTGCGCGTGCCCGCATCACGCGTCACGCACAGTGCGCCCCCAGCGCGGCAGCTCGGACCAAGCAGGCAGGTGGCCCCCGCGTAGCCCTTCGCGGACGTAGCGACCGCTTTGGCGACGCGGGCGCGTCGTACGCGGCGCCCGGCCAGCGCACCGGCAGCAACGCCCGCAGAGCAGTGACCCAGTTGCACCACATAAACTGCCTGTGCGGCGGCACAAGGGTTGCTCGCTATGTGCGCGGCGACGCGCGGGGCGCCTGCGCGCACGGCGGCGTGCCCGGGTCGACCATCGCGGCGTCGGGTGGGGGGTTGGCGTTACACATGCACCAGCCCTTGCGGCAGGTGCGGGCGGCCGGGCCACGCGCCGGCCCGCGCGCTCAGCTGCTGGCCTGCTTGCTCTTCGTCATGTTGACCGTCTCGCGCTTGAGCACCGTGAGCAGCGTCTGCGAGCTCTCCAGAATCTTCATGTAGGCCGCCTCCGTCTCCGCAATCACCTTGTCGTACTCGTTGCGCGACGCAACCTTGCGCGCCAGCGCCTCGTTCAGCTGCGCCAAGCGACGTGAAAGCACCTGCGCGCGCGAGCCGGGGGCGGGGTCTGCGGAGTCGGCGGCCGTGCGCGTCCTGGGGGTGCGCGCGTGCAAGGACCGTGCGCGCACGCCGCGGCCGGCGCGCGAGGCGGGGCGGACGCGGGTCGGGCGGCGCCTCCCGGACATACGGTCGAGCTGCGGCGCGCGAACGCGCGCGAGGGCGCCGTTGCGATGCGCAGCGGGAGGGCGACAGCGTTGGTGAGGGGTGCGGGGGGCGAGCGGCGCACACGATACGGCGCACACAAGCGGCGCGGGCGGCGGAAGCTGCGAAACAGCGCACGAGGCGTCGCTCCGGCGCACGGCGGCCCTCGCGGGCCGCTCCGTCGGCGCGGAAAGCCGGACGGCAAGCGCTGGCGCTCGTGCCCGGCCCCTGCGAGGCCGCGGCTCCCGGGGTGCGCGCGGGCCGCCGGGCGCGTGCGCTGCCGCGCGCGAGCGCCGGGCACCGGGACGGGCGGCCCCGGCGCCCCGGGGCGGGCGGGCCGCCGCGGGCGGTGGCGGGGGCGGAGGCGGAGGCTGGGCGGTCCGCAGCAGGCATGGCTGGGCCGCCGTGCGGGGGTGGGCGGCCCAGCGTGGGGCGGCGCCGAGGCACGGGGCAGGGAGGCTCGTTCTCCGTTGTTTCGGGCGCAGTTTCGGCGCCGTGCCGCGGCCGCGGCCGCGGGCTGCCGGCCCGTTGGCACCCGAGGGCCTACCTGGATGTCATTCTGAATCTTGCCCTTCTCCTGCTCGTCCTCGCGCACCTGCGGGCGGGTGGAGGGCGTCGGGTGTCGGCGCGGGCGTTCGGTCGCGGTGCGCGGCGCCCACGTTCGAACGGCAGCGCGCGTCCACCACAGGGCATCTGGGACCGCGCCTGCCGGTCAATCTCCCCGCGCTTCTCCCGGAGGTCCTCGATGCACCTCACGAGCTCATTGTTGTGGTTTTGGAGCTGCGCAGCACGCGGGCGGGGGTGCGCGGGGGGCGCGTCAGCGACGGCACGCGTGTTTCAGTGCTTGGCCGACCCGCACCGCGCCCGTTGCGCGGCGGGCGGGCGGGCAGGGGGGCCGGCGGGCGCCGCTCGACGGCGGACCGTCGCGCATGCGGTGGGCGGCGCGCGGGGGCGCCGTGCGCGCGGGGGGGGCGCCGCACCGCTGCGCCCTGGGCAGCCATGATGGGGTGCTCGCGTCGCTCCCTGTGGGCCTCGCCTGGCTGAGTGAGGGTGACGCAAGAGCTCTATATCGTTCAAAGAATGCGTGGGGCGCGCGCGGGGCCGGCCCCAGGTCGCCGGGGCGGGCCACGGGGGCCTCGAGGGAGCCAGGTCGAGGCCAGACGGCCCTGGAGGTCTCAACGAGACTCGCAGGCTCTATCCTAGCTCACACGTGCGGCACACACACTAAGCCGCGCGGCGTGTTCGCAGCCGCGCCGCCCAGCGCACCTCCACGCCGCCCCCCTCCCCCTGCGTCCGCTCGCGGGCGTCCGTCCGGCGCCGCGGCCGCGGTCACGACCGCTGCAGGCGCGACAACGTGGGCTGGCAAGCATGCGGCACGGAGCGCGCGTCGGAGGGCGCGAGGCGCGCGTCCGGCGTGGCTGGTTCTTCGCGACACGGCAGAGGCACGGCGGCGGCGTTTCCGCGATCACACGCCCGCCGGCGCGGGACGGCGCAGCAGCGGCGGCGGGCCCCGTCACCCGCGCCACCAGAGCAGGAACTCCCCGAAGGATATCTCCCCCGCGCTGGAGCGATCGAGCTGCGCGACGGCTTGCGAGAGCTGGTGCGCGTTGAGCGGCACGCCCAGGTCGCGCATGAGTGCGTCGAGGCTGGTGGTGGGGATGGAGCCCGACCCCTCGGGGTCGTACTGCGAGAATGCGACGGCGATGTTCTCGTCCGTGGGCTCCTCCGGCGGCGCGGCGCCCCCCGGCTGCGCGGCCTGCTGCTCCGAGGGCTCCGCGCTGGGCAGCGGCGACCCCTGCGCCGACCCGCCGGCAGCGCTCTTGGCGCGGCGCGACTTCCGCGCGGCCTCGGAGATGCCGAGCACGCTCTCGAGCTGCGCGTACGCGTCCTTCTGCTCGCGCTGCTTCCGCTTGAGGCGCTCGATGAGCTCCAGCTCCAGCGCGGCCATCTTGGCCAGCTCGCGCTCCTTGTTCTCGCGCGCCTTGATCTCCGCGAGGAGGCGCTGCTCGTACTCGCTCGCGGTCTGCTCCATCTCCTTGAGCTTGCGCTCCTCCATCCCGCGCGCCGCCTTCTCGCGCTCCTGCTTGATGCGCTGCCGCTGCTCGACCGCCGCCTTCCGCGCCTTGAGCCGCTCCTTCTCCAGCAGCACGAGCAGCTCCTCGCGCTCCGCCTTGACGCTCGCCGCCAGCTCCTGCCGCTCCGCCACCACGCGCGCCTCCTTCTCCTCCTTGGCCTGCTGCGACTCCAGCTTGGCCCGCGCGTTCACGTCGCGCTGCTTCGCCACCTCCAGCGCCACCTCGCGCCGGTGCACCTCCTTCTCCAACAACTTCCGCTCGTTCCGCTGCCGCTGCCGCAATATCTCCTTCGCGCGCGACTTGGTCTCCGCAATGCGCTTCTGCGCCCGCGCCTCCTCCCGCTCCAACTGCCTGCGGGCGGGGGGGGGTTGGGGGGCGCGGGAGGGTGGGCGCGCCGGACCGGGCGACGGGCGGCGCGGGCGGGCGCGCCGCGGACGCACGCTGGGCGGGCGGGGCGGTGCGGGCGCGACCGGGGCATGCGACCCGTGCGAGACGTGGGGCGGGGCGGCGGGGGCGGGGCGCGCGGGTGCGGGCGCGGGGAGAGGACGGAGGGTCGCGCGGGGGCGCGCGGGGGGCGCGCTGCCGCCCGGTGCCGCGAGGGAACGCGCGGGAGGCAGGGGCGGTGCCGCGGGGGCGTGGCGGAGGCGCCTCGCCGGCCGAGGGGCGCGGGCGTCGCCGCAGCCGGCGGCGGGGGCCGTGCGGCGCCGCGGGCCGTCGCGGGCGGCGCGGCGGTGCTGGGGCGGGCGGGCGCGGGGGCGGGATGGCGGCGCGGGCACTGTGCGCACCTGACGCGGTTGTACAGCCGCACAGCGTCATCCTCGGCCGCCTTCCTTAGCCGCTTCTCGTACAGCACGGTCGTCTGCCGCCCCGTGGAGGTCGACATCCCGTCCAGGCTGCGGGACAGCCCGTCCACGCCCTTGGTGCCCATGGCCGGTGCACCCAGCGCCGCGCTGGCACCGCCGACGCGCCCCCCACCTCAGACGCTCCGGCGCGACGTCCTCCTAGGGGGCCTCCTGGCCGCACGCCTGCGTGCACGGCGCGAGGGCGCCGTTGTGGGCGAGGACGGCCCGCCACACCAGCGCGAGCCCGGGGGGAGACGAGGGCGGGGACCGCGCGCTGCGGGGGCACCCGCGGCGCCCGCGAGGCGGCCCGCTCGCGAGCGCGGGCGACTGGCTCGCGGCCGCGGCCGGGCGCGGGCGCCCGGGTCGCGTGTGGGCCGCCTCGCGGGCCCACGACGGAGCAGGCTCGCAGTGGCAATTTTGCCGGGTCGACGCAGGCGGTCGACACGGCGCACGGACCGGGCGCAGGCCATGGAAACATTGCGGTTCGGGGGGCGTGACGTTGCACCGCCGCGCGGGCCGTCCGTCGCGGGCCCGGGCGCCGTTCCTCGCTCCGCACCTCTAGCACGCCTCGGGGCAACGCGCTCGCCTCCTCAGCGCCGCTCGCGACCGTCGCCGCGCCTCGCTGAATCACACAGACTGGCAATTCGCGGCGCGCGCCCGCCCATTCCCCCCCGCCGGTGCGTACGGGTGCCCGGACTCCCCCCAGGTGGCCCGAACCGGCCTCCGCCGGCAGCCCCGGGCTCTAGGGGAGCGGCTGGCGCGCGGCGGACGACCAGCAGGAGCCCGGGGTCGCGGTCGCAGCGGATCGTCCAGGTATTCGCCCCGTGCGCGCAGCCCTGCCCCTGCGTGTCACCTGTCACAACCTCGGCACCGCACAGGCGCCGCGTGCTGCCCCGGTGCTGCGGCCCGCGGACCAGCGCGACCGCGAGCGGACGCGTCCCGGCCCGACCTCGCGCCCCCGCCGCGCGCCGTGGCCGCGCTGTCCCTGCGTGGCCGTCGCGCCGCGGTCTCTGCGCTGGCGAGAGCGCGGGGCCCTGGCCGTGGCCCGTGCGCGCGGCGCGCTGCACGGAGCACGCCGACCTGCGTCCTCAGACCACAGCCCCTGGTCGAGGACGCCCGTGCGATCGCGTGGCGGCGCCTCCGCGCAGCAACGCACCGGGCCGCGCGTGAGGTCCCGCGGCCCCTCCGAGCTGCCTGTGCAGGTCACCCGCCGCCGAATAGCCACCGCTGCCCACCATGGCCGGGGAGGTGTTGAAAGGTGCGCCGCTGGGGATTGCCGCGGGCGCGCGCGACGCCGCGTGCTTCCCGGGAGACGCGACTGTTCGCCTGCAGCAGCACCCGCCACGCGCCCCGCGATCGCCCCGGGCCGCCGATGCCGCGCCCGACGCCGCGGAGTCGATCGCCGCACACGCCCTCCACGCAGCGCCGCCGCCCGCCCGCGCGATCCCCGCCCCCCCGCGTCGCCGCGCCGTCCGGCCCCGCGCGCTGCCGCCGCGGAGCGAGGCGCGCCGCCGCACCGGCCGCCCACGGTCGCCGCCGCCCCCGCCCCCGGTGCCCGCAGTGTCGGTGAAGTGGGGGAAGCAGTCGTACGATGTCGAGATCGACACGTCCCTGCCCGCCTCGGCGTTCAAGGCACAGCTCATGTCCCTCACAGGTGCGACGCGACGCGACGCGACGCGCGCCCCGGCCCGCCCGCGCGCGTGCCGCCTGCCCGCGCGCTCCGTCCCGACGGGCTCCTCGGCGCGCGCGCCCCGCAGGCGTGCCGGTGGAGCGGCAGAAGGTGATGGTGAAGGGCGGGATGCTGAAGGACGACGCCGAGTGGGCGAAGACGGGGGTGAAGCAGGGCTCGCGGGTGAGAGCGCGCGCCCCTGTCTTGCGGGGGGGTCCGGGGCGTTGGCCGACGGCGACCGGCGGTGGTGGGTGATTGCTGACCTGCGTTGTTGTCGCGTTGGTGGGCGTGCGCGGTGCAGCTGATGATGATGGGGACGGCGGACAAGGTGGTGGAGGCGCCGAAGGAGGAGATGGTGTTTCTGGAGGACCTCCCCCCCGAGCAGGCGGCGCACAGCGCGGTGAAGAAGTACGGCATGGGGCTGACGAACCTGGGCAACACGTGCTACATGAACTCGTGCCTGCAGTGCCTGTACAGCGCCAAGGGTCTGCGCGCGGCGCTGGCGTCGTACGAGCCCGCGGGCGGCGGCCTGGACCACCAGCTCACGAGCCACCTCAAGGGCCTGTTCCGGCAGATCGAGGGGGCGAGCGCGCCGGTGCAGCCGATGGCCTTCCTGAGCACGCTGCGGCAGAGCTTCCCGCAGTTCGCGGAGATGCAGCAGGGCATGCCGATGCAGCACGACGCCGAGGAGTGCTGGAGCGTGGTGGTCAACACGCTCACGGGGAAGCTCAAGGGCGACGCGGCGTCGATCGACGCGCTCCTCGGCGTGGGCCTCAAGACGGAGCTCGTGAGCGAGGAGACGGGGGAGTCGATCGTGACGGAGAAGCTCGAGCACAAGCTGATCTGCAACATCACCTCGGAGGTCAACCACCTGCACGAGGGCATCCGCCTGGGCCTCAAGGACGACCGCCAGCAGACGTCCGCGAAGACCGGCGCGATGACCACCTTCCGCGGCTCCTCGCGCATCACGCGGCTCCCGCAGTACCTCACCGTGCAGGAGCTGCGCTTCTTCTTCAAGGCCGAGGCGCAGCAGAAGGCCAAGATCCTGCGCAAGGTCGCGCTCTCCGTGTCGCTCGACCTGCACGAGTTCTGCACGCCCGAGCTCCAGGCCGAGCTCGCCGCGCCGCGCGACGCGTACAAGGCCGTGCTCGACGCGCGCGTGGCGCAGAAGAAGGGCGCGAAGGGCGACGAGGGCGCGAAGGGCGAGGGCGCGGGCGAGGGGCACGACGCGAAGCGGGCCAAGGGCGACGAGGGGGCCGCGGGGAGCGGGATGGACGTGGACGGCGACAAGGGCGACAAGGGCGACAAGGGCGACGGCGCAGGTACGGGGCCGCGCGAGGCGGTGCGGCGCTGCCTGCCCGCGGGCGCAGGTGGTGCGCGCTGTGCTGCGCCGGCGCCGAGCCGCGGTCGCGCGTTGCGTGCGGGCGTGCGTTGCAGGGCCGTCGAAGAGCTGGGAGAGCCACGTGGGCAAGATGACGGGGCGGTTCGACCTGACGGCGGTGCTGACGCACAAGGGGCGGAGCGCGGACTCGGGGCACTACGTTGCGTGGGTCAAGCAGGACGACGGCACGTGGGTCGAGTTCGACGACGACAACATGATCCTGCGCAAGGACGAGGACATCGTCAACCTGTCGGGCGGGGGCGACTGGCACATGGCCTACATGCTGCTGTACACCGCGCAGACGGTGCCCGCGGAGTGACGCCGGTGTGACCCGCGAGCGCCGTGCGCACGCACGCACGCAGCCGTCGAGAATCACAGCTGCCTGCAGACCCCCCCCCTGTCGTCCTACGACGACGCTTCGAACGTGCGCCGCGCTCCGTCGACGGTGTTCTTGAGCAGCATCGCGATGGTCATCGGCCCCACGCCGCCGGGCACGGGTGTGATCGCGGCGGCAACCTGCGCACCGCGACACGGGGCACGCATCGTCATCGCCGCGGGCGAGGGCGAGCCCGCATGCGGACGCGGCCGCGCGCTTGAGCACGAGCGGCTCGCACCTCGGACGCCTCCTTGAAGTTCACGTCGCCCACCAGCCGGTACCCGCGCTTGGCGCTCGGGTCGTCCACAGCGTTGATGCCCACGTCAATCACCACGCACCCGGGCTTCAGCCACTCCCCCTTGACGAACTCTGCAACGCACGCACGCACGCACGCACGCAACAGGTGAGCGCCACGCGAGCGCCAGGTGAGCGCCACGCGGCCTCGCCCGCGCGTGTGCACGTGCCCTGTCCCCAGCCCCCACCTGCGATGCCGCACGCGGCGATGACGATGTCGGCGTCCTTGATGAACTTCTCCGGGTCCGGCGTCCGCGAGTGCACGACCGACACGGTGGCGTCGCGGCGCTGCAGGAGCATCGCGGCGGGCGTCCCCACGATGTTGGACCGCCCCACCACCACCGCCTTCTTGCCCGCGACCTGGAACCCCCCGCGCTCGAGCAGCTCGATGCACCCGCGCGGCGTGCACGGCACGTACAGCGGGTCCCGCCCGCGCATCGCCAGCATCCCGATGTTGAGCGGGTGGAACCCGTCCACGTCCTTGTCGATCGAGATCTCGTCCAGCACGCGCGCCTCGTTGATGCCCTTCGGCAGCGGGAGCTGCGGCGCGGCGGGGGGGGAGACGGCGGTGGGGGTGCTGGCGGGGGGCGGGCGCGGGCGCGGGCGCTGTGCGCGAGTGGTGCGCGGCGCACCTGGACGAGGATGCCGTGGACGTTGGGGTTGGAGTTGTAGTCGCGCACGACGTTGAGGATCTCCTCCTCCGTGGCGGTGTCCGGCATGTCGGTGCCGTAGCTCACGATCCCGACCTCCTCGCAGGCCTTCTTCTTGTTGCGCACGTACGTCTCCGAGTCCTTCCGGTCCCCCACCAGGACCACCGCCAGCCCAGGAACCTTGCCGTGCTTCTCCTTGAGCTCCGCGACCTCGGCTGCGAGAGAGGGCGGTGCGCGCGCCGCGCTGAGCAGGCTGCGGGGCCACGCGAACACCGCAACGTGGTGTGCCACGGGGGAGGAAACGCCGCCGCGGGGCCACGACGGCGGGCGCCGGAGGCGGCGGGGGAGAGCCTCTGTGGTCGTGACTGAATGCGGCGCCGGCGCATCGCGAGCATCTCGCCACGCGCGCGGCGGGAGCGTCGTCAGAGGGGGACGCCGCGCTGCTGGCGGGCGGTGGCGCCGTGGGGACGACGGCGCCGTGGGGCCGCGCCGACGATGGCGTGGGCGTATCGGCTGTGCGCGGCATGCGCGGCTCGCTCCCTGGCCGCGTCTGTGCGGGCGCGAACGCCCGGCCGGCAGCAGCGCAGAGCTGGTGGCACCGCCGCCCGCGCCGCTGCGGCCCGACATCACCGGCTGGTCGCTCGCGCGGGACCCTCTTGGCAGTCTCGGGCCATCGTCGGCGCGTGTCGCTGCGAGGGCGGCGGCGTCGCGGGCTGCTTGCCTGCGAGCTCCTGGCGGATCTGTGCCGCCGTCCCCTTCCCGTCAATCAGCTTCGCGCTCATCTTCGCGGAGACCAGGCGCTTGGCTGCAGCCTTCTGCGGCGAGCAGGACGTGTTCGCGCGGACGAAAGCGACGCGGCAAGCGGTGCGGACGAGGGGCTGGACTGCTGGGTGGGACTTAGCAGCCAGGTGGGCGGTGAAGTGCGCCAGAGCCATGTTCACCGGGCGGGGGCAGTGGCGCGCGCGTCCGACATCCCGGTGCAACGAAGTGCGCGGCCAGCGCTCGCAGCGGGGCGGTGCACGTTCAGGCAGACTGACGTGTGTGGCTCGGCCCCGCGACCGACGCGACCGGCGTTCGATGGGCGGTCGCGCGCCCGTCCCAGAGCAAAACTCGATTGCAGGGATGAGTCAAGCCGACGAGGAGATCGGGGCGAACTCGCCCGGGCCCGGCAATGGTGCGTGCCCGCCACTCGCGCGCAAAACGCTCCTGCGGCCCGTTGGCGGCCAAGGGGCGCCGGCCGCTGGTCTGCGGGCCGGGCACCGCCTGCACGACACCGCCGCGCCACCGCATTCCGCGCAGTAGCCGCGTCGAGCCGCGCACAGCTGCCCGCTCTCCCCCGCACAACCGAGAGCTGTTGCTGCCGGCGCGCGCCTCCGCCCCGATCCCGCGCCGCACCGCAGCGCCCCGAGCGTGCGCTCGACGCACCCACGCGCCCCCCCGCCGCGCACCCGCCGCCTCTGGGTCGCTCGCGGGCCCCTCGCCGCTGCCCGCGTCGCAATCGCAGCGGCCTCAGCACGAGGGCGTCCCCCGGGCCGCGGGCGGGCGCGCAGCCTCGCCAAGCCGCCGGACGGTCTTCTCCGTCGCTGTCTGAGCGCGGGGGTCCTGCGTTTCGATTGCGTGCAGGCCTGGACGAGTCGGCTCCCCTGCAGTTTGGCACGGCGGACCTGGGCACGGCCCCGAGCCCGGACCGGTTCGCGACGCAGGGAGCCGCGCAGCCCTCGCAGCCGGCGGGCTCCGTCGCGTCGCCGCGGGGGTCCGCGTTCGCCACGCCGTCGCGCGGCGGCACCGGCCAGGAGCTGTCGCAGCCGGGCACGGGGGGGCGCACCTACCTGACGCCCTCGCGCGCGTCGCGCCCGGCGTCCTCGATGAACGACATGTCGCAGGGGGGCGCGCCGGTGTCCTCGCTGCGGACGCCGTCGCGCGGGGCGTTCTCGCGCCCGGAGTCCGCGGACGTGCGCGAGATAGGCACTCCGGGCAGCGTGCGGCGCCCGCAGCACCGCTCCGAGCCGTGGAGGCAGACGATGCAGGTGAGCCGCCCCGCGACGCGCGTGGGGCGGCCGCGGGCGGCGGCGCGGGCCGTCGCGCGCCGCACCGAGCTTGGTTCCGCGGCGACACCCCCCCCCGACTGCGTGTGCGTGCGTGCGTGCGTGTGCGGGACGGACCGCTCACCGCTCCCACGGCGACGTGCGTGCAGACGCCGGCCAGCCAAGGCGCGAGGTCGTCGCAAGGAGCACAGACCCCGGCGGGCGCTGCGTCGGCAGGCCGTTCCGCGGGGCGCGCCGACAGCGGTGCCTTCACGCCGGCGGCCGAGACGGAGGACGACGTGGCGACGCACGTGATCTGGGGCACAACCATCGACCTGGAGACCTCGGAGCGCGACTTCAGGTGCCGCGCCCAGCTCGGCACACCCGCCCACGTCGCAGGGCCCGCTGTCGTGCCGCTGGCGTTCCGTCACGACGCCCGGCCCCCGCCACGCGCGCGCGCAGGAGCTTCGTGATGGGGTTCCACGAGGACGGCGAGCTGGAGCCGCGGTACCTGACGCTGGTGCGGGAGGCGGTGGTCAACGAGGAGTCGACCATCAACATCGACTGCCAGCACCTCGCGTCCTGGAACCCGAAGCTCTACGACAACCTCGTCGCGTACCCCAGGTGAGCAGCTCGGCCAGGCTGCCTCCGGCGGCGCGCGGGCGCAGCGCCGTGCTGCGTGCTGCGTGTCGCAGGCGAGAAGTGGCTGCGACCCGCGTGTTTGCGTGTGTGCGGTGCCCCGCAGGGAGATGGTCCCGCTGTTCGACCTGGTCGTGCAGCAGGTGGCCGCGCAGGCGCACGGCGAGCTGCAGGAGGAGATGGGCGAGGACTTCGTGGGCAACGAGCCCCCCTCCCTGCCGGTGCGGCTGTTCAACATGAAGGAGACGCGCGCGATGCGGGACCTGAACCCGTCCGACATCGACCAGCTGGTGTCGATCCGCGGGATGATCACGCGGTGCTCGGGGATCATCCCGGACATGCGGCTGGCGTACTTCGAGTGCACGGTGTGCAACAACAAGATCATGGTCTACAACGACAACGGGCGGGTCGACGAGCCCGTCGAGTGCCAGGACGACCAGGGCAACGGGTGCCACAACCGCTTCACCATGCGCCTCGTGCACAACCGCTCCGAGTTCGCCAACAAGCAGCTCATCAAGATGCAGGAGACCCCCGACGCCATCCCAGGTGCGCCCGGGGGGGTCGCTCGCGCGCGCCGCCAGCGCCGTCGGCGCCCCGCGCCCCCTCACCGCCGCCGCCCCCCGCCGCGCCCCGCAGAGGGCGAGACGCCGCACACGGTGACGCTGTACAGCTACGGCGACATGGTGGACGTGTGCAAGCCGGGCGACCGCGTGGAGATCGTGGGGGTGTTCCGCGCGCAGCCGACGCGCATCTCGCCGAAGCTGCGCACCCAGCGCGCGGTGTTCAAGACGTACGTGGACGTGATGCACGTGCGGCAGGAGTCGCAGTCGGTCATGGCGCAGTCGCGGCTCCCGGAGGCCGAGGAGCCCGACGACGCGCAGCGCGCGCTGCTCGAGGCCGTGCGCCGCGAGGGGTCGAACATCACCTCGGAGGCGCTCCTGGCGAAGGAGGCCGAGATGGTGGCTCTGTCGCGCGACCCCGACATCTACCAGCGGCTCGTGGCGTCGGTGGCGCCCTCGGTGTGGGAGATGGACGACGTCAAGCGCGGCATCCTCTGCCAGCTGTTCGGCGGCGAGGTCAAGACGTTCACGGGCGGGCGCGTGCGCGGGGAGATCAACGTGCTCCTGGTCGGGGACCCGGGGGTGTCCAAGTCGCAGCTCCTGACCTTCGTGCACAAGATCGCCCCGCGCGGCATGTACACGTCCGGTGCGCCGCCCGCCACACCGCGCACCGCCCGCGCCCGCCGCCGCCGCGTCGTGCCGTGACGAGGAGCCTCGCTCTCGCTGCAGGTCGCGGGTCGTCCGCGGTGGGGCTCACGGCGTACGTGACGAAGGACCCCGAGACGCGCGAGATGGTGCTGGAGTCGGGCGCGCTGGTCCTGTCGGACCTGGGCATCTGCTGCATCGACGAGTTCGACAAGATGTCGGACGCGGCGCGGTCGATGCTGCACGAGGTGATGGAGCAGCAGACGGTGTCCGTGGCCAAGGCGGGCATCATCTGCACGCTCAACGCGCGGTCGTCCGTCCTGGCGTCGGCCAACCCCATCCACTCCAAGTACGACCGCGGCAAGTCCATCGTGGAGAACATCAACCTCCCGCCCACGCTCCTCTCCCGCTTCGACCTCATCTACCTCATCCTCGACACCGCCTCGCCCGAGAAGGACGCCCGCCTCGCCCGCCACCTCGTCTCGCTCTTCCACGAAGAGGCCCCCGCCAACCTGCAGCCCCCCATCCCGCAGGCGAGACCCGCGCCGCACGACGCGCACGCCGCTCTGCCGCGCTGCGCCCGAGGGCACGACGCGCACGCCGCGCCGACCCACAGCGACGACCGCCCTCGTGCCCCGCAGAGCGTCCTGCGGGACTACATCGCGTTCGCGCGCGCCCGGTGCCACCCGCGGATCGGCGCGGCGGCCAAGGCGCGGCTGATCAAGGAGTACGTCGAGCTGCGCGCGATCGGCGGGCGCAACAGCATCTCCGCGACGCCCCGGCAGCTGGAGTCGCTGGTGCGTCTGTCCGAGGCGCTGGCCAAGATGCGGCTGGCGGAGGAGGTGGCGGAGACGGACGTGGAAGAGGCGGTGCGGCTGCTGAAGGCGGGTCTGCTCGCGGCGGTGACGAACGCGGCGACGGGCCTGATCGACCTGGATAAGATCATGACGGGCACGTCGGTGGAGGAGCGCGCGCTGATGGAGGACGTGGGCGGGCTGGTGCTGGCGGCGGTGGGCGACAGCCGCGTGACGCACACGAACCTGGGCGAGGTGCTGCGCCGCGTGAACGAGCAGCTCAAGGCCGACGGGCGCGAGGAGGTGACCATCGAGCTGCTGCGCCGCGTGGCGCAGTCCCTGCACACCGCGGGCGACGTGGACTTCTCGTCGACGCGCGGGATCCGACTCGTGCGGTACGGGTGAACGCGATGTGATGCGGCGACGAACGGCCCCGCTGCGTCACACCGCGCGGTGCGCTGCCTGTCTCTGTGCGCGGCCCTAGATGTCGTCCACCAGGTCGCGGTACGACTGCTCCTGCTTGTGCTGCCGCTGGGCCAGCATGTCGAACATCTTCGCCTCGAACCCGTTGCTGCGGTCCACGCCGTCCCAGTGCCGCCCGGGGCGGATGCCTGCACGCCACTCCACACGACCCCACCGCGCGGGTGAGGGGCGCGCGAACGAGGACCGCACCACCGGCGCGCGACGCGGGCGCGTGCGAGCAGCGAGCGCGCGGGTCCGCGGCGCACCGTATCTGTTGAGCGGCGGCACGGCCTTGCGCTTGATCCACGAGTGCGGGGGCACCTCCTGCGGGATGCGGAACCCCTTCGACTGGAAGAACCCCAGCGCGTCCTGCGCGATCACCGGCGCAGGGTCCTCCTCGCCGCCGCGGCGCCCGACCAGGTGCGCCATCGGGTCCCCCCAGCGCGTGCGCCGCCGCTGCGTGTCGTTCAGGTCGCGGTCCTCCTTCGTGACGATGAACTGCTTGCTCAGCTCGCGCCCTGCGTCCTCCCGCCGCGCGGCCACCTGCGCCTGCTGCGCGAGGCCCTGCGCCCACTCCGGGCGCTCCCCGCGCCGCTCGTCCCTGCTCAGCCCCTTGCGCTCCGCCTCGAAGTGCGACTTGTCCACCTGCGCGCGGGGCGGGCGCCGGCGGAGCTCGGGACGGACGCGCGACGCGGAGCAGCGCCCGCGCCGCTCGGGGTTGCGCGACGGAGCAGCTCCGAGGTCGAGAGGCGCGTCGGGGTGGGGGCGCACCTTGCGCCCGTGCTTGTCGCGGTACACCGTCTCCGCCGCGCGCCCCGTCTGCTCCTCCCCGAGCGCCTCGAACCTGCGCCGCTCCATGTCCGCCTTCTTCTGCAGCTCGTGCTTCAGCTCCTGGCCCTTGATCATGCCTGCGGGGGGCGGACGAGCGAACGGATGCAGCATGGGAGGCCCGCATGCACCCCGTGGAGGGGGCAGCAGGGCGGGTCAGCCAGGGAGGGCCGCGCAGGCGCCGGCGCGCACCTGCTTTGCTGCCGTCCGACATCTTGTTGATGTCCTTCGACGGAGGGGCCGCGGCGGGGCGACGCGGGGGCGACAGGTCGCCGTCGTCGGAGCGGGCGCCGCGCCGCGGGGGCGACAGATCGGCGGATCCCCTCCGCGGGCGTCGCGGCGGGGACGCGTCCGGGGAGTCGTGTCGAGCACGGCGCGGGGGCGACGCGTCCGGGGAGTCGTGTCGAGCACGGCGCGGGGGCGACGCGTCCGGGGAGTCGTGTCGAGCACGGCGCGGGGGCGACGCGTCCGGCGTGTCGTGTCGAGCACGGCGCGGGGGCGACGCGTCCGGGGAGTCGTGTCGAGCACGGCGCGGGGGCGACGCGTCCGGCGTGTCGTGTCGAGCACGGCGCGGGGGCGAAGCGTCGGGCGTGTCATGTCGAGCGCGCCGGGGCGGGGACGCGTCGGGCGTGTCGTGGCGCGCTCGCTTTTGTGCCGGGGGGGAGCCTGCCGCCGCCATCGACTTCTGCGCCTGCTCCTGGCGGCGCATCTGGAACTTGAACTCGTCGAGGTTGGCGATCGCGGGCGCGTCTTCCCCCTGCAGCGCAGCGCCAGGCGGACGCAGGTGCATACATCAGACAAGTCGGCGCCAGGTCATTCCGCGACGCAGCACGCGCCATCACGCGCACGCGCGGACCCCTTGCCGCCTCGGGGCCGCGCAGATCCCGGGGCCCTGCGCCGCTGCGCCACGCGGAGAAGACGACCCGCGGCCAGAGCGCCGCACACAGCTCTCACCGCGTTCAGGGGGTCCAGCTCGGCGTCGTCAGGCTCCGCGTCTGCGCGCGACGGGGCCTTCGGGAGCGCTGCGTCCTCGTCCACGATGGAGATGGTCCCCGGCGGCGCGACCTTGCGCTTCCTCTTCTTCTTCTTCTTGGCGTCCTCCGCGCCCCCGCCGGTGTACTTCTTCAGGTAGTCCTGCGGCAGGGGGGCGGGCGGGAGGGCGGTGTGCGGCGCCGGACCCGACGGAGGCCGTGCCGCCTGCGTGAGCGGCCCGCGGGAGGGGGCGGGGGGCGCGCTCTGTGCGGGTCGCACCTGCATCTTCTTCTGCTGCTCGGACAGCTCGACAGGCTTCGCGTCCTTCTCCTCCTTGCGGAGGGATGACATTCCAGAGAACATCGCTCGCAGTTACGCCGGCGGCAGTGCGCCCGGGGGCGGAGACTGCCGCGAGCGCCCTGGACGCGCGTGCCGGGCCAGGCTCCGCGCGCGCGACGACCGTCTGAGGCCGGCCCGGCGCGTCGTGAGATTGTCGCGTGCCGAGGAGCTCCAGCGCGCCAGCAATGGCCCGTGGACGCGCTGGGCGGGCCCTCGTTCAACAGCGCAGGTCTTCTTGCCCGCCTGCGCTGGCTGTGCTGGCCCGCTCAGCCCCAGTTCAACGCGCGCGTCAAAGTATGTTGGGCGGGGATTCTCGTGAGCGATGGAACACTCAAAGTTGCGACGTGCAGCCGTGCGTGCGGCCGGTTTGGGCGGCAACAGAGGCACCACGCGGCCGGGTGCGCTTCGAATCAGACGCGGTGGTGCCAGATGTGCAGGCCAACGCTCAAGTGACGCGCCACCGACCTGGCGCAGCGCCGAAAGGCCCTGGTGACGTCGATCGGAGAGCCCCCCAGGAACAGTCAGGTGCGACTGGGCCGCGAGGCCGCGAGCGCGGGCCCTTGGCCGCTGGGGCAGCAGCGCTGGCGACCACTTGCTCTGTTGCGTCGCGGACGCTGCACGCTGGCAGGTCCCGAGCTCGTTCCGCGTCCCTTTCGGCCGCGCGCGCCCCTGGCGAAGTAGTCTGGCTCCATTCACGCCATCGCGGGTGACATCTGCGAGCAACCAGCAGCTCGTGCTGATCAAGCGATCACCCCCGCGTGGGCGGAGCGACCAGGATGGCGGGGCCGGGCGCCAGGGGTCGGCTGGGCGCGGGCCTTGTGCAGGTCCTCTATGTGGTCGTGGCGCTCCTAGCACTCGCCCCGAGCACGCAGGGAATAGTGCTGAAAGTAGTTGGGCGAGAGTGCGTCTACAAGCACGCCGACGCGGGGCAGCAGGTGCGTCTGCGCTCCCCAAACGCCCGCAAGCTAGCGCTCCCCGGCTGCTCGTACCTCCGTGGCTCCCCCGCCGCGCCCGCGAGGCCGTTGCCGCCCTCGGCCCTGCTGCATGCTTGCATCTTCCGGGGCGCCCGGTCCGCCGCCCTCCCGGCCGATCGCGTGCGTCGCGCACGCCACGCGACGGAGCTCCGTGCCGAGCCCGCACCGGCCGGTCCGTGCGGCCGCGGCACGGGCCGAATTCAATCGCATCGCCGGCACTGCGCCGCTGCCCTCCCGCATGCTTTCGTCCGGTGCGCGGGCCGGCCTCCGCGCCGGCTCGCCTGCCCCGAGGCGCGTCAGTCTCCCGCGAGTGTGTGTGTGTGGGCGACGCCGCGTCGCCGCCCCGCGTCGGGGCCTGTTCTCGGCGCCTCCGGCGTCTTCTCTCCGCGGCCGGTCGTCCCCGCCCGACCTCCCGCGCCCGTGCGCCCGCCCGCGCAGGTGTCGGGCACGTTCGTGTCGATGTCCCGCGTGGGCGCGCGGCAGCAGGTCCCGGCGCTGATCGTCACGGCGACGGGCCCGCAGGGCGAGGCGGTGTTTAGCGCGCTGGAGCGCGAGGGCGAGTTCCAGTTCCTGGCCCCGCAGCGGGGCAAGTTCCGCGTGTGCGTGGGGCCGCAGGACAAGGCCCTGCAAGCCCGCGAGATCGACGTGGCCGTGGAGGTCTTCGTGGGCCACCTGCACCACGCGGTGTCCGGCGCGGACAAGGCCGGCGTCGAGGACACGCAGGCGCTGCGCCAGGTGGTCGACGAGCTGTCCAACACGCTCAGCACGGTGCGCGCCGAGCAGCGCTACGTGCTGCGGCGGAAGGAGCGGCAGTACAAGACGCTGCAGGTGTGCCGCGCCCGCGTGCGTGCGCCGCCGCAGCCGGGGGCGCCCGCGGCCGCCTGCGCGCCGGCCGCTGCGCCGTGCGTCACGTGCCTGGGCTGCCCGTGTTCGCTGTGCTGCGCAGAGCACGCACCGCCGGGCGCTGATCGGGGCGTGCGGGAAGCTGGCGGTGATGGTGGCGGTGTTCGTGTTGCAGATCCTCGTCGTGCGGTGGATGTTCACCACCAAGTTCGGCATGCCCACCACCCGGACCCCGCTAGGTGCGTGCCCCGCCGCCACGTCCCCGCGCCTCATCAACGCGCGCACCGGACCTAATCGGTGCCGCGGCTCCGACCGCGACGTGACCCCTGCAGGCGGTTTCGGGGGCCTGTCGGGGCTGGGGTCGTCGCTCACCAGCCGGACGGGCAGCATGGGGCGCCTCCTGCCCGGCATGGGCGGCGCCGGCGGTGGCATGGTGACGAGCTCGGGGGCGCCGCCGCCCGCCAGGGGCGGCGGCGGGTGGGGTGCCGGGGGCGGGCGGACGTACGGGATGTCGGCCACGGGCCCGCCGCCGCCGATGCTGCGGACCTCGCCGCGCACGTCGCTGGGCGGCATGTCGGCAGCAGCGCAGCCGCCGCCCATGCAGCCGCCCATGCAGCCGCAGCCGCCGTCTTCCAGGCCGGCGGGCGCACCACCGCCCACGTTTGGAAACCCGAGCGCCTACTCGTACGGGGGGCAGGCCCGGATGCGGGCGTAGGGCGAGCCACGGGCCGCGCCGTTGCGGAAGTCTCGCGGGGTCCGCTGCTTCCAGAACGCGGCGAGGGGCGCAGTTTGCGGCCGCGCAACGGTCGGTGCGACGCGGGACGGTCGACGCCGTGCGCGCCGCGCGGATGGGAGCGGTGAGCGTCGCTCTCTGTGGACATGCACCAGCAACCGCTCGTACTGGTCGCAGGTGTCGACCAACCGCTCGCTGTCGGCGCTGGGGCACTTCGTGGTGCTCGCCGGGTCGCTCTCGGTCCTCCTCCTCGACGCGAGAACTCGTCGATCGTCGGCCTGACCATCTCGGCCGCGCTGCAGCTCACGGGCATCCTCTCGTGGCTCATCCGCGTGGCCACGGAGATGGAGGTCAACATGAACGCCGCGGAGCGCCTCCTCGAGTACAACGCCGCCGAGACCGAGGCCGCGCAGATCGTCGAGTCCAACCGCCCGGGCGACGCGTGGCCCGACCGCGGCGAGGTCGTGGCGACCAACCTGCAGGTGCGCTACCGCAAGGAGCTCGGGCTGGTGCTCAAGGGGATCTCGTTCCGCGTGGCGCCGAGCGAGAAGGTGGGCGTGTGCGGGCGGACCGGGTGCGGGAAGTCGACGCTCATGCTCGCGCTGTTCCGCATCGTGGAGCCGTGCGGGGGCAGCGTGACGCTCGAAGGCGTGGACATCCAGGCCATCGGGCTGAACGACCTGCCCAGCAAGATGGCGCCGGTGCCGCAGGACCCGGTCATCTTCAGCGGGACGTTCCGGTCGAACCTGGACCCGTTCGACGCCGCGGGGGGCGACGACAAGATCTGGGAGGCGCTGCGGCGCGTCAACCTGGACACGGTGGTGCGCGAGGCCGAGGGGGGGCTCGACGCGCCCGTGAGCGAGAGCGGCGCGAACCTGAGCGTGGGCGAGCGGCAGCTGCTGTGCATGGCGCGCGCGCTCCTCCGCAGCGCGCGGCTGCTGCTCCTGCACGAGGCCACCTCCAACGTGGACAACCAGACGGACGCCATCATCCAGCAGACCATCCGGAGCGCGTTCGGGCACTGCATCGTGCTCACCATCGCGCACCGCCTGCACACGGTCATCGAATACGACAAGGTGCTGGTCCTCGACGACGGCAACATCCTCGAGCACGACACGCCCGCCAACCTGCTCGCCAGGGAGGGCAGCGCGTTCGGGAAGCTCGTCGACGGGACCAGCGCCAACGAGAGCGCCGCGCCGCGCCAGATGGCCGCGGAGGGCGCGCAGCAGCGCGCTGCCAGGGGGGAGTAGAGCAGCTGTTGAGGGGAGGAGTCTCTTGCATGTGAGCACTAGAATGGCGGACGACGGACGCGCGCTGGGCTCACCGGGGCGGGCCGCTGAACAAGTGATTGCGACGACGTGCGCTGTCGGGCGGGAGAAGGGTCCACCCCCCCCCTGTCGTCATGCACCCACAGTCACGCCGCGCCGGCCGCCGTTGGCGGTGCACGCCGCAGGCCGTCGGCAGATTCGGGAACAGCTGGACTTGTTCGCCAGCGTGGTGTCATTCACGGTGGCAACGGCGACCAGGGAGCGTCGTCTGAGGGGGCAACCACCACCGCCTGGATTGCTCCTCCCGTGTGACGGGTCAGCGCGGTCGAGCGAACTGCCCCAACGGTGCTCCTCGCAGCGTCCACGTACCGAGCGTGCCGCCTGCGCCGGAGCGACGGCAGGCGAGGTTCTCACGACGAGGTGCGCTTTCCTTCCCTCGGTGGTGGTGGCGGGAAATGCAGCGGGCCTGTGCTCGCTGGGCGGAGGTGTCGCGCCGAGTCCCGCCTGACGCATTCAGCGCTCGCACAGGAAGACATTTCCGCGCGATGATCAATCTACGCCGCTGTCTCTGCGCCCGCAGGCTGCAAGGCACGCTTCAGAGTGGTGAGCCCCACGCCGCGGTGCGAGAAGCCCTCGTCCTCGACGTCCGCAGCGGGCCACGCGGTCCTCACCTACTGCCTGTTGAGGGTTCGCGGTAACGGCGCGGGCGCGACCGCCCAGCGAGACGAGAGACGGCACCAGAGGCCACGATGCAGGCCCAGGGCCGCGAGGCCGACGTGGTGGGCGGGAGCGCGGTCGAGCGCGAGTCGGCAACGGTGAGACATCCCCAGAACTGCTCAATGTGCGTTGCAGGCACGTTGCTTAGCGCGAGGGCTTGCCCACGCGCTGCTTAGCACATCAGCAGCTGATCCCGCGGCTCACAGTCGGCGCGCTCGATCCGTGGTGTGCAGAGACGTCGTGAGCGGTCTGGGGACTCCTTCGCGCGCGTCCTCTCGACGGTGCCCTCCATCCTCGACCTGCTCTCGGACGACGACAAGGCCAGCCTGGCGGCGACGTCGTGGAGCGTGCTCGAGGCGGTGCTGCGCGGATGCCGGGCGGTGCTCATAGTGAGCCCGCGCGACCCGGTCCTGCACGTTCTCGCGCGGCGGATGGACGACGGGCCCTGCGCGGGGGAGCTCCTCTTCTGCGGGCTGCGCGTGCCCGCGACGCACGCCGAGGCGCTGTTGGACGTGATGCGGGAGCTCGGCGAGGACCTGCCGGCGCGAGGCGACAAGAGCGACGCGCGGCACCGGAAGTGGTTCATGCTGGCGCGGAGGGTGACGACGTGGACCGACGAGGGGGGCGGCCCGCTGCGTTTGACCGGCATCGATGCCCCGGACGTCCACGGCTTCGCTTTCGACCGGAGTGCTCACAAGCGGTTGTTGCGTGAGATCCTCCTGTCGACTCCGGCGAGGGGATACCTGCGGTTCCTGCGCCTCGACTTTTGGGAGTGCCGCACATTTGAGCGCGAGGACCCAAGCACCGGCGAGGACATGGTCGCGGCGCTGCGGGACGCCGTGCGCGGCCTGACGGCCCTCGAACATCTGGACGTATCGCTGGACACCGAGGGCGGCAGGGTATGGGCTCGTGTGTTCGGCGAGCTCGGTTCCCTGACGCGGCTCACCATGAGTGGCGGCGACGACGACGTGTGGGACGCGGAGGAGACGCGGGCTTTCTGGAGCTGGATACAGCGGACTACGAAGCTGCGACAGCTCGAGATCCACGTCGAGTTCGACACGGGCACGCTGGCGGAGTTCAACATCGCCCCGCCGCGGTGCTTGGAGACCGTCGACGTGCGCAACTGTCTCAACGGCCATGGCTTCAGATGGCGCGACGCCGTGCACGTCCGCTCCCTGCGCGTGGCGCCGTGGGACGACGACCCGGCAAGCACGCAGGCGGAGATTGCCGACATGATGCGGTCAAGCAAAGCTCTGCGAGAGCTGCGCCTGGACTACTTCGACGCCCGGGACGTGACACATGCAGAGGTTGCAGCTCTGCCGCACAGCACGGTGGAGGTGTTCGAGCTCTCCATCTCCCGGGAAGCAGCGGCGAACCTCGAACGGATGTCGACAATGTCGGCGGCCCTGGTGGCAGCGCTCAGAGGCTGCAGCGCACTGCGAGAGCTGCGTATCTTTGGCCATGCTTATTCTGGGCCATGCGTGTTCAACGCGGCGGATGTTGCCACGGCTCTGGAAGGCAACACGCTGCTGCGCAAGCTCCGGTTGGACGCATGTGGGATTGGCGACGACGACGCCGCGCATTTTGGACGGGTGCTGGAACGCAACAGCTCTCTCGTTGCGTTGTCGCTGCGATATACCTGCCTGACGGTGCAGGGCGTGCGCGAGATCGCGTCAGGTCTCCGTCGCAACCGCACGCTGCAGCGGTTCGAGCTCGCCTCGAGCGGCGGGTGCGGCGCGAGCGGCGCGAAGGAGGTGACGGATGCACTCGTTGGGGAGGACTCGGTGTGTCAGCTGCGGTGCCTGGGCCTCGTGGGTTGCGACGTCGGCGACGAGGGCGCTGTGCACCTTGCGACATGTCTGAAGGATCCGCGCTGCACGCTGCGCAGGCTCAGCTTGTACGGCAATGGAGTCGGCGACGCGGGTGCAGCGGCCCTGGCCACGGCGCTGGAGAAGAACTCCACGCTGGAGTGGCTGTCTCTGGGCGGGACTCGCGTGGGGGAAAGCAGGACATACCGCATCTCCGACGGCGGCCTCAACGCTCTGGCAGCGGCGCTAGTGAAGAACCACACGCTGCGGACCCTGCGGGTCCAGGACTTCGTCCTACGCTCGTGGCATGGCGCGGCGACCGAGACAATGGACAGGCTGCTTGCGTGTGCGCAGAAGTACGCGAACGCGAGGCGTCGGCTGAATTGACGCGCACGCCGGCGCGCGAGAACCTGCGGGCGGGGCGGGGGCGCGCGGCTCGCGGAGGATCCGTCGCTGGAGAAAGCGTCCTTAAGGGCAGCGGGGGGGCGCGCAGGGCGTGGGCACACTCGCAAGCTGGTGGGCGCGCTGCGAAGCTTGGAGGGGTTCCTGACGGTGAGCGCCCGAGCCACGACGCATGCTCGGGCGATCGACCTTTCGCGCGACCAACGCGTCGCGTGCGGCGCCCGCTGCGTTTGAGTGCGACGGTGCGCGCACACGGCTCGTGCCTTGCAGGGGCTGTTCAGGGCGCGGATGGCCAGCCTCGCGGAGCACAACGTCGCTATCGCGGCAGAGTCCGCGCTGCGATGTGCCATGTTCCGCCTGCACGTGCCGCGGCACCCCAAGCACGATGCAAGCACGACGACGCAGGTGCTTGTCTCGTTCGACGACAGCGATCGGGAGGTCCTGATCGCCCGCGGCCGCAAACACCTCACCCTGGACCTGGGAGCGGCGACGATCGCGTGGGAGGGCGGCGCTGCGGCGGGCGCGGAGATCTACAAGGCGGGCACGGTGTGCCTCGCGACCGTCGACGGAGACCGGGGGGCGCTACAGGTGATCGCGGTGCCGGAGGCGTGTCTCGTCGAACACCCGCAGCCGGGGGCGTTGTTCGAGGAGAGCTGCAGGTGGCAGGGGGCCCTTCAGCTGGGAGACGTCGACGTCGCGTCGCAAGGTGCGCCGGCACGGGCCACTGTGACGCGCTGCGTGCGGCTGCATGCGCGCGTCTGCTTGGACGCTGACCCTGCGACTGCTG